TGCGAAGAGATGGAAGAAGTAGGAGGGTGTTGTGTGGAAACTCGGAGGAGGGAGGTGGGCTTTTAGGGAGGAGTGAGCCTGGGTATGAAGAGAGCAAAACATGCAGAGGCAATCAGAAAAGAGAGGCAAACACAAACAGACAGAGATCAAAGAAAAGCAATCTACGCTCCGTCCGCACCACACTATTAGATAATGACAGATTCAGGAGGTCTTCCATCAAAGGGTGTCTAGATGACGCCACTGGAAAAAAAATAGCATGTTTGTTCACAAAGATCTGTGAAATCAGTTTCTAAGTGTCTCTAAATGGGTAGCTGGCAAATAATATGGGACAAACTTCAAAATAACACACAAAAAAAAACAAAAATAGTTAAATATTTCACAAATAGTTGAATAATAAAAAGTGTCAAGTTTTTATTTGTCAAATACACAAAGGAAATGGTCTAATCACCCCTCATGATTGTGCATTAAATATAAAAATAAGAAAAAAAAGAATATATGTCAATTATCTATGTACAAGGAGGATGTCCATATTTTGAAGTCCATTGTGCTGAAGTGTAAAGTATATTCGCTTAAGACAAAAAAGTGCGAAGAACAGTTGCATTAAATTCGTATATATTGTTTTAAACACTTTTTAGATTTTTGCCGTTAAAAAAATACTAATTAATTAGAAAACGTATATGTAAAATGCATGTACAGAAAACAATTAGAAAATGTGGCAACACTTTATTTTACAGTGTCCTTGTTACATGTATAGTAATACCTAAAAATTAAGCATAACTACATGCAACTAACCCTAAAATAAACCTAATCCTAACCCTCAAAAAAATGAACTAGGGAGGTTGTGCACTTTACATAATATATTTATATATAGTTTACTTATAATAATTATATTTTTTGACTTTAAATGTACAGTACAAAATCCTAATGTGTTGTCTAAACACAAACCATTTATGTTAAGTAAAAAAATGTGTACATCCAGAGGGTGGCAGTATAGAATAAATGTTAAAATTAAGTGTTATTTTATGTTGTTTTTTTTTTTTTTTAGAAATTTAGAAAAGGGGAAGACTTGATAGTGTGTAATAGTGTTTAATGTTAAATTAAATTGGAATTATTAAACCATTTAAATTACAGTGGGTTACCATTGTGGAGAAGAGTGGAGCATTTTGTTAGCGTGTCGACTGATTTCATTACTTTCTATTGCTTTGAATGAAGGAGCATGAAAATCTTAGCATTCAAGATGCTAATATGTGCTTCTGCTAGCAAATAGCTAGCTAAAGTCTAATAATTTAATTAAATGTCACTGAATCAAATGAAATATAAATGGATGAAAGAATATAATAAAATGCCTTTGAATCATGTCAGGAAGCCTTTAAAAATTCACGTTGAGACTACTTAAATTGTAGTCTTAAATTGTTACACAATTCCATTATGTTGAAGTTACATAAACAAATTATGTTTGTTTAACGTAATCCAGTTATGTGGAACCTGTTGACAAATTAAAATGAATTAAAGCCAACATATTATTTTTTTGAGTGAAAGGAACACGCCGACTTTAGCTTATTCGCCGTACCCTACAGAGTTAGATAAATCCATACTTACCTTTTTCATCTCCGTGCATGCCGTAACTCTGTCTGACGCACCCACCGCTAGCCTAGCTTAGCACAAAGACTGGAAGTAAATGGCTCCAGCTAGCATACTGCTCCCAATAAGTGACAAAATAGCGCCAACATTTTCCTATTTACAGTATATGTTGTGATTCGTATATTGACAGTGTGTACAAATAACAAGGTCATATGAGACACCGCCATCTTTTAACCGTATAAATATTGGGAACTTTATTCTCAGAAGGCGAAGCACTGCTACTTGGGCGGAGTGATTTGCTCGCAGCACCTGAGAGACGCACCGTGGTGAGGAGCAGTTTGCTCAGTGTTGCGATCAAATCACTCCGCCCAAGTAGCAGTGCTTCGCCTTCTGAGAATATAGTTCCCAGTATGTGTACAGTTAAAAGAGGGCTGTGTCTCATATGATCTTGTTATTTGTACACACTGTGACTATACAAATCACAACATAAAAATAGTAAAATCTTGGTGTTATTTTGTTACTTATTGGGAGCAGTATGCTAGCTGGAGCCATTTACTTCCAGTCTTTGTGCTAAGCTAGGCTAGCAGTAGAGTTACGGCACGCACGGAGATGAAAAGGGTTTATGGACTTATCTAACTCTGGGGGATACAGTGAATAAGCTAAAGTCCCAAAAAGTCAGAGTGTTCCTTTAATTTTACTTAAATAATGTGCAAATACACTGTAACAAAGACACCTTAAAATAATCAGCAACCGAAAATCATTTTAGATTATTTTAGAGTCTCACGAATCCTGGTCATTTTGCATCCCACTGCATTTGGTTATTTATTAACATCAAGATACAGCAAGACTAATATAGTAGTAGAACAATGTCCAAATGACATTGTCACACAGTAATGTCTGCAGTGTCTTCTGCACTGTGACCATTGACCTTGCAAGCCCTGTTAATCTCTCATCTAAGTGTATTCTCATGGATCTTTTACTAAAACATTCTGTCTGTGTGTTCACAATAGCTTGCAGCAGTTACTGTAGCTCTGAATAGCTCTGAAGACTAAACAGACAGAACGGCGGTAAGTTGTTTAACCGGGCCTCCTCAGACTTTACATGTACGATTATCTACACTTTTCTCTTCCTGAGGTGTTTGAAATTGTTTCAAGAAGTAAGTGAGTCCAGGTCCCCTTATGATAAGTAGACGACTATCTGCTTTCAGTTGCATAACTATCACTTTTTGTTAAACTAAATCAATTACATCTGGATGTTAGCAACTCAAGTCTACGAGGATTATTGAGTCAAAGGGTTCGAAAGAAATGTAATCATTTTAAAATAATACTCAAGTTTTCAAATTTTCTCAAGTGAGTCAGGAAAGTCAACAAACACTTTTTCTGCTCTTTCTCAGTTTCCTTTCAGTCAAGTTACCATGACTGCACAGTTCTGAATACATAAGAACTAAACTAATCTCTTAAATCTCTCCTCATAAAAGTGATTAATTGAAGTTTGTGAGAAAAGTCAACCATTTAATGTGGAGAACCTCAATAGCATGTTTACAATGTCAAGAAATGTGATTCTTATTTAAATGAACAGTGTATAAGCAAAATTCAAACAGCAGGATATAACTGAAGTCAGTTCAGTTGTATACAGTATTTTTACTCCCGATCTAATGTTATATCAGAGTCTAGATTTAAATCTTGCAATGCAAAAAAAAGGATTTTCTTCCTTTTTTGTGTTGTTTTCCGTTACAAATGTCTAAAAATTATTTTAGTAAAGTAAAATTACTTTAGATAAAATCCGATATTTGTTCTTATTTTAAGCATCAATATAGCATCAATATTTCAGCAAATAATCAAAGTCATTTTATTCAAGTAAATGTATTTTGATTTAAGAATGTTTAGATATTTATAAGACAAAGTAAGATTTGTAAACTATTTATCAACAACTAACTGTAAAAATACAGTCCAATGTACCATGTTAATATGACAGAATTTTCAATATTGATTCTTCACATGTGATTAATTGTTGAATAAATTTTTTTAAATGTCCGTAAAATGAACGAAAAGGGTATTGATAATTTGCAGCCACGATATTATAAATTTTTCTACAATTTTTTTAAAGGAGTAGTTCACTTTTAAAAAAAAACTTTGCTGATAATTTATTCACTCCAATGTCATTCAAGATATCCATGTCATTCTTTCTTCAGTCGAAAAGGTTTTGATGAAAACATTCCAGGATTTTTCTCCATATAATGGATTTCAATGGGAACCAAACGGTTCAAGGTCTAAAAGACAGTTTCAGTGCAAACTGTTTAAAGGGCTTTAAACGATTCCAGGCGATGAATAAGGGTCTTATCAAGCGATACGATCGCTCATTTAAAAAAAACAAAACAAAGTTTAAGTTTTATAAGCTCAAATGCTCGCCTTGCTCTGTTCTGTGATGCACATTCGTGACCTCTTCAAACTCGTTTATCAAAATGAACGAATATTTTTTCGTTTCATTTGGTTCATTCAACGATCGGGAAAAGGTTTGTTCATTTTGATGAACGAGTTTGAATAGGAGAGTCACGAACGCGCATCACACACTAACCCTAACAGAGCAAGGCAACCATTTGAGCTTATAAAACTTAAACTTTGTTATTTATTTTTTTAAATGAGCGATCGTTTCACTTGATATTGATAAGACCATTATTCATCGTCTGGAATCGTTTAAACCCCTTTGAACAGTTTGCAGTTTGCACTGAAACTCTCTTTTGGACCTTGAACCGTTTGGTTCCCATTGAAGTCCATTATATGGAGAAAAATCCTGGAACGTTTTCATCAAAAACCTTAATTTCTTTTCGACTGAAGAAATAAAGACATGGATATCTTGGATGGCATGTGGGTGAGTAAATTATCAGCAAAAGTTTTTTTTAAAAGTGAACTACTCCTTTAAGATAATTCTCAGGAATCTCAGAAATGGTGCCATTGTATCAGAAACTTTGAGGTCAATTAAAGTTATCAGTCAGTCAAATGTATATTCTATTTTCTGCAAAAAAATAAATAGTAATCCAACCATATGTTTTTAAAAATACCAGCCATGAAAATAAGCAATAATGACGTCTATTGCTAAATTATTACCCACAATTTTCAAAATGAATCTCAAGGTTATAATGAAGAGCTTGCACTTGATACTTTGTTTGTGCCAAGAATGCAAAGGTTAGTGAACATAGTTACTATTCGCTTACATTGAGAAAGAGCAACTAGTTGAAAAGAGCACTTGATTCAATTGAAAGGAACTGAAGCCTCAAAACCAAAACAAGCCTGTTCACTTTGCGGCACTTCCACGAAAACTGAGAGCACAATGCCTGTCAAATGGAGTGTGACATTCCTGGGTTTCTGAAAGCGGTAATTGCTTTTTTCAGTGTTTGGCTGTTGGTTTCATGAGCTTTGAATCCCACCCTCTAATGAGTGAGCGAGTTTCTGTTGTCCACACTGTTCCCTGACCGAGCTGTGTCGGAGAACCAGGGTTCGGCTTTCTTCTGTGAATCTCTCAGCTCTTTTTTTGCAGAATGAGGTTTTCCGCATCGTTTTTATGCTTCCTAATTGGTCTTTTAGGACTAGGAGGGATTTGCAGTTTGGTGGAAGATGAGGGGGAGGAACCGGAGGATAGAGACCTGAGCAAAGCTATTTTGGAGATGCTGCACATAAATAAACTGTCAGCACCTCAGCAAGCAAAGCCACACCCCTACATGAAGCACGTTTACCAGTCCTTGGACACACAGGAGAGAGACCCGAGTGGGGCAGATGGAACTCTTGTACAGAGTTTCCGGAGCATTGAAGGTAAGTATGTATTTTTATTTAAAGTAAACAATTAAACAATCATTGATGTGCCTGTACATATATCTATTAAAACGTTATGAGTAGCATTTAAGTTCAAGTTCAAGTTCCGTTTATTTATAGAGCACATTTACTACCGGCTTTCCTACAGTTTACTACAGTTGACCAATTGGATCAGGTAATCCGAGCTGGTGTGATTGAGTGGAGGCGGGGACTAATTAGCATATAATTAGCGAATAAACCTTATTTTATAAGACAGAGAAACACACATAGCCATCTTTAGAATTTTGTCTTTAAAAATTCAATTTTTGCTGTAGCTCTACATATTTCTATGGTAGTAACTAGCTGGTGAAGTGGATTTACTTATTGTAGAGTTGACGAAAGTTATCATGAGCATAATTATGTTTAAAGCAGATGTCATAACAAATGCCAGTAGACCAGGAAGATGTTAAAACGAGCGGTAAATAAATCCATTAAATCTTGCCTTCAGGCTGTGGAAATACAAACGAGTGCAGGCCAGAAAAGGGGCGGGGCTACATGAGGTCTTGCATAGAATATCATTAAAGGCATTAAGACATTATTGTCAAAGGAAACAATGTTTGAAAATGTCATAGTGATTATCAAAAATTAGTTTTAAGGGATAAAATGATTGACTGCAAGGGGGAGGTCACCATTTTTTTCACTGTAGTATTTTTTACACTTCTCTGAAGAGATGTTGATGCATAAAAAGATTCGATAACCTTTGTAGTTATATGAATACAACTAAATAAATATTATAAAAAAGGTATAAAATAAATTCTGCTTAATTTTCACCCTTGTTCTTTTTCAAACAAGATTCAAAGTACGGCACTCCAGGATGGATCTGGTTCAACATGTCCCAGCTGAGTCCCTTCATGAGGGTTGCAGAGCTGGTCCTGCTGAGGAAGACTCTTCATCACAAGCCGCTTAGTGTGACGGTCACAGTACATTGTCTTTCACCAGGAAGAGACAACCTGAGCATTAGTGGCCCACTTGTGGAGCACTTATTGAGTCTGGACCGGGTTCCTCCAACAGGCTATGACGTTTTTGACGTGACAGCTGCAATAACCCAGCCATCGAGCCGCTCAGATATCCTAGGCTTCCAGCTTCGCTTTGGCGATGAGAGCGGCAGCCTGGTTCTCCATGAAGCCCTCACACAGAGCCTCTACTGCTTGAATGGCAGCTCTCTTCGCCAGCCGCTTTTAGTGGCCTACAGGAGCAAATCAATGGAGCTAAAGCAGAGGGCTTCAGGAGTGAGCTCAGTACACAGGCAGAGCTGCATGGTCAGCTCAGAATATGAGAAACGGCAAATACATTTGAGACATGGGAGACATGTAGCTGCATGCAAGCTGTATGTACATCATGTCGACCTTCATACGAGCAAGTTGAGTCAATGGATACTGCAGCCATCCAGTTTCAACATAAGTATTTGTAGGTATGAGCCTGTCTGTGTGTAATATATCACTATGAATAAGGGGGCTTGACAATATGTAAAAGTTTAAAAATGTGCCTTTCAAAATGCATCGATTACAGTACTAAATATTGATAGTGTGTGATTGTATTGAATGTGCATTTTTAGTGTACTTTAAATACTAAAGGTATATATATTTTTCAAAACTGTATTTGTAGATAAAATAATATCTAACTTTTAAAAAGTTTACATTGTAATAATGTAAAATTAAAAAGTTTTACTTTAAGCACATTTTAAGTCATGATGTTTTAATATTTTAACATGCTTTAAATACGTACAATTATTTTAATGTGTTGACTAAAAGTAATTGGTCAGAATTTTATCTGTAGTGTGTTAATCGATATTACGTTTAAAATTGATGTATTTTAAATTAGATAGGAACTTAATTACGAAATATTTTTAAACATACAAATTTAATTAGAAGTGACATTTCTTGTCAGTTTGTTCATCAGTGTGCATTTCAAAAAGACAATAGAATGATAACTATTTACTTAAAGGTTTTCTAGCTTAAAAAAAATAACAATACACACTCTCGTGTCGTTTCAGATCTGTGAAACTTTAGTTCATCGTCGAAACACAAATTAATATTTTAATTAAACCTGAGAGACTTCTGTCCCTCCATTGACAATTCACGCAACTACCACTTTATAAAAAGTTCATAAAGGGATTGTAAAACTAATTCATATAAATTGAACAGTTTAATCCAAATTTTTTGAAGAGACTCAAATCGATCACTTAAATGATGAACAGGCTGAATTGGCTTTTATAAAACATAAACAGAAGTTCAACCAAAACTGCTTGCAAAGTGAGAGAACAATTATCATTGTTTTTGCAGAAGACTCCGGCGCAAAATGAACCTTTGGTCCAATTACACATTGGTACATAGTCAACCGTTCTCTGAGATTTGTTTTCATGATTATCTAATGTAAAAAAATTTCTCTCTAAAAACTGTTTAGCTTATAACGCTAGTATATGGGGCATAGAGAAATGAAAATAAAAATCGCTAGTTAATACCACGGTAGCATAATCAAGGGTCCCTACACGCAAATCGAAGCATTGAGAATGTTGTAAGTGTACAGACCAAGAAGATATTTTATAAAGACAGTCCACTTCGCGGATACAGGCAGGAGCCATCTTTGGAAAACAGTCTCGAGCAGTCAAACCACCAACGCCGAGCCAAGTGCGCTAGTGAGCCAGAACCAGTTTTTGAAGATCAAACTCTGTACATTCGATAATCATGAACGCAAATCTCAGAGAACGGCTGACTATGTACCAATGAGTAATTAGACCAAAGGTTAATTTTTCGCCGTAGTTGTCCTTTAACACGAGTATGAACCTCATTGGTTCTTCTCGCCTGGTTCTCGCACATGATGAATGTTCATATGTGAATAAAAGCCTAAAATAAAACTGTTCATAAAGTGGTCGTGTCTCTTCAGAAAATTTGGACTAAACCGTTTTATGTTCTCTTTATGAACTTTTTTAAGCATTGAAGTGGTAGTACAGTAGCTGTCAGGTAAACAAATCACTCAGATTTCATTAATAATATCTTCATTTGTGTTTCAAAGATGAACAAAAGTCTTATGTGTTTGAAACAACGTATGAGGGTGAAAATTAATTTTCATTTTTGGGTGAACTATCCCTTTAAGTCCTGCTTAAGTGAGTAGAAAAAAAATGAGTTAAACTAATTGCATTTAGGCCTAATAAGAATGTTTAATATAGCCTAATACATTTTCATTCAAGTGTAAATAACTATACTTCAGCATAATGACATCAGCTGATTTAAAAGTAAAACCATTAACGAGCAGCAACTCAACGAGTAGCCTAATTAGCCATAGCAATGCAGTTCGGTTAAACGCTAACGTTACATCGCTGTTTTAATAGATAAGAAAGAACATATTTAAAAGCTCACCTAAATGGACCGTGGGACGGACAGTCCGGTTCTTTCTGGTCAGACAGCTGATTCTACACAGTACATTATGTTGACCTGAGGTTCCTATTAAATCGGCTGGTCGTAAATGAATCACTTGTAGCCTTGGAAAGTCCGATTCGTTAATGATTCAGGTTCGCAGGCTGAATCAGTCGGTTCATTTTGATCTTATACACGATTCACCGAAGCAATTCGCTGAATGTACGCCTATCTGTCGGCTCAGTTATACTGTATTTCATTGTATTTTGTTCGTGTTAATGTTTAAAAATGCGTCTTTTTAACTATATCAGGTTTGTATCAAACACTTTTATTGTAGGCTAGCTTACAAAGTCTCTCAACACGTTTGGTTACAGCCCTAATGTTGAGCATACCATTTATTGCAGTATTCATTATTTTATGTGATAGAAAGAACCAAATTATGACCTTCCGTCTGTTGCCTTTTTAGAGGTATCTGTTTGAAAGAAATGTCTGCGTCACCCATTCCTGTTCAGAGACAAAGAAAACACCACAGAGAAAATGATTTACTTCAAAGGTGCATTCAGCTTTTTATAGTTAGGCCTATGCATGACAATTGTGAGTCTCGGTTTTTAAAACACAGCTATGACCTTAAAACTGTCTTCATGTATTTTATAGATCAAACTGCACTCCACAAGGACTGTCATCTCTCATTGTGATGTACAACAGTGACACTGCGGATATTATTATAAAGGAGCTAAAGGATATCAGAGCTGAGAGATGTGTGTGCCAACCAACTGCTCAATGAAAAGGACTGCAAAAATAATCAAACTGAAGTTTGTGAAGTATTTGAGAACATGACCAGTGTAGGAAGACGTAGCCTATGTGAACCCTTGGATTATGCATTTCTGCATTAGGCTATATTTGATTTGAACATAGAAAACACGGCATAACAGATAGCAGTGGTAAACACTCACAATGCAACATGCAGCAGTTATCATCACCAAACATTGCCTGTAATCATGGCTTATAAATGCACAATTGTATTTTCTCTTTACAAAACTGTTTCAATTAATTAATATTCTTTGGATGTCAGGTGTGAATCTTGAGCTCATGCCAAACCATCTGGGTTCACATACTTGTTTTCTGGAACTGTATTTAGCCTATATGTTTTTTGAGAACTTACTTGAGAACATTGCAGGTGCACTTTTGGCCACATGATGTCATGATAGAGCAAGAAAACGTTACTTTCAATGTTTCTAGAGCATCAATGTTCCTATATCAAAGAGTCAATACGTTCTTTGCCTATACCTATATTTAAGATTGTCATGAGTTATCAACATCTCTATCAATGAGTAGGCCTAATTATAAAAAGGAAAAAAATAGGAAAGACAAAAAGGTGTACCAGAGGTGCTTCAAGTATGGATGTGATGTGAGGAACTGTTAAATTCTTTGAGTTTGAAACCATGTTTGCAATTCGGACAGAATGCCTTTTGAAAACTCCCATATTTAGAATGATATCTTAAAGAAAGAATGTGGAAAATAAACAATCTGTTCTGCAATTTCCTCTCGCATTTTTTTGTCAGCTGTTACAGTGATTCCGGTTGTCATGACAGGGTCTGGCTGCAACCAGGGGTGCAACTCGACAAGCTTATCTAAAAATGCCTCCTGTAACAGCAACATTGACAAACACAAGAAAAACAAGGTAGGCCTATGTAATGCAGCCTATTATTTAATTATTATAATTAGCGCTAATAAGCGATAGTAATCTTATAATTAATATTAATCAACTAATTATCTTATAATCAACTAATATTTTTTTTTTGTATTTTCAATTAGTTAACTTTAAATAGGCTAGTCAAATAATTAGCTAATTGTTCAGGCTGTTGGGATCTATAGGCTTAGGCTATTTATTTATGCCTAGCCAATGTTAAATATTCTCTTTAATAGCATGAGGCTTTTCCTACAATTGCTGTATGGCCCACCTTACCTGGTGACCACATCTTGGTCCACCAGAATTTTTAGTTTACCCAACTCTTGTTTTACCACTACACCTCTGCATACACCAATCGTCTGTACGCTGTACAGTGCTGCTTCAAGTCAATCACTGTATACTGTATGCTTTCGAATCAGTACTGTGATGTCATATACATCAATCTTCTGTAGTCTGTCCAGTGCTGCTTCAAGTATATCACTGTATACTGTATGCTTTCGAATCAGTACTATGATGCCATACACCAATCTTCTGTACTCTGTCCAGTGCTGCTTCAAGTCAATCACTGTATACTGTATGCTTTCAAAATCATTACTATGATGTCATACACCAATCTTCTGTACTCTGTCCAGTGCTGCTTCAAGTCGATCACTGTATACTGTATGCTTTCGAATCAGTACTATGATGTCATACATCAATCTTCTGTAGTCTGTAGTGCTGCTTCAAGTCGATCACTGTATACTCAGTCCCTCCAGAAAAACGCGATTATGCGATCGCTGAATTCAATGCAAAATCAGCCAAAGTCCGCATATTTATGCGGGGGCCGCTTTTTCTTTAAATACGCCGCACTTTCGCTGCATAAATTGCCGATTTCCATGCAAAAAAAGTCACATGTATGTATCTTAGCAGAAAGTTGAAAAATGTTGTGTTTGCTTCACACAAGAGCAGCCATTTCCCCCTGTTTCCATGGGAACGTAATGAAGTGACGCAATTACGTGACGCCAGACAGACTCACGGAGGCGATTGACATCTCACAAATCGAACTCGTATAACTGTCAGTCACCCGTTCTACCGTCACATCGTTACTTAATAAACAACATAAGATAAAAGAAGTAGCATCAAACAGAAATTACCCGCACACATGGGGTGTTCGAGGCGCACATATAACACTGCAGAGCGTTCAACAGGGAGCGCGCAGCTCTTAAAGGGGCCACACCTTATTTACGCTCGTTACAGTCTGAAATAAAACAACATGAGAAATTATATTCCCAGCACTTTCTATGATGTAGTATGCTTGCTTATCAAAGGAAGTAATAAGAAATGACTCTTACATTAAGTGAGAACTAGTGAGAACAGGATGTTGGGGGAATCACTTTTCTCTTTTTCATCAAACCGCAATTTTTGCAAGTTCCCTCAATTTTTGCAAATTCCTGCAATTTCATCGCATAAAATTGCATAAATATCCCGCATATTCCATCGCATTTTTAAAGAAAATGGGCCGCGCAATCAATCAATTTTTGCCCGCAACAATCACAAAAAAACTCAGCGTTTTTCTGGAAGGACTGAATACTATTATGGTAAATGCTATATATAAATCGCAATTTTTTTCACAAATTTTTGTAAATTACCACCACAAAATCAGTCAATTTGATCGCAAAAATCTCAAAAAAAAAATCGTGAAATCCTGGAGGGACTGTATACTGTATGTCATACACCAATCTTCTGTACTCTGTCCATTGCTGCTTCAAGTTGATCATTGTATACTGTATGCTTTCGAATCAGAACTGTGATGTCATACATCAATCTTCTGTACTCTGTCCAGTGCTGCTTCAAGTCGATCACTGTATTTACATTGACTGACATTTACATTTATTCATTCAGCTGACGCTTTAATCCAAAGCGACTTTTACAATACAATTGCTATGTGTCAGAGGTCGCACACCTCTGGAGCAACTAGGAGTTAACTGTCTTGCTCAGGGACACATTGGTGTCTTGTTGATTCGAACCTGGGTCTCTCACACCAAAGTGCATGTGTCTTATTCACTGCACCATCCCCACCCCAATGGTGAAATTGTATTGAATTCTTACTTCTGGCACCAGCTGTGGGCGGGACTGTGATGCTCTATACATGCATAATAAAGGTCTCATGTAACAACACAATACACATCCTGTTACAGACATGAATTACACAGAAATAAAATATAACAATAATAAAAGAAACAAAAATTTTTATAATATATGATACAGTAGTAGAAATATATAGAAAATATATATAGTTGTTTGAATGAACACTGATGTTATTTACAAATGAACAGTTTAGGATGTAATTTACAGATGTACAATTTTAGATGTTATGTACAAATGTACAGTTATGGTAGACCATGTTCAGTTACATTTTTCAGGCTGAATATAGCCTGCGGGGAAAAACTGTTTTCGTGCCTGGCTGTTTGATGGGATCGGCCAGAGGGCAGCAGTTCAAAGAGAGAGAGAGAGCTGGGTGTGTGGGTCCACAGTGAATTGCTTAGCACTTTCTCTCAATCTGGAGTTGTAGAGATCATGGAGATCGGGCAGGGGGGAACAAATAATCTTCTCAGCCGTCCGGACTGTCCTTTGTAGTTTCCTGATGTCTGATTTGGTAGCTGAACCACCAGTAGCTGATTTGATATCAGTTAATGATTAAGTAACCTACATACGGTTGTGTATAGGTTACTAAATAGTGCATAATAAAACGAAACTAATGTTTCTTTCATTTGATAAACTGTTTGTTAATTAATTAGCTTAATAATTGAATAATTGAACATCATTATATTATTTTTGTAACTGAAATATTTGTACATTTAACACTAAAACATAATTAGCCTACATAAAAACTGATTGTGAATATTGTAGCAAGAGATATCAGGCTAATCTGGTGTGTAGCAGCTAGTAAACTAATTGTAAAGACATTAATGGTCATTATAACAGTTCAAATAGCCTTTATAATAACATGATTTTGTAAACAGGCGCCAAAGAGAATGCCTATTAAAATTCATTTGAGCCAATGGGATCTTGGGGTCCTAATGGAGACCCGATTTTGAGGACCTGATTCGTCAGCACACCAGATTCACACACAACATACAGTGTAATTATAATTAAATTGTAATAAACACTTTAAACTGTATGCATACTGTGAGTAGGAGCCAAGTCTTCTACAGTATTTAAATTACATTAGTTTTTTATGGTCAGATAATATGGGTGAATTGTCCTAAAGTGGACACCTGGTCTAGTGTTCAAGTTCAAGTTCAAGGCAACTGCAACAGTACATTACGCAGCAGAATGAAATTGTGTTTCTCCTAATACTCCTAATAGTGTTTGTTGGTCCCCCATAAATGAATGACAGTGAAACTATGGGTTAGCCAAAGCTGTGGTGTCGATCCATGAGCATGGTGGGGTCCCTCAGAGACTTGGAATGTCCCTAATCTACTCTCCAGCGCAGAATAAATCTGTATGAATAAATCATAATACAATAGATAGAAAAACACTAATCAACAGGGAGTATGAAGCTGAACTGGGGCGTGTTATATAGGCCTATGATAATAGACTAGTTGCTTAATGTCTTTATAATAAATTCATCTCATATCGCATGATGGTGTTTAATCTCCATGTTTCATCCATCAATTACCAAAACACTTACTAACTTAAGAAGATTTTACTATTCTCAAGGTGATTTGGGCCTTAGACTTTTCAGTGTCCCATAGGGGAACAACTGCCCCACATTAAGAAGTTGTGGATGACTTGCACTAAGAGCACTACTGTCTATCTATTATTTCTTCTATGAATGTGTTTGTTTTATTTTTTTTATCCTGTGGTTTTCAAAAATGGTATTGGGTTTTGCATTTATTGTTTTGGCTACACAGAAGTCTGAAAAATGCTATTCACCCTGTAATAACATATTATTTATTTAACCTTACTGAAAGGCAATGTTAAGGCACTGATCTTCCCCTCTCCCGCATTCAGGCAGCATTTATTTCACTGTTTAAAATGCAGTTTACGAAAATTGAGCGACACTCCGTTTGTCGAAAACCACTCATGCGCGTGCTTGTGAGAGGAGGGGAATCCTGGTGGGGGAGGGTTGAGGGACAACCCAGGCACAACCGCTGATTGGTTACTGGCGCTGTCAATCAAAGCAGCCATGTCAAGTGGCAAAAAAGCTATGTGAACTAATTGCAGTGAAGAAGGGGCCGTTATTTCAAGATATACACTGTTTAAGTCAGCGGATTTGTTTATAAATGACAGTCGGCATTGCACATTATTTAGGCGCTGTTGAAGGTGGTCAGCATTATGTTTCTTATATGCGGGTAACAACATTACTGGGACAGTTTGAAATCGATGTCCTATAAACGGAATACTCAAACTGAACCTTCTTCGCGTTTTATGTGAGCCAATAGTTTGTGCTGGAGAAAACGAGCCAATGATGTCAGGAAAGCATTACAAGGGTCAAGAAGTCAGCTGCTGCATTAAATATTTCATATTTGGATTTAACATAATATTTTGGGTAAGTGCTTTGTGTGTGAACCACCATTTCTTTGTGTGATATTTCATTGTTTCTTTATGCCATCGCGCGTGAAGATATGAGTAGCCTAACGTAACGTTACATTCATCTGATGGATGAGTACGCAGGTAGGTCAATTCATTTTCCTTTGTTCCGTTTGTGTGAAATGCGAGAAGCTGGTGTACTGTAGCCTACAAGACAGGCTTAGTGCTAATTTGTCGATTAAATAAAGACCAATCGATTTTACTACGTTGAGCAGGAGTCCCATGGTTCTGTTTCGTGTTAATGTAACTAATATAACTAATTTCTTTCCTATCGCTTCCACTCGTTTACTGTACCTCAGATGTTCATGACAGCTGCCGAGTCAAGTGCGTAGCTACTACAGATAATCGGCTTTCTCTTCTGTGAAGCAATGCACCGACCTTCCCAGCTAACACAAATATGTTTTCTAACGTTCAATTTAAGTTCTGAAAACGTTATTTCTGAACCTTTTCTTAACGTTTTTCTATATCTCCAGTGTTTAAATGTTTTAAAAACGTTTTTCTTGGTTCTACAATTTTCTAACATTTTTCTACAAAGGTTAAAGAAACATTTTTTATCATAATGCAAACAACGTTACAAGAATGTTCTTGAAACATTCTAAAACAAGTAGTATAACGTTAAACGAACATTCAACTAAATTGTTTCCTCGAACGATGTATAAATAATGCGTTTGTGTGTGTACATTTTGAGAACATTAATAAAGACCACATAACGTTGAACAAATGTTATAAAAACATTGGAAAGTTAATATTTTCATAACATTTAGAGAACCTTGTCAGAAGGTTAGCTAAATTCCTGAGAAGCACTGAGCAATCCCCGTTTTATGGGTTACTGCATGGCACAACATATGGATACGTATCCTGGATTATAGGCAATAACTGGAGTGACAGGAGGAGATTATAACTCGGAAAATAGATTATAACTATTTCAAAAGAAGCACTGAAAGACCCTGGAGTAAAACATTGTGTTTTAGCTTCTGTGAGTCTGAGTATTGTTGTTCTGTACTCTATAACTTTGTTATAACATAATTCACGTTTATCTGCTTCAAATGATATAGTTTCAATATATTTCAAAATATACAGTTATCTCTGAACTGTTGAGGGTTGAGTTGTAACACTATTAGATTTGCAGTAATGCACTCATTTTAATTTAGTTCAAATTTAATTCAAAATGATATATTATGCCTGCCATGTTCAGTATAGCCTACCCCAACTTACCGCCTTTAATTTTAAATATTTTAAATCGTAAACATATAAAACAAATTCCAAATGGTAAATATTTTAATCAGTGAGTGAATTTTCCAATGCCATTTTTTAATTAATTTCTATGAGGATTTTTATGGGTGGAATCTAATTAGGTTCATCTTGAGGAACCAGAATTTGGCTTTTATAGACAAAACATATATTTTTGTGTTAGTTTTTTATAGATAGTTTCCCAGGAAGCGGCAATTTTGTTCTCTTGAACACATGGGATGGAGATGCTACTTTATTCGCGAATGTTTTAAGCAACATTCCAGTTTTGCACATCATTTAAATTCGCAACTTTGAATGGAAACAGCGTCCCATTTTATGTGGGTCCAATTCGAACTAAACATACAATTTTTACAAAATTCTGTACTATGAGTCACATAACTTTTATTATCACCCCAGGAGGCTTTATAATTGGTTAAATTGATGATGTTCCAACTCAACCCGTGTTACAACACTCCTATAGCCTAATGTAGTAGTTTTACAAGATAGATCACTTCTATCTCGATAGATCGCTCCCTTCACCTAGTTTTTACTAATTATCTGGGACGCTCATCCATTCACATGAACTCGTATGTTCAATAATGAGGGCGGTATTATTGAGCGTTCACTGTGCTACTTCACTGAACTCATTTACAATGAACCACTTGCTACATTAGCTACTGTATGTTTACTGTTGACTCATGACGTAGTACTGCACAAAAACTGACACTGAAGTCAGAATTTGCTGTTATGATCTCACCCAGTACTAATTTTTGTTTTTATTTTAGATTTTAGACTCATTATGAAACATGTAATGTCTAAATCTGAAAGCAGCCGCTAATTAAAGAGTCAGTGCATTATAGTCTTGTACAGTTGATTTTGTAGGGAGGTTTGCATACAGATGGAAAACTCATGTACAATATAGGCCTAGTTGTGCACTGAACCATAATATTAATTTAAGCAATTGCTATTTTACTTTAGCATGATAGCATAACACACCTCAGCACAGTCTGAATAAATTACCAAATTGAAAGAGAGTCAAACTTTGCTAGTTTGTTCCTCAATTCAAAGCACTCCTTTGTTTCTGCATTACATTTTTCTGGCTATACTATACAGAATGTTTTCACTGAGGTGTATGTCATTTCCTCCAAGATTATGAGGGTGATGATGACAAATGGGCAACAAGAACAAACTAAAAGGTTGTGTACACTAGTGATGGCAATTTCTGCTTCATGAAGCTTCGAAACCTTTACGAATCTTTTGTTCCGAATCAATGGTTCAGTGCGTGTATCAAACTGCCAGAGTCACGTTATTTCAGTAAACGAAGTTTCATAACATCATAACTGTTTCGAAACACTTCGAAATTTCAATGGTTCACCGCTGGGGGCGATGATCTCTGTTTTTAGGCATTTTAATAAGACATTAGTATACACTGTAAAAATGAATACGCATTATCTAATCAATAAAATTGTGGCAACGGATTACAAGCAATGTTATTAGTTAAATTGAACAAATTAGAATTGAGTAAATAATAATCAAATTATTCCTTAAAAGTTAACCATTTAAAATGAGTAGAGTTTACTCCAAAAAATTGAACAAAATTATCTGAATAACAGACAGACAGACGTCAAAGTTTAATTAAGAACTCTTTATTTTATATTGCCAACATTGAAGAAACCTAATGTTAACATGCAGAATCACTGAAGGAGAAACCTAAAAAAAACACTGATCAACATAATGGCGACTTAAATGTAATTTTTTTTGTTTGTTTGTTTGTAAGTTTTACTCATTTTAAATGGTTTACTTTTAAGGAATTAATTTGAATAATTATTACTCAATTCTAATTTGTTAAATTGAATGAATAATATTGCTTGTAATCTGTTGCCCCTTTTTTTGATTAGATAAATTCATTTTTACAATGTAATTCAACTGAATATTGGTAGTTAATAGTCTCTTATTGGCCTGTTTATCTGAGCCATTCATCGAACAAACAAAACAAACCCTGACAATTGATAAAATAACATATCTAGACACTTGATCATATGATTAGATAATTGCATTTGAAAGATTTTACATTCAATAAAAATTTGCAATCTTTTTTAAAAAGTTTTTTGCATGTTTGGCCCGGGTTTTTGTTCGAAGCCTCGACACAATACGGCACATTTGCTTCAACTGTTTCAGTGTTTCAAGAAGCCTCGATCTGCCCACCCCTGGTGAACACATTATGCTATATTTATATGCTACATCGCAGCAATGACAATTTCAGCAAAACATGCAGTAAAATATAAAAATAATTAATTCCTGTGTTGATATTAGTGCCTAGCATGTTTATGCAAGGTTAAATTGCTTAAACTTATGGAATATATTAAAAATAATGCAAGTACTACTAGGCTGTATTCTACATTGACTATTGGCCATTCATTGACCAGACTGGCTGGAAATGATCTTAGCAGTAATCTATAGGGAGTGCCGGATAACCATTATGCTTAAGCTTTACTGGAGCATCTGGATGATAGTAATCATAATATTGCATGTTTGCTCTGGGTATAAGCATTTATCCTGACAGTCCACAGAGACATGCAGCTGTAATATCACGAACAACACCCTGCGGTGCTTAAACAGTTGCATGTTTTCCGGTTTGCTCCATTGGGCCGTGCAAAGTTGGATGGGAATGAATGGATCTTTTGTTTACCACACAACTTCTGCTTTTGTTGTCAAGTCCAAGAAACTAAATTGTCCTTCATGCTTCAGTCTCAAGGTCTCCCTCTATTAGAAACCATTTAACAAATGAATAAAAACTCTTCTTTTATTATGCCTCAGAGTCAGACAATATATATATATATATATATATATATATTATATATAATATTTGAAATCAATATTTGAAATAATTTTTTATATTTTTTTTTAGTGGGTGCAGGATACTGTAGTTAATTTATGTAAGTGAGGATAGCAAAATAAATTAAACTGTGACATTATTACAGTATACCCAAAAATTCTTCATACATTGGACAACCAGTATAATTTATTTAAAATTTAGGACCAAATATTATTCAGACACTTTAACCTGACCATGTTTTGCTTAAATGTATAGTTTTTTACTGCTAATGCAACCTTTTTACACCACAGTCTGAACAAAATTAAGCATTGCTTGGTAATTGGTTGACTTAAATTGGTATTATCTAATTGTGTACTTAAATTTAACTGCTGACACTTGACAGCTATTTAACTTAATTCATTTGCGAGAGTCTAACAGAAGGATGGCCAAAACCAGGGAAATATGAACTGATTTGAGATCTGAGTTCTTGTTATATTTTATTACCATTTTCTAAACTAGCGAATAAACTGTGGTAATGTGAGAAATGTTGAAGGTGTCTGAATAAATTTTGGTGTCTGTATTTGTTTATATGTTTCAGAACTGTACGGTTAAACATTCATTAATTGTAAAAGACATTTTCGAAGTTGCCAAAAATACCAGTCTTTCTACTTACTACTTTCACATTTAATTCAATGTTACTTGTTGTCGCTTGTGTCATATTTTTAAAGTTTACTAGAAATTTCTGAGTGAAAATTGTCTCAAAGTAAATCCTACACAATTTTTTCCCCCAATGTATTACGATTGTACATCATCTGAGTTAGAGTTGCAGAAAAAATCTGAAAGAGAATTACAGAACTGTACACCACATACTATTAATAATCACTAACAGTAAAGTGTCCTTTCGGTTGAATAGAACTTATTCACAGCAGTGCCAGCTTTGATTTTTAACGGGAATGAAAGCGAGGCTGTGTGGGATTGACATGCATCTCTTCATTGGGTTGTACTGATATTTAATGTTTTCCCGCTGACGAAACCCAGCAAAAATATCTTTCCAGTACATTTCAGTAGACAAAAAACTCCTCATGAGCTGAGGGAAATGATTAGTGATCTAGGAGCTGCTTTATATAGCGGATGCCACTGACAAATCTCGCTTTCATACCTGTCATGGCATTGCATGAATAAGGTCTATTGCGGAACGCGATGTCAACAGAGGGTTCAAAACGGGAATGTGATTTCCCCCTTGCAGCAGAAGAGGTCTGTGCACGCTACTGCTGTACCCACAATCACTGTACTGTACTGTTGTCTTGAGAAGTTCATGTACTCAAAAACCCTTGTGTGAGGCACAGTCGGTGCTCTGTAGATGAAAATATGAAGTGCTTTGGGAGACAAACAGGGCCTTTTAGACTGAAACGACTTGCGAAATGTATTGTGTTTGATTTTTTGAATAGTGGAACTAAAGGTCCTGACCCCTCTGAAAAGAAATGACACATCGTGCTCGTATTTGAAATCAGTAATGAATTTAAGTTCATGGTTAAAGGGTAAGTTCACCCAAAAATGAAAATTAAGTCATTAATTACTCACCCCCATGCTGTACCAACCCCGTAAGACCTTCGTTCGTCTTCGGAACACAAATGAAGATATTTTTGATTAAATTTGAGAGCTGTATAACTACCACATTGGCTCCTAAAGGACTGGCTCTTGACGGCCCAGAAAGTCAATGAAGAAAATGTTTAAATATCCCAAGTGACTACCGTGGCTCAACTATATGTTTATCAAGCGACGCGAATACTTTTTGTGCAAAAAAACAAACAAAAATAACGAGTTTATTCGACTATTTCTTTTCTTCCTTGTAGGCCAGAACGAGACTTCCTTAGATTTCCACGACGCATGCGCGAGAATTGCGATCTGAAGTAGTGTACGCTGGTGTGAGCAGATCGCAAATCTCGCAAATCTTAAAAAAAGAAAAACTAAAATATCACATGGTCACAAGTATTCAGACCCTTTGCTGTGACACTCATATATTTAACTCAGGTGCTGTCTATTTCTTCTGATCATCCTTGAGTTCAAAAAATGAACTTAAATGATTTTAGCAAATGGCTGCAATATAACACAGAGTGAACAATTCTGAACAGGTCTGAACACTTTCCGTACCCACTGTACCAGATGTCTGCTCAGATGCCACCCTGAAAAAGCAGATTGCAGAAATGTCATGGTGTAACATGAAAAGCTGTTGAAATTATAAAAAAGATCTGAGGAGTGAAATATGCAGGTTGGCACCTTTTACATTCAATGGCCATGACCTCTTTTGTGGTCTGGCTGAGGAAATCTAATAAAATGCTTACTGTGTTTTTATCTCTAATGTTCAGTTTTGGCTAGTTTTGAAAGGGAAACATTAGGCTGTACTTTGGAGAAAAGCATTGTGGGTTCAGAGTTGGATATAAGAAGCAGATAAGAGTCGCATTCCTATTCACTGACTCTCTAAAGAACCCAAAATGGACCTAAAATAGTTTTGAACTGATAACAAAGCACCTTTTACAGGCTATTAATGTTTGGCAAAGTTGGCAAAACTCAAAATTTTAGAGGTAATAATCAGTAACATTAATCAGTTAACATTAATCTTCCACAAAAACATTATATAAATATTTCAAACAACATGAGGGTGAGTAAATTACAGAATCTTTATTTTTGGGTGAACTGTACCTTTAGTGAATCATTTTTTCCAGAGCAATGCCATACTGTATGTTTCTTGTTTTAGTTGCTTGGAGTTGCTTTCCTTGGAATCGGACTGTGGGCATGGAATGAGAAGGTGAGCAAAAAAACAGTATCTAATGCATAATGCATAACATTCATCTTTATTTGATAAACATCTTAATGCACATGTGAAGTTGAGATGTCACATGTTCTTCACATTAAATAAATGAACACCAGTGGTTTGTTGGAGACCTACATAGACCTACTACACTCTAAAAAATGCTGGGTTGTTTTAACCCAACTTTGGGTCAAATATGGACTAACCCAGCCGTTGGGTTAAATTTTTACATTACATTTTTAACCCAACATTTCGGGTTTGTCCATATTTGACCCAAAATTGGGTTAAAACAACCCAGCATTTTTTAGAGTGTATATATACTGTATATATATATATATATATATATATATATATATATATATATATACTGTATACACTCTAAAAAATGCTGGGTTGTTTTAACCCAATTTTGGGTCAAATATGGACAAACCCGAAATGTTGGGTTAAAAATGTAATGTAAAAATTTAACCCAACAGCTGGGTTAGTCCATATTTGACCCAAAGTTGGGTTAAAACAACCCAGCATTTTTTAGAGTGTATAGTTGCTGTTTTTTAATGTTTTTCTTGGTAACTAGATCATTTTTATTTAATTTATCTATTAATGTACTATGTAGGGTGGACCAAAAATGTTTAGACAGTTTAATTTTTCACTCAAGGCTCCATCTGGTCTTTTACACACAAAGATGTATTAACACACATGGATATACTGTATTGTGTGTGTGTTTATTTTGGATCTATGTGGGTCTTGCATTTTTTGTGCCATAATTGCAAATATTTGTATCTGCTGTAATTGCTAACAACCATATTTGAAACAGATTGGAACAGCAAATGAGCTAATTAAAGCCCAGTCTCATCTCTCTCTCTCTTTCTCTTCCTCAGGGAGTTCTCTCGAATATCTCCTCCATCACAGATCTGGGTGGATTTGACCCAGTGTGGTTGTTTTTGGTGGTGGGAGGGGTGATGTTCATCCTGGGTTTTGCAGGCTGTATCGGGGCCCTGAGGGAAAACACTCTCCTGCTCAAGTTTGTATGTTTTCCAAGTTTTCATTCTTATTAGGAGTGGGTGTAACCTATTTGTAATGCCTTTTTTAGCACTTAAATGCATAGTTGTTTGTGCAATTGTTAAAACATGCTTTGGTTCATCGTAAATCTGTATGAGTTTCTTTCTTCTGCTGAACACAAAAGAAGATATTTTAAAGAATGTTGGTAACCAAACAGTCGATGGACCCCATTGACTTCATAGTATTTATTTTTCATACTCTGGAAGTCAACGGGGTCCATCAACTGTTTGGTTACCAACATTTTTTTAAATATCTTCTTTTGTGTTCAGCAGAAGAAAGAAACTCATACAGGTTTGGAACAACTTAAAGGAGTAGTTCACTTTAAAAAAAAATAAAAAACTTTTGCTGATAATTTACTCACAACCATGTCATCCAAGATGTTCATGTCATTCTTTCTTCAGTCGAAAAGAAATTAAAGTTTTTGATGAAAACATGCCAGGATTTTCTCCATATAATGCACTTCAGTGGTAACCAAACGGTTCAAGGTCCAAATGAGAGTTTCAGTGCAAACTGCAAACTGTTCAAAGGGCTTTAAACGATTCCAGACGATGAATAAGGGTCTTATCAAGCGAAATGATCACTCATTTTAAGTTTTATAAGCTCAAATGGTCGCCTTGCTGCGTTCGTGACTCTCCTGTTCGAACTCATTCATCAAAATGAACGAATCTTTTTCCGAGTTAATTCGTTCACTTCGTTCGTTGAATAGATCGAATGACACGAAAAAAGATTTGTTCATTTTGATGAACGAGTTTGAACTGGAGAGTCATGAATGTGCAACACAGAACAGAGCAAGGTGAGCATTTGTGCTTATAAAACTTAAACTTTGGTAAGAACCTTTTGCATCGTCTGGAATCGTTTAAAGCCCTTTGAACAGTTTGCACTGAAACTCTCATTTGGACCTTGAACCGTTTGGTTCCCATTGAAGTCCATTCTATGGAGAAAAATCCTGAAATGTTTTCTTCAAAAACCTTAATTTCTTTCTTTGACAGAATTTTAATTTTCGGGTGAACTATACCTTTAATGTGGTGTATTTGTCTTTCTCCTCTCCCAGTTTTCTGTGTTTCTGGGGATAATCTTCTTCCTGGAGCTGACTGCCGGCATCCTGGCCTTTGTCTTTAAAGACTGGATAAAAGATCAGCTAAACTTTTTCATCAACAACAACATACGAGCCTACAGAGATGACATTGATTTGCAGAACCTGATCGACTTCACTCAGGAATATGTAAGACTCAATGCCAGAACTCATGTCTCAAATACAAAGGCAGAGAAATTGAACATGGGGAAAGGCTTAAACAAGATGAAAGAGAAATGAAAAGTGTGTAGGTGTGTGTGCACAGGAGAAAAAAAAGCAAACTATCAGTTTATCTGTGCCACATGTCATCACAGAAGTGCACACACAATCAGTTGCCATAGAAACAGCTTGACTTTATGATTCCGTCTCCACTCACAGAGATCCCTGTCTGTTCACATTTTATTTTCTTAGAATGGTAAGTTGTCAGCCCGAAATTGTGTTTATTTCGAGGCTATTGAAGGTATCAAAAAAATGGACATTTAGAAAGTTAAAGGAGTAGTTCACTTTTTAAAAAACTTTTGCTGATAATTTACTCACCCCCATGTCATCCAAGATGTCCATGTTTTTCTTTCTTCTGTCGAAAAGAAATTAAGGTTTTTGATGAAAACATTCCAGGATTTTCTCCATATAATGGACTTCAGTGGGAACCAAACGGTTTAAGGTTCAAAAGACACTTTCAGTGCAAACAGTGCCAGATGATAAATAAGGGTCTTATCAAGCGAAACGATCGCTCATTTGAAAAAAAAACAACAACAACAAAGTTTAAGTTTTAGAAGCTCAAATGCTCGCCTTGCTCTGTTCTGTGACGCAAGTTTGTGACTCTCCTGTTCGAACTCTTTCATCAAAATGAACGAATCTTTTTCCGAGTCATTTGGTTCATTCAACGAACTAAACGAAAAAATTGACTCGGAAAAAGATTCGTTCATTTCTTTTCGACTGAAGAAAGAAAGACGTGGACATCTTGGATAAAATGGGGGTGAGTAAATTATCAGCAAAAGTTTTTTGAAAACTGAACTACTTTAAAGGGATAGTTCACCCAAAAATGAAAATTCTGTCATTAGTTACTCACCCTCTTGTCGTTCCAAACCCGTAAGACTTTCATTCAACTTCGGAACACAAATGAAGATATTTTTGATGAAATTTGAGCTTTCTGTTCCTTCATTGACAGTTATGAAACTACCACTTTGATGCTTCAAAAAGTTCAAATTCATAAAACTGATTTGCCGTCAATGGAGGGACATCAAAAACAAGATTTCAGTTGAGCCCCACACAGCACAACTGAAGCTTATATTGAAGCTTATTTTATTGTTTTTTTCCAGTTTTATGCTCTGTACTGCAGATCTGTTTCCAGAACATGACTTTTCCTCAGGACAGATTTAATTAGACATCCGAGTCGGGCAGATGCTGTCATATTATTTTCCTTCCTTGCATGATAAAGAAGACAGACATAGCAAAGCACTGCATGTCAACATAATATACTAGTATAATGGGAGAACATGGGGGGATCGAGGTTTTCTTTCTTTAAGGAACAAACGCCTTATGCCACATCTATGACATTGATGTGTGTTAAGCAGATAAATTCAATGCATCCGTATTTTCACTGTACTTCCTTATGTTGTGTCTAATATCCGAAATTATTGCAATTTGATCTACATTTTATGATGAAAGTGCATTCCAGATTGTAATGTAACTCCAATGCTGGGCAATATTTTTGTTTCTTTAGTGGGAATGCTGTGGGGCGTTTGGAGCAGATGACTGGAACCTGAACATCTACTTCAATTGCACAGACAGCAACCCCAGCCGAGAAAAATGTGGCGTGCCCTTCTCTTGTTGCACCAAAGACCCAGCGGTAAGAGATGCATTTATATGGAAACTTTGTGTTTGTAACTTAATACAGCGCATAAAAAAGCATTTTACATTCACAAACAGCTATATTACACACTACATGAAAGGTAATATCCAAGCAAAGCATAAAACGCACTTTAAATATGACACAATTGAAATTTTTTACCACTGAGATGCTTGCCATCTTCCTCCAGAACAAAATGAATGCAGTTCTTTTCTAAGCACAATTTGCATGCCACTATTTTCCCGATTAAAGAGAGACTAAAAGCGTGAGGGGAAAGCGCAAACAATACATGACAGAGCAAAACAAAAGGGGAGTAGAGAACAGGATTTGGTCTACGTGCACAGAGTAAAAATAACATTTCGCACACTATAAACAAGAACTGAGAGCACATCTACTGTATAGCAAAGAGGATGGAATTATGGCCTGTTGTGAGCTATTAACTCATAACAAATAATCATTATTGACATTAAACGATTCAATTACGAGCCTTTCTATGAATGCGGCCTTTCATTATTACAGTATGAAGGAGAACTGCAGGCGGTAATGTGTTTCCTTCACAGTAAGGTATAATAAGAAAAGCAAATAGTGAGTCATTTACCTACTATAACTTGTTGAATATGAAATCACTGGACAGGTGAAAAAGCAGAACTGATTTCAAACAGGAACAAAGTGAAACTATTTCAAGTGAAATGAGTCATGAAGATTTGAAGGGTGACAAACATATCCTGTTGGCTAGTTTGTTCTGGGGGGTTTTTGTGATAAAAATGATGAACTTTCCAGTCTTATCTCGTCACTCCACCCACACTGGAATTCTTCTGACTGTCAACATACTTCCTTAAAGTTGAAATGTTACCACTGTCCTCCATTAATTCCACATGGATGACTTGTTTTGCAGGAGGATGTTATCAACACACAGTGTGGGTATGACGTCCGGGCAAAATCAGTGAGTCTTACTCTTTTGCATTTAATCTTCACTCTAAATTCAAAGTTACAAAAGCTATATAGTCAAAAGGAGTGAGTGATATCCTTGTCTTTTGTTGTTTGATTAACATTAAAAACACAGACAGCAGGAATATTAGGCTGCTGTCACTTTAAGATATAATGCATAGATCCAATACACTGATACTGATACACATGCGTTGTCTTTCTCGACTGTTTATGTTCACTTAAGACATGTTAACACAATTTTTGTGTGAATTTGTCCGTTCAAGCGCAAGACTTGAGAGAGAACTCAATATTTGCCCAATATTTTGTGCACACACGTCTTTTCAGTTCTCTTTCACGTCTTCTTTGATTGTTTAAATTGGCAAGGCTTAAATGAGTTTAGTTTAAGCCCAGATAATGTGCTGTTCAGGCCTCACCTCTGCTCACTGTCAACGCGATGATGACGGCGTAAACGAATGTTAGCACTCCTATTGAACAAAGTTTACAAAGTGTGACTGTTTTGTCCATTTTTTTGTTTTCATATCATCATGTTGTAACGTAATGGGAAGTCAGAATGCGTATACATCGACAGAAACATACAGTAACCGAACTTTGTTTTCCACGTTATTTTCAACAAAACATATTATGGCAAGTGTATGCCGAACCATAGGTGGAGAACTGAAACGGTTTGATTAAAAAAATAAAAAATTCAGAGAATGGTTACATATAGAAGCTTGTTTCCGCCACTGAATAAAAAATTTGTTTTAAATATTTGACTTTTTGTCTCACAATTATGAGATATGAAGTCACAATTCTGAGAAATAAAGTCGCAATTGCGATATATAAAGTCGCAATTCTGAGAAATAAGGTCGCAGTTGCGAGATATAGTCGCAATTGTGAGAAATAAAGTCGCAATTGTGAGATACAGTCACAATTCTGAGAAATAAAGTCGCAATTGCGAAATATAAAGTCGCAATTCTGAGAAATAAAGTCGCAATTGCGAAATATAAAGTCGCAATTCTGAGAAATAAGGTTGCAATTGCGAGATATAAAGTCGCAATTCTGAGAAATAAGGTCGCAATTGTGAGATACAAAGTCAATTCTGAGAAATAAATTTGCAATTGCGAGATATAAAGTCGCAATTCTGAGAAATAAGGTCACAATTGCGAAATATAAAGTCGCAATTCTGAGAAATAAGGTCGCAATTGCGAGATATAAAGTCGCAAATCTGAGAAATAAAGTCGCAATTGTGAGATATAAAGTCGCAATTACAAGTCGCAATTCTGAGAAATAAGGTCGCAATTGTGAGATACAAAGTCAATTCTGAGAAATAAATTTGCAATTGCAAGATATAAAGTCGCAATTGTGAGATATAAAGTCGCAATTCTGAGAAATTAAGTCGCAATAGCGAGATATAAAGTGTCAATTGTGAGAAATAAAATTGCAATTGCGAAATATAGTCACAATTCTGAGAAATAAGGTCGCAATTGTGAGATATAAAGTCATAATTCTGAGAAATAAAGTCGCAATTGCGAGATATAAAGTCGCAATTCTGAGAAATAAAGTCGCAATTGCGAGATATAAAGTCGAAATTTCGTGAAATAAAGTCACAATAGTGAAATACAGTCACAATTCTGAGAAATAGTTGCAATTGCGAGATATAAAGTCGCAATTCTGAGAAATAAGGTCACAATTTCAAGATATAAAGTCGGAATTCTGAGACATGAAGTCACAATTCTGAGAAATAAAATCACAATAGCAAGATATAAAGTGGCAATTGTGAGAAATAAAGTCGCAATTAGGAAATATAAAGTCACAATTCTGAGAAATAAGGTTGCAATTGTGAGATATAAAGTCATAATTCTGAGAAATTAAGTCGCAATTGCAAGATATAAAGTCGCAATTCTGAGAAATAAAGTCGCAATTGCGAGATATAAAATCGAAATTTCGTGAAATAAAGTCACAATAGTGAAATACAGTCACAATTCTGAGAAATAGTTGCAATTGCGAGATATAAAGTCGCAATTCTGAGAAATAAGGTCACAATTTCAAGATATAAAGTCGGAATTCTGAGACATGAAGTCACAATTCTGAGAAATAAAATCACAATAGCAAGATATAAAGTGGCAATTGTGAGAAATAAAGTCGCAATTAGGAAATATAAGGTTGCAATTGTGAGATATAAAGTCACAATTCTGAGAAATTAAGTCACAATTGCAAGATATAAAGTGGCAATTCTGAGAAATAAATTTGCTATTGCAAGATATAAAGTCGCAATTCTGAGAAATAAAGTCGCAATTGCGAGATATAAAGTAGCAGTTATGAGAAATAAAGTTTTAATTGTGAGAAAAAAAGACAAGAGAAAAGACAATTCTGACTTTTTTTTTATCAGGCCAATTCTAATGGAAAAAAAGTTTTTTGCCCCTCAGAATAATTCTTTTTTGCAACACAAAACTTTACAACATGCAATTTTGACTTTATATTTTGCATTTCTGACTTTATAACACGCAATTGCGACTTTATATCACGCAATTCTGACTTTATATCTCGTAATTCTGACTTTATATCTCGTAATTCTGACTTTATAACACGCAATTGCGACTTTATCACACAATTCTGACTTTATATCTCACAATTCTGACTTTATAACAGGCAATTACGAGTTTATGTCTTGCAATTCTGACTTTATTTCTCAGAATTGTGAGATGCACCTTTTTTATTTTTCATTCTGTGGAAACCAGCTTCCATAGTTACACCCCAAATATGGATTAATACAAAAGAAGTACGCTGTTATTCATTTCATACACAATGGTAAAGTAATTAAAAATACAGTATATGTACATAGACACAGTAAAGAAAAATTCTATATATATTCTATAAAATTCTATATATATATATATATATATACAGATATATTCACACATATAAAAGTTATTTGTAGTTTCCTAATTTATTAACTGTAATACGTTCACTTAAAACTTGTAGACTTAAATTTACTGAACTGGTATTTTCTTGTAACACATTCTCCATTACAAACTTTGAAACTATCTTTATTTACGGTGCAAAATAAAAGATCACCACAACATGAACATAATCCTTTAGATCTGAGAAACACAAATTCAAGCGTGGACTGTTCATGTTGTGCATAGTTAGAAAGAGGAAAGCCTTGATCCTAATTTCATTTTCCTCATTAGGATGCAGAACAGAAAACATACATTCATGTGAAAGGCTGTGTGCCGCAGTTTGAGAAATGGCTACAGGACAACCTGACGATAGTGGCCGGGATCTTCATTGGAATCGCGCTGCTGCAGGTGAGAACGCCTTCACCTTAACGTCCTGCGATCGCTGACTGGATCTGCTGTCTGTACTCATTCTGTTTCTCTCGCTCTATTTTCTGCAGATATTTGGAATATGCCTTGCACAAAATTTAGTCAGCGATATTGAAGCTGTGAGAGCCAGCTGGTAAGAACACACAAATGCAAACTTACGACACATCCTCTCTTCCTGCTCTAGTTTTGCACACTGCCACAGCAAGCAGCTTTTCTCTTTCGCCCCAGTGCGTTGATGTGTGGATTCATAATGCACATGAATGAGTTCCTGCTCTAATACAGTTAATGGAGTCTTATCAAAACCACTAAACAACCTTTCTTCATTTTTTGCTGAGAGCTGCCACCATGTGGACAACAAAAGGAATATTTGGTTAAAGCTCACTCAGCTCTTTTGAATGGCTATATCATCTAATATTAAGAATAATTATAATATTTTTTTAATGTTTTTGAAAGTCTCTTTTAAAAAGAGTAAAATACAGTAAAAATAGTCATATTGTGAAATAATATTACAATTTAAAAGAACTGTTTTCTGTTTAAACATATTTTAAAATGTAATTTATTCCTGAATTTTCAGCATCATTACTCCAGTCTTCAGTGTCACATGATTCTTCTGAAATCATTCTATGATGATTTGATTCTCAGTAATTATTGTTTCTTGATTATTATCAGTGCTTAAAACAGTTTTTTTTCTGCTTAATGTTTTTCTGGAAATTTTGATAATTTTCTTTTCTTGAAGAATAGAAAGTTCAAAAGAATGGACTATGTGCACGTTAGCATATGCTAGTTCCGGCTGCGAAACCGATATGGGGTGTCTAGTTTCCGGTAGCCTGATGGACGACGTAGAGGATGTATGTTTCTCCAGATGTCTTGAACATTTGCCGAATATTACAGTCGATTATGTTCATCGACTGGCTAATGATTTTCCTCCAGCTCCCCAGAGCAAGAGAGAAGGGGTTTAAATATTACATTTCTCAGTATTTGCATCATTTTGAAGGGAACGTTAAGTCACAACAACATCCATGCTCTGACTGATCTCATGAAATTGCGTATGTATGACACGTATCACGTATTTTTGGCATGCTATCAACACGCATAATCTCTTTTCAGCGTGTTTATGAATACCGTTGACTTAACGTTATTATTGTGTGTGTATATATATATATATATATATATATACATATATACACACAGTGTATATATATATATATATATATAGCATATGACCTACCTCAACCTTAACCTACCCGTCACTCCTACCATAGGAAAAAATAAATATCGCTCCCCAGATGTACATCTACATTTTGTTTTGTTTCGCTCGGACATTTGACGGCGTGTACATACGCGGTACACGTGGAATCACTCGGACATTAATGTTGCCATGCTACGTGCTCAAGCTATGCGATTTGGTAACTGTTCTCTCTATACATTATAAAATGCGAAATCATGCGTTAGAAAGTGCATTTTCCAGAACAGTTTGTGTTGGCCATTGTTTTCTTTATGATGTTCAGAGGCTATGTTGTTGACAACCACTATCGTCATATAGATCAGTGTTGACAACCACTATACATGTCATACAGGGAGTAAAGGTATCCGACGTTGGTTCGTTCGTTATCAAGTTAGGCTGTTTAACACATATTAGGCTGTTCACACATATTTCTAAACAGGTCTCCCTTTCAAAATAGGTTCTAAACCCAGGGGCTTCTCCTGGTTAAAGGGTATAATATAATAAATAATTAGTAGCCTAAAAACTTCCTTCTAGTTGTCATGGATACGCAACGCTCCACTCTGTGAAGCGACTGCTTGGGTGCGGTGACAAAATGTGAAATATCGTTTACTTTTCACAATGCAGTAGCGCCTGGCTCCACCTAAATATGAGTGAAAACTGTGTTGGTTGACTTGACAATGAACAAACGAACATAGTTTTAGACAAATATATTTAGATAGCTAAGCTTTAGATAGCCGGTCCACTGATGTAGGATGTAAACAACGGCAACCGGAACCGAAGTACCCAACATCCGCCCTCAAGGCGGAAGTTAGCATTTTTCTCGTGCACATAGTCAATAGCATTTGTTTGAAATAGAAATATTTTGTAACATTATAAATGTCTATACTGTGACTTTGAATGAATGAAAGTATTGAATTATTTTCTTTTTTTATCTTACTTGCCCAAGCAGCCAAATATAAATTACAAGAATACATTTTTAAATATTTAACAATAGAAAATATTGCTATATTTCACAATATTACTGTATTTTGGTCTTGGTGAGCCTAAGAGACTTAAAAAATCATTAATATTATTACTCCAAACCTTTGACCTGTAGTGTAGCATTGCCTTAAAGCAGCACTATGCAGTTTTTTTTACCTTAACTGAATAGTTTCGGAGTTATTGCAATGGTTATGTGACTATTTTCAGGTTGAATGTTGGGCGTCTCGGTTTCTCGTGTCTCGTGATGTAACGAATTGCTTTACGGCAAGAAGGATCAGCTAAAATGAACATCAAACAGAAATAACCCGGCGCCGTATACATGTGGAGGCGCATACAATACAGACTGCCGACAGTTCAACAGGGCGCAGCTCTTAAAGGGGCCACACCTTATTTCCACTCGTTACAGCTTCCATCCTACTGAACAGGTACCGGTTTACAGGGGGAGGGGATCAGGCTGCGAGTGCTGAGACATCTCTGCGCGAGTACTGTGAGTACTCCACAGCGACTCTAGGTGTCACAGTTTGACAAAAACGAAAATCCTGCATAGTGCTGCTTTATACTCTCTAAGGTGATGTAAATGTGATTTACTCCCAATTAAACTCCTCAACACACACACCCCTCCACTCACTGTCCTCCGTCCTCTCTATCTCCCACACTGTCATAATCACGCCAACTCGCCTCACAACTTCACTTCTCCTCCCCCATGCCTTCATCAGGGTGCCGCCCCTCTCTTACGTCGCCCGCCGCCCTCCGCCCCACTACAGCAAGAAAGCCTCGGCGTACTCCTGAGGGAGGCGTTCGTCTGGTGGGTGTGTAACATGCCTGGTGTTTTGTGTTTGTGTTCACCTAGATTCTTACCGTTCTGTTTTTCCTTGTTTGGGGGCTTGTGAATGTTCGTACTCCCATAACAGTCATCATTCAAAGGTTCATTCACTTACAACAGAAAAGTTAGACTTTCACATTTTCAGAGGGATAGTTCACCCAAAAATGTAAATTCTGTCAAGTTGTTGAACACAAAAGAAGGTATTTTGAAGAATGTTGCTAACCAGACAGTTGACGATAGCCATTGACTTTTTTGACGCATTAAAGTGGTAGTTGTATAGACTGTCAATAGAGGCACAGAAAGATCTCAGATTTCATCAAAAAGATCTTCATTTGTGTTCTGAAGATGAACGAAAGTCTTACGGGTTTGGAACGACATGAGGGTGAGTAAATACTGATAGAATTTTTATTTTAGTTTTGGGTTAATTTTATTTTTGGGTGAACTATCCCTTTAATGTTAATTTCATTAACCCTCTGTTGGTCCTCGGTGACTTCTGACCGAATAGTTTTGAATTATTAAAAATCACAGCTTCATCGGAAGGTTATGATACTTGGTGACTTTTTTTGGCATTTGGTATGTGAATACAAAAAAAAATTGAGGTCATGATCCGAGCATGCTAAGTGGTCGTAAAAAAATAGTCACACTTGTGGTCTTTGGTCAGAAATGACCGACCCATAGGAAATGAATGTGAAATTTACAAAAACATAAAAATTCTCTGAATTTTTGTTTGTACAATCTACAAATCTGCCACAATTCTTAAAAGAAGTATACCGCAGTAAAGAGGTGACACTCTACAACATAAAGAGTGCAAAAAATTTACACCCACACACACACACATACAAACACACTTTTATACACATACACACCAATAAATTCAGACTACAAAAAATCTGTTTTGAATTTTTAAAAATCACAGTTTCATCGGAATGTTACGAAACTTGGTGACATTTCTGGCATTAGGTATGTGAACACACAAAAAAAATGAGTGGTCGTAAAAAAAAAATTTGTCACGATTTTGGTCTTTGGTCAAAAATGACCCCCATAGGAAATGCATGGGAAATTGACAAAAACACAAAAATTCATACTTTTTATTATTTGTTTTACCATTTTTTAAATAAGAAATAGTTTTTGAGATTGTTACAATTATATATTCAAATCCACCAAAAAAAAAAAAAAAAATGTGTTCATTAACAGCTGGGGAATTCTCATGCCTCTCCATAGAGAGCTGCACATGCCATCTAGTGGTTACACCATGATTCTATGATTTTCTCTATACTGTAACCAGATGGTGCTAATTTTCTTCAAAAAAAAAAAATTTTTTAGACTCTATTAAACAAAAATACTGCATTAATAATAAGAAAGAAATATATATATATATATATATATATTTCCTTTGGAAAAAATAGACCATAAATATTGCATAAATATTAATAAATTCAATCAAACTGTCTCAAAATACTAAAAAAAAAAAATATTATAGAACAAAAAATAAATTGCATTGGTTTTACTGGGATGGAAGAAGTTACATTTTTAGGCCTCCGGTCACTTCTGACCGGGAAGGCCCAGGACGTGACTCATAAAGGAAGACCATCAGAGGGTTAATTACTCAAAAAAGTTATTCAGTCAATATTTTAATATTGTTTAATGGACCTGAGCTAACATTGAGCAGCTGTTTTTTTTTTATCAACATAGATGAATAAATACCGTAACAACTGTACAGTATTGCTCATTGTTAGTTAATGCATTAACTAATGGGACCTTATTGTAAAGTGTCACCATTTAATTCATAAGGATGACTTTTCCTCAATATTCCAGTCCCACAGAGATCTCGACGAGTGCATAAATGCATAAAGGTGTCCCATCCCACGATCACTGTCATTTTAACCCCATCCTTTTTCCTCCCTCAGACTTTCTCTCTCCTACTTTTAGTCCCGTTTAGCTCCACGGACTGTCTGGTGTCAAGCCTCATCCTTCACTATAACCTTGATATCCCAGCTGGCCTTGCTGCTACCCTTCCATCCATCCCACATCAGTCATGTTCTCTCTAGCTGAAAATCATTCAGTCACACTGTAGATTGCAATGGTGATTTCTCTAATGCAAGGCCCCATTTTTCAAGTTGGCATTAAAAAAAATAAAAAAAGAGCCCTACTTTGGTTTTATTGGAAAAAAAACTGGAGGAATGCCAACTCTCCTAATGAGGCCTCACACCATTGGCTTTAGACGTCTGTTTATGATCCGTGTCGTTTTTTGTGCTTTATATCTTTCTCTTGTGCAGTTTGTTCACAGGAAGTGGCAGCTAGTCGTTCAGACGCTCACAGGTAATTAATGCATTCATACACTTCCATAACGTGGAATCCTTAAAGGAGTAGTTCACTTTAAAAAAAAACTTTTGTCGATAATTTACTCACCCCCATGTCATCCAAGATGTCCATGTCTTTCTTTCTTCAGTCGAAAAGAAATTAAGGTTTTTGATGAAAACATTCCAGGATTTTTCTCCATATAATGGACTTCATTGGGAACCAAACGGTTCAAGGTCCAAAAGACACTTTCAGTGCAAACTGCAAACTGTTCAAAGGGCTTTAAACGATTCCAGACGAAGAATAAGGGTCTTATCAAGCAAAACGATCACTCATTTAATAAATAAATAACGAAGTTTAAGTTTTATAAGCTCTAATGCTTGCCTTGCTCTGTTCTGTGACGCACGTTCGTGACTCTCCTTTTCGAACTCGTTCATCAAAATGAACAAATCTTTTTCCGAGTCATTTGGTTCATTCAACAACGAATTGAAGCATTTTATAAGCATTTGAGCTTATAAAACTTAAACTTTGTTATTTATTTATTAAATGAGTGATCATTTCGCTAGATAAGACCCTTATTCATCGTCTGGAATCGTTTAAAGCCCTTTGAACAGTTTGCAGTTTGTACTGAAACCGTCTTTTAGACCTTGAACCGTTTGGTTCCCATTGAAGTGCATTATATGGAGAAAAATCTTGGAATGTTTTCATCAAAAACCTTCATTTCTTATTGACTGAAGAAAGAAAGACGTGAACATCTTGGATGACATGGGGGTGAGTAAATTATCAGCAAAAGTTTTATCAAAAGTGAACTACTCCTTTAAAGTCAGCATGAAACCAAGGTGAATGTTACGTATGAAAGTAAATATTCATACTGTTAAAGTCACCATGAAATCTTGTTTTATGGAACATTGCAGTATTTATTATAAATGATTGATCCTTCCCTTCTTGCAGCAACATCTCATCTCATCTACGATGATGCGTTTACTGGCGTGAGGGCGGGGCAACCTGTCACTCACCTGAGATCCACCAATAGCAAACCACAACCATCTAATCAATTCCCCCATGGACAAAATCAAGTCCCACCTACTTTTATTTTCTTGTTTCAGAAGCTGTATCAATATGGGACAAACAATTACATGTCAATATGGAAAAAAAATGCTATCGCAACTTCTGTTTCATGCTGACTTTAATACCAACCTAACTAGAACGATTTCTTTCGATAGAAAACATAATTGTGATCTAGTCGCATTGTCCAAACCTGTCTTACTTTTTCTTTGTAAACAGGGCTACGCCAGCTTGATGAAGCTAGCGAATGATGAACACAAGTGCACTGGGTCGTGTGTGTGTGTGCGTGTGTGAACCATAACATTTTACCATCAGTAAATCGTGCTGTTTTTTATGCGTAATACATGTAAGAAAATGTTTAGTAGCACTTTATTTTACAGTCCTGTTCCTCATGTACATACTATGTACTTATTATCGTTATTACAATAACTAACCCTGAACCTAACCGTAAGCCATGTAGTTACCTTATATTCCCCAGTGCTTTCGTTGGCAAGTACACTGTAAGTACACATAAGTGAACGTACTGTAAAATAAAGTGCAACCAAATGTTTGTCCACAGAAAATATTCTATCATTTGCCTAATGGTTAAAAATAAAAAAGCATAATTCAAAAAATAACACTGGCCAGGGAGTCAATGTCCAGTGCACTGAACGTTCACTCCCTAAAAATTCCCACAATGCACCATAAAACCCCTTGTTCCCTTATCACATAAAAAAAATGAGTTTATTTTGGATTTTATGTGATTTTATATCGAGTTACACTTTAATGCATAAGTATGCATGTTTTCCATACAAAATACGAAGTTACAACGTCACTCTGTAGGCCAAAACGCGGAAGCGAGTTTTAGCACTTTTGGTTCCCTCGCTCTAAAGTCTATGGGATTTTTGAATGGGTTTTTGCTAAATTGCCTGAAATAAGTTCTGTGGTGAACAAAGCCTCTAAATATTTTCACATTTTGATCTATGACATAGAACACACAGTTATAACCTGCTTGTGTTTTTAAAAAACTTTATATAGGCTTCAAAATGTATAAATTTTGGAAGTAATCAAAATGTATAAGATTATCTTGATAGACAAAACGTGTAAGGGTCACAACTCTTTGTTAAACACAGATCTTATGTTTTGCGATTTTCCAAAAGTCTATAGGGGAAAATGCATAGCTTTGGGATCGAGGGAAGCCATGCGCCTCTAGCTTCCGAGTTGTCCTACAAAGTGACGTCATCACTTCGGCACTCTATTAGTTACTTAAGTTATCACTGTAGTGCAATAATGTGATGCATAAATTATGTTGTCTGATCAACAGAACCTACCCAATGTATCAAATATGATCCATTAGGCTTTTGAGGAACGTTTATTTGTTCATCTCTCATATGGAACTGCGTTCCCCCGGTTTTGCCCCCACAAAAAAAGATTTAAAAAGATTTAAAGTTATAGAGTGACAACTGAAATGTATATTCATTTTATGTGAGTAGTCTCTAGTCTTGATTTACATTACAAGCTATCAAAATTTCATCTTTTTGGGCATAGAAGTATCAGTAACTGCAGCAAATTGCATATTTTTGCTCAGTTTGGGCTTTGAGTAAAATTGAGGTGTTTTTTATTTCCGTCCTCTTGTCTTGTATAAGGTCTATATTCGCACTATATCATACTATGCGAGCCTTAAAAGCCTGATGTATCAAATATGATACTCAACAATAAACACAGATGCAAAGATTGATCAAGGTTTCATGATAAACATCTGGGCCTAAATAATAATATTCTTTTTTTTAAACAATGACGGATAAAACGTCAACTTTCAAAAACCCAGTTTGATGGGAAATGATTTGTAGTACATGATCATCTATGTGGGAGAATGTGAAGCTCTGTGTGTGTGAAGGTCAACGAGGAAGTCTCTCATTGCCAATGTGTTTGCTGTTTGTTTTCGTTTATCCTGTTCACACTGGTTCATTTATGCACTTAAGTTACATATTGCATTTCACCCTTATAAGGATAGTTCACTTTGAAATTAATTTTTGATGTGTTTTAGCTTACCTCGAAGGCATCCAAGATGTAGGTGTCTTTGTTTCCGCAGTAGTTTAAATGTTGATATTTTTAGGTCAAACCGCTCTTGTCTGTCAGTCATATAATGGAGGTCTATGGTCACCACCTCAAAGAGCATGCACAGAGATGACGATATAAATACTGTTTGTTTTCACACACAAACCGCTCGTTTCGTGTCTTAGGGCATCAATGTGCACTTACATTTACGAGTCATTAAATCATGTTTAATTTGGACTTCTCTGTGCATGCTCTTTGAGGTGGTGACCATAGACCTCCATTATTTGACTGACAGACAAGAACGGTTTGACCTAAAAATATCAACATTTAAACTACTACGGAAACAAAGACACCTACATCTTGATTGCCCTTGAGGTAAGCTAAAACATACTAACAATTTCAAAGTGAACTATCGCTTTAAGAACAAATATATGAAGCTAATCTCGCAGCTTAAGTTCACTGAAACAGTTAGTTAAACATTTAATTTTATCCTTAATTTTGTCCTTGTACTAACAAATTAGAGAGCATTTCTTATTGAGATGTTTATCTTTAACAAACAATGTCTGATTAAAGAGAATAACATACCGTGACAGTATTTTTCTGTAATTTATGGACTAATCAGAAGCTTGTTTGTTGTAAATATGGAAGTGATATTTTAGCACTTTTACAATGCCAACACAGCTGGATGGTGTAACACTCTGTAACGCACTATGTAGCACTCGTGTGTCATTAAACTTCACTCAAAGTCATTTTACCTTTGTTTATGTCTCTGTTTTCTTTTAAGGAGCCTTTAGTTATTGTGAATATTAATTTAGAATCCCTTCAGCAACAAATATTGGTCAGTGTAATAGTAAAGACTGCTGTTCATTTAGTTAAATTATATATTATTTTCAGTTATCATATCAAGTTTTTGTGACATAATTATGACGTGTCATGTTACCAAAGCATTTATTTTCTTATGTGGAAGAATGGGCTTTCGATGCATCTCATAATTACATTTTTTTATGTCATATTACTTTTTATAAGTCACATAAAAAGCATAACTTCAAGTTATCCATCATATAGTTTTGACAGTCCATTTCAACTTTTTATCTCATAATTTGGTTTTATTATATAGCTTTGACTTAGTGTGTCAGTTTCAAATTTTATCTCATAATTATGACATCATATTTTAGATTTTTTATGTTATGCCCATCTCATAATTATTTACATTTTATATCATCATTTTGAGATTTTGTTATATAGCTTTGACTTAATGTCAGTTTCAACTTTTATCTCATAATTTGGTTTTATTAGATAGCTTTGACTTAGTGAGTCAGTTTCAACTTTTTATCTCATAATTATGACGTCATAATTTAGAATTTGTATGTCATGCCTCTCATAATTATTTACATTTTATATCATAATTTCAAGTTTTTATTATATAGCTTTGACTTAGAGTGTCAGTTTCAACTTTTTATCTCATAATTATGACGTCATAATTTAAAATTTTTGTCATGCCTATCTCATAATTGTTTACATTTTATATCATAATTTCAAGTTTTTATTATATAGCTTTGACTTAGAGTGTCAGTTTCAACTTTTTATCTCATAGTTATGACATCATAATTTAGAATTATGTCATGCCTATCTCATAATTATTTACATTTTTTAACATAATTTCAAGTTTTTATTATATAGCTTTGACTTAGTGTGTCAGTTTCAACTTTTTATCTCATAATTATTATGACGTCATAATTTAGAATTTATATGTCATGCCTATCTCATAATTATTTACATTTTATATAATAATTTCAAGTTTTTATTATATAGCTTTGACTTAGTGTGTCAGTTTCAAATTTTATCTCATAATTATGACATCATATTTTAGAATTTTTATGTTATGCCTATCTCATAATTATTTACATTTTATATCATAATTTTGAGATTTTGTTATATAGCTTTGACTTAATGTCAGTTTCAACTTTTTATCTCATAATTTAGTTTTGTTAGATAGCTTTGACTTAGTGAGTCAGTTTCAACTTTTTATCTCATAATTATGACGTCATAATTTAGAATTTGTATGTCATGCCTCTCATAATTATTTACATTTTATATCATAATTTCAAGTTTTTATTATATAGCTTTGACTTAGAGTGTCAGTTTCAACTTTTTATCTCATAGTTATGACATCATAATTTAGAATTATGTCATGCCTATCTCATAATTATTTACATTTTTAACATAATTTCAAGTTTTTATTATATAGCTTTGACTTAGTGTGTCAGTTTCAACTTTTTATCTCATAATTATTATGACGTCATAATTTTAGAATTTATATGTCATGCCTATCTCATAATTATTTACATTTTATATAATAATTTCAAGTTTTTATTATATAGCTTTGACTTAGTGTGTCAGTTTCAACTTTTTATCTCATACTTATGACGTCATAATTTATAATTTTTGTCATGTCATCTCATTATTTACATTTATATCATAATTTCAAGTTTTATTATATAGTTATGTATAGTCATTTTGAGTTATGTAAATGTTTGATGATTTAAATGTTTTAGAATGGGTTTCCACATTTTAATAGATATAAATATATATTGTATAATATAAATAAATACCTTGCTTGTTTTCATGTATTTTTATTTATTTAAATATATAAACACAACAAAAAGTACTGCTGTTTTATTAAAGCATCTTTCAACCATTTCATCATCCTTTTTGACAAACATATTTAGTCAATTTTGTCTAACCACAATGCATCACTAGCGCTTCTGCTGATTCAACCCACTCTCGCAAATCACTTTAATCTCCTCTTGACATCGAAATGAGGGAGTTTTAATTCAACCCAAAGATTTATTCAATTGAATAAAAATCTACTGCAGTCTATCATTAATCTGCTTAGTGAGCATTTCACTCAACATCTAATAAACTATTTCTACCCGAATATGAACATGCCTGAACGAACGCAACTTTGACAAAAAGGCAAGGTAGAATCACAGAGCATAAATTTGTCACCAGCAATTGTTTTAATAAGTTTAAATCTTTGAAATGTACAGTTCAATGACATTTACAACAATTATTTCCATTTATATTTGCACGGTTCCTACTGTAGATATATTGGATTGGCATGTGGTACAAATATGATAAATAAGAACTTATTTACCTGCCATAAACTGGCCACAGAACAGTGGTTTTAACAGTATTGAACATGCGAGGAGGTGCATGTTCGGAGGACACTGGAGAGGATGGACAGGCAGCTCCACATGCAAAAAAAAAAAAAAAGGAGACACTTTCTCGAAAGAAACATTCACAAAGAGTGTGTCGTCTGAGACATTATTATTCAGCGTAACTGTGGCGGTATCAGCTACACACATAACCCGTCCCAGCCCATACAGGTCTCAGTAATCTGCTATGAAGCCTAGTATGTGTGTGCGTACTGGCAGTCATGCTAATCATATCCTGATCAGGAATGTGTTTTAAACGATAGATGCTATGTTAGAAAGACGCCGCTATTTTGAATGTATTATGTATCATGTATTACACTTTAGTCCTTGGTACCAAGATGCATCACTTCTTCATACATCCATATGACATTAAGCAATGATTTCTCGACTAACGATATGGAATTAGCTCTTTCCAGTAAAGATATGGATCGTGGATGGCACAATAGGACCAGGAGGCAAAATATGAAAAGGTCCATGCTGGTCCAGAGGTGCCCTATACAGTACAAACACATCTCTTGATCTCTACTCTTCTATGTAAATTAGTAAGCAGGAGGAGGATTGGATAGCTGAACACAGATACGTCAACAAACTGGACGATTTAAAATAAAAAAAAACATGCACAAGTCGGGTGGTATGTGTGATTTTACATGTCAGGAAAGCACAACTGCTCTATTTCCACTGCCAACATACATGTTGTTCTACTTTTAATTCCGATTAAAGGGTTAGTTCACCCAAACATGAAAATTCGGACATTATTTACTCACCCTCATGTCTTTCCAAACTTCGTTCTATTGTCAATGAAATCTGAGAGATTTCTGTTCCTCCATTCACCCAATGCTTTTATTCTGATATAAACACACTGATCATGAACTATAGTAAAACGATATAAAACAGAAGCTCAAGCATGTTCGCTTGAAGTGCGAGAACCAATGAGGTTTGTTCTCGCATGTACGGTTGAGTCTACGTTTACCATATAAAGTGATTATGTTTCTTCAGAAGATTTGAATTAAACCGCTCAATTCATATGGATTTAATCAACATCTTGAAGCATCAGAGTATTAGAAGAATATACTTTCAATGGAGGGACAGAAAGCTCTCAGATTTCATCAAAAACATCTTAATTTGGGTTTTGAAGATGAACGAAAGTCTTACGCGTTTTGAACGACATGAGAGTGTGTAACTCGTTTTTGTTTGAACTAAACCTTTAATGGTTTTACAGATGAATTTTTATCACAGCTATGGTCTTTTAAAAATATTTTGCAGTTCGGGTATGAATCTATTGCAGAAGGCTGTCTATAAAGTATGGCCGCCTTTGGGTAACGCGTCTCTGCATGCTTGGAGCAAACAGAGGGCTTTCAGAGTCTGTAGCAGGGAATGCAGAGGGACAACATCTTGGCACATGACAACGAGAGATATGTGTGTGAGGGGAAGCAGGCAGGGAGAAAATGGTGTGTAAGAGTCTTTTAGCTCTGTGCTGTTAACCTTTGCTCTGTGAGAGAGGCCTGGTGGGCCACCGTCTTGTTCTCGTGTGAGCGGAGATTGGAGACCACGTCGATAAAGGCCAAGCTCTGCACTTCTTTGTGAAGCGGCTCTAAGGCAAGAAGAGAAAACACACAATTCAGCCATTCAAACGGAATAATTTGATTCATGAGAGTTTCGTTCGGTACAATTATGAATTTAACAAAGAAAATTTGAATAACAAACATTAACATTAATAATTTATTAATTAGGTTTACACTACATTTTGAAGGGGTCCACTTATGATTTTTTTAAACATTTTTCTTTACTGTGCGTTCACACTGGATGCAGATAGCGAGTCAAATTCACGCCAACCGCATCTAGTTATACGCTTGAACGCTTTGAATTAATTCGCGCGTCAAGAGCGAAATTGACGCGTGTAAAAAAAAAAGTTTGAAGCGAAATGCGAAACCCGTTGGTGGGCATCTTTTTTATGTTATTCGAGCATTCATCGAGAGTCACCGCTCTGTATTTTCTCTGGAGAGCCTCCAAAAGTTATTAACCTGTCATGTAATTTTTTTTCCAGAATTATGAGTCCAGACACAAACTTATGCACATATATGTTGGTTATCTACAAACCCAATTCCATAAAAGTTGGGACACTGTACAAATTGTGAATAAAAACAGAATGCAATGATGTGGAAGTTTCAAATTTCAATATTATATTAAGAATATAACATGACATATCAAATGTTGAAAGTGAGACATTTTGAATTGCCATGCCAAATATTGGCTCCTTTTGGATTTCATGAGAGCTACAAATTCCAAAAAAGTTGGGACAGATAGCAATAAGAGGCCAGAAAAGTTAAATGTACATATAAGGAACTGCTGGAGGACCAATTTGCAACTTATTAAGTCAATTGGCAACATGATTGGGTATAAAAAGAGCCTCTCAGAGTGGCAGTGTCTCTCAGAAGTCAAGATGGGCAGAGGATCACCAATTCCCCCAATGCTGAGGCAAAAAATAGTGGAGCAATATCAGAAAGGAGTTTCTCAGAGAAAAATTGCAAAGAGTTTGAAGTTATCATCATCAACAGTGCATAATATCATCCAAAGATTCAGAGAATCTGGAACAATCTCTGTGCGTAAGGATCAAGGCCGGAAAACCATACTGAATGCCCGTGATCTTCGGGCCCTTAGACGGCACTGCATCACACACAGGAATGCTACTGTAATGGAAATCGCAACATGGGCTCAAGAATACTTCCAGAAAACATTGTCAGTGAACACAATCCACCGTGCCATTCACCGTTGCCGTCTAAAGCTCTATAGGTCAAAAAAGAAGCCATATCTAAACGGGAACCAGAAGCGCAGGCGTTTTCTCTGGGCCAAGGCTCATTTAAAGTGGACTCTAGCAAAGTGGAAAACTGTTCTGTGGTCAGACGAATCAAAATTTGAAGTTCTTTTTGGAAAACTGGGACGCCATGTCATCCGGACTAAAGAGGACAAGGACAACCCAAGTTGTTATCAGCGCTCAGTCAGAAGCCTGCATCTCTGATGGTATGGGGTTGCATGAGTGCGTGTGGCATGGGCAGCTTACACATCTGGAAAGGCACCATCAATGCTGAAAGGTATATCCAAGTTCTAGAACAACATATGCTCCCATCCAGACATCGTCTCTTTCAGGGAAGACCTTGTATTTTCCAACAAGACAATGCCAAACCACATACTGCATCAATTACAACATCATGGCTGCGTAGAAGAAGGATCCGGGTACTGAAATGGCCAGCCTGCAGTCCAGATCTTTCACCCATAGAAAACATTTGGCGCATCATAAAGAGGAAGATGCAACAAAGAAGACCTAAGACAGTTGAGCAGCTAGAAGCCTTTATTAGACAAGAATGGGACAACATTCCTATTCCTAAACTTGAGCAACTTGTCTCCTCAGTCCCCAGACGTTTGCAGACTGTTATTAAAAGAAGAGGGGATGCCACACAGTGGTAAAAATGGCCTTGTCCCAACTTTTTTGAGATGTGTTGGTGCCATGAAATTTAAAATCAACTTATTTTTCCCTTAAAATTATGCATGTTCTCAGTTTAAATATTTGATATGTCATCTATGTTGTATTCTAAATATAATATTGAAGTTTGAAACTTCCACATCATTGCATTCTGTTTTTATTCACAATTTGTACAGTGTTCCAACTTTTATGGAATTGGGTTTGTACATTATAATACTATTTCATATAATCTAGATATGGAATAAATAACATTCAATACAAAATGGACATGTCTCGTATATTGAAATAAAGTTTAAGTGATAAAATATTTGCTTTGTTGTGCATTAGAACCACACCAGGCATTTAGTCATATTCCAAAATAATTTATTGAAGCATCCAGATACTTCACCACGTGATCAAGCAGCTACGCTCCTGATTGGTTAACGCGGCACGAATTGACGCCAAAGTTCAGATTTTTCAACTCAGGAGGCAGGTGCGAATTCGCATCAAACCCATGAATGCACAAATAGCACTAACTAAATAATTTGCGCTTAACGCGCCAGACGCTCAATTCGCGCAAACTTGAAGTGCGAATAGGCGTATTTGCGTCTACCGCGCCGCGCTCTACGCCTCATTCGTGCGTAACGCGTCTTTGCATTGACTTAACATTGAAATCACTCACGCCTGATGCGCTATTCGCGTCCGGTGTGAATGCACCATTAGTGTGTAATGTTGTCTGATTAACCATGAAAAAGTTCTGCAAATTTATTAATCAAAAAGTTACTCCAATCGCCTCCATTGTAGTCTTGAGTTTTCTTCCGCGAACAAACATGTCACAATGTTTTTCAAAAAAAAATTATTTTTCTTTTGTTCTTTGATTAACATAGACAGACATAAGTAGGTTTATTAGGGCGATAAATCGAATAACTCGAATTTGTACTTTGCGCCTAATTGCGCCGATTCTCCATCTTGAAAGTACATTAGCCAAAGAGGGACATACCCTTTAATTCAAGCTTCGCCTTTCGCGTTTACGTTTGAGTTAACACTCATGGACGAGGTCGAACTGGAAGCCATGTTAATCTTGGACTACATTGGCCACCGTAGGAGTTAAAACGAAATCGGAATTGAGAGGAACAGAAACTAATATTCACTGGATGGTCATTTACCTTTTCACCACTAGATGGGGGTAAAAATCACACAGTGTAGCTTTAAGTGTAGATTCAGGCCTCTTTTGGTTTAATCCTTCCTACACCTGTGAACGTGTTGAGTCATTTGTTTCTGTGATCTCTTGACTCACCCGATCCCATGATGGAGCAGATGATAATCATGGAGTTGTATTTGATCTCTGGTGCACTGTGCTCTTCTGTCAGTAGTTTGTGTAGAACCTGCACCAAATTGGAGTCGACAAAATCCTTTTCTGCACAGTCTGAAACCGAAGCCGTGAAGCGATTCAGTTAAAAGTTCTGAACAGCACAAAACATTGTGACATACCTGAATGAATGCCCTTATCTCACTAAAGGCTTCAAGGGGCTATATGTAGTATTCAGAAACCATTGTTATTAGCGACACCGGTGGCCGATAAGTGAACTGCAGCCTGCTCATGCTTATTGCTAATGCTCGCACTCATGTTCACGTAACAAAGTTAACAAAATCAAAATAATAAATAAATGAATAAAAGCTCGTTTTTAAAGTTCGTTACAAGCTGATCAAACATTTACGATGACAAAGTGATTGATGCATAAAAAATCATGACATATAGCCTTTTAAATGCATGAAATTAGTTTTAGAAGATAAATATAAATAATGTCTTTACACAATTAAAACAAGCATTATCTAATTATTATAAAAATTAAGTTAGTTTGTAAGTTTAGCGATTTCAGAATTTTAATTAGACTATAACTAGACTGATACAAAACTCTGAATGTGTTCAAATAAGGTGAATTTATGTACACTTGAAATCTTTTTCCAATTTTGTTAAGACAAAAGTAACCCAGTGTTATTACTGTTAATTAAAACTAAAACTATTAAAGAATTTTTGGTAATTGAAATAAGCTGAAAGAAAATATTAACCTCTTAAGTGTCAAAAAAATCAAGAAAGAAGGGTAAAAACCTCAGTTTTTTTTCATGCCAAGAGTTCAAAGATAGCATCCATTCAATTAAATTATAGATTCCCCATTTGTGATGTGGCAGTAGGCTATAACGCTATAACGTGTTTCTTAGAGGTTGAATTCATATCAAAATCTTCTCATATTACTTCTAAATAGGATGTCTACTTCATAAATTGTAAGACAATTGTGGAAATAATGGTTCATATCACTCAAAACACATATGGAAATGGAGACGCCCTTATATGGGCAGTAATGGAGTCTTGTTGTGCCCTAGTGAAAAAGTGTGGTACTGCGCCCAAACAAAATCTCACTGAAAGCTCTTTTTTTTAAAAATATCTACCTAAAATCTGAAACACAACTTGTATAGATTTTTTTTTTTAGAGTCGCCCACATTTTGAAAATATGTATTTTATATAAAATATGAATAATTAAATGTTTTATTACATTGTACATTTTAATAAACTCAAACTTCTATAACTTTTTTTCTGTTTCACTTATTTACTTCACTTCTACAAAAATCTCAAATGTCTTTAAGACGAGGCCAATCTTACGTCTATATTCCAAAGCATTCTTGAATTACAACCATTCGAAATGTGCATTTTCATGTATATTCAAAAAAAGGGGGTGACACTTAGGTTAACATTAATATTAGATGAAAAAAATACATTTAAAAAACAAATTTAGACACCAACTGAAACAAATTGAATTACTAAAATAAATAAAACGTATAAATAAAAATACCATTTAATAAAAAAAAGGTGCATAACAAAAAGACAACACTAAAATTAAAATATAAAACTGAAACTATAAAACTAAAAGATCCAAACTACAATAGCATATAGAACATACTAAAATAACACCACAGTGTAGTTGAATTCACCCTGCTGAAGACATTCAGATGTGTGCGTCTCTTCACAGATTTATATAACATACAGTAATCCTTGATATTTACCCAGATCCAGTGCTGCTATGAGACCCAAGGCCACCAGCGCTTCATTCTGCATGATCATGTGTTCACTCGTCGCCATGGTTATCAAGTGCTTAACACCTTCACCTTGTATGACTGTTCGGACCACATCCTATTCAGAAAGGGAAAAAAAGCAGTCAGAAGCTTCCAGAGGACATGAATCCCAGATGGAAAAATTGGCTTTAATACCACAATTCCTTTGATGTCCAATGAAATTGCTGAACCATTTCTCATATAACACCATGACTCAATGACCCAATGAAATGTTTTAGCCCTCACTAGAAGTGAAAATGCTGCATGAAACAACAAAATCAGAAGCAATCAGAGCATATTTGATGTTTAATACACAGATATAATCGATGTTTTGTGCATTCCTGGTCAGTCATGTCCGGTTAAAAAAAAAGTTTTACATGGTAGAGATGGGATTTACTGTTCACTGCTCTAAGCCGGGTTCACACTGTACCGATTTGGCCGTCTGAAACAAATAATGTGAATTCAAAGAGATTCCTCTAAAATCTGAAGTCCTTAATTGTTAGTTTGACATGTTCGCCGACAGCCGATTAATGACCATTATGCAGTCCTGTAGTGCGAGTTTCTTACGACAACCGTCGAATCAAAAACCAATAGTAGTGCAGAACCTGAAGTGAAACAACAACAAACCACCATTTGCTCCAAACACACACACATTTTTTTTTTCCAAGAAAAGTCACGATGAAAACAAAAGTCCCCTTATAGTGATTATATCCCTTAAAACTCACCAAAATGGCGTATTTAAACTTTTAAAAGCTTTTTTTTCTTCTTTTACCAATAAAATTCTTCATGTCTTAAAATGGAAATGGCTGAGTTGAATGTAACTCTAAACCCTTGCTTCATTTAGCATACCCGGATTCATGAATATGCTAATTATCCGTGAACTCAGAATAGCTGATCCACTCTGTCAAATTTACTATAGTAAATGTGTAAAAATTAGTGGAAATTCTGGTTTAAATCAACCATATATGTTTGAACCACAAACTGATTCAGAAGAAGAATTAAATAGTATAGAAGAATTAAACCAAATCATTTTGATGACGGACTTTGGCTCAGGCATTACGACCAAACTAACATTTGAGAGGCTGTGCAATGCGATTGGTCCGCTTTTTAGTCCAGTTATCCAATATCATACCCACTGTTGAGTTTTAAATTTGAATCGAAGGATTTGTTTGGAATGATGTTGAAAAATGATCCACGTCAATTGAGAGCGTACGTTTTTGTTGCACATTTTTAGAAATCTTGATGTCTCCATCCAGCATTTTTATGTAATATCTCACAATGTGCATAAAAATAGGTGGATGGAAACATGGCTACTGGAATGAGAGAGAATGAAGTGCAAGAGTGTGAGACCTTTGACTTGCTGTGTCGTATGAGCGCGGACAGCAGGCGGTTGGACTCTCCCATCACTCCGGCGTGGTCTTTCGCTTCACACCACTCCACCAAACGCTTCACCAGCTTTGGGTTTGTTCCCAGTTGCTCTGCTGCATCAGCTGCAACACACACAGCACTGAACATAATCTAGCCAACACAAACCACAGGCACACGCACAAAGGCACTGTTTGGATTCAAATAGGCAAATGCTTAAGTCTATGATTGGATCATTATTGCAGTGATTATTATGTTTCTAGCATGTTACATAAACAGCTATTCTAACCCTAACTGATGGAGTGTGTAGCTTTTCATGTCTTAAACAACCATCATGGCCATTTTACAGGATGAAATTCACCTCTTGAAGGAAATAACATCACGTTTATTTCAACCAAGAGATGCATTATGTTTTGGTCAAGATCTTGTATTGACAATGCAAGAGTCCAGCACTCTGTAAAGTCTCCTCCAGCACATCCCAAAGACTCAGAGGGGTCAATTCATGTGTGAAAATGCTCTTCCCAATTGTTCTTTCACAATTTGAGCCTGATGAATGTTGACATTGTCATCCTGGAGTACGGCTGTGATGTGTCTATGGAAACACTACCATCTTCACAAACTTGTAATGAGAAGATCTTATAAACTGGGTGTTGTTAACCTAGGAAACAAATTAAAAGGAAGAGCTACTTTGTGGCTTTAATACTTTATGAAGCTACATTTGAACATCTAAGATATGCTGATGTAGATCTTTTATGGCACATTCATCTTAAAGGCATATTCTGGTGCTAAATATAATGTAATACATCAGTTCTGTGAAAACTCATCACCCTCAGTTTGTCAAAAAGGAAACGCATATACAGTAAAATGGCAGCCGAGCAGACTCATATTTCACTATTCCTTAGCTGGATCAATTTTACTACTGTGAATTAAAACTCAAAGTAAGACTATTAAAAAATATAATAATATTACGTAGATGAAAAGTTAACAGAAATAAAATAAATTAAATGTAAGGAGAAGTGCTACATTTTTTAAAAACAAACTGAAATAAAAATTATTTAAAAGCTAAATAGAAATATTAGAAAACACTAAAAGAATCACAAAAGCACACAAAATAACCTTTCAATAATAAAAATAAAAGCAAATTCAAAATATTAATATTTATTAATCATCATTGAGGCTAATATGTACTCACTTATTTGTTGTACAACTTAATGTATTATGAATGTATTTACTAATGAAAAATTATATAAATTCACGTTCACTTTTAAAAAAAACTTTTGCTGATAATTTGCTCACCCCCATGTCATCCAAGATGTCCATGTCATTCTTTCTTCAGTCGAAAAGAAATTAACGTTTTTGATGAAAACATTCCAGGATTTTCTCCATATAATGGACTTCAATGGGAACCAAACGGTTCAAGATCCAAATGAGAGTTTCAGTGAAAACCGCAAACTGTTCAAAGGGCTTTAAACAATTCCAGACGATGAATAAGGGTCTTATCAAGCGAAACGATGGCTCATTTTTTTTTAAATAACAAAGTTTAAGTTTTATAAGCTCAAATGGTCGCCTTGCTCTGTTCTGTGACGCACGTTTGTGACTCTCCTATTCAATCTTTTCCTGAGTCAACTCGTTCATTTCGTTCGTTGAATGAACCAAATGACACGAAAAAAGACTAGTTCATTTTGATAAACGAGACACGAAAAAAGATTCGTTCATTTTGCTCACAGAACAGAGCAAGGCAACCATTTGAGCTTATAAAACAAACTTTTTTTTTTTAAATGAGCGATCATTTCGCTTGATAAGACCCTTATTCATTGTCTGGAATCGTTTAAAGCCCTTTGAACAGGTTGCACTGAAACTGTCTTTTTAGAACCGTTTGGTTCCCATTGAAGTCCATTATATGGAGAAATCCTGGAATGCTTTCATCAAAAACCTTCATTTCTTTTCGACTTTCTTTTCGAAGAAAGACATGGACATCTTGGATGACATGAGGGTGAGTAAATTATCAGCAAAACCTTTAACCTAGATTAATAAATGCAATAAAAAACACTTCACTGTTAGTTCATTATACTTGCATTAACCAACAATTGTTAAAAAATGTAACTTAATTGTAAAATGTGACCTGTTATACTTTCTAAACATCATGGTAGATCGATATTTGAAATGTCTTCTCTTGTCTTCCTAGTGTTTGTGGTTTTCTAGCCCGTGGTAATTGCCAGCATTTCACAGACGCTATCGATACAGCTTAAAGTTTATTTACCCAGGAATATTCATTTTGAACCCAAGCTGTCACTGAAAGCTAACACGGCTGGACTGCTGCCATTGAATGGCAATGCAAATTCATCCGTGGCGGATCCCTTGTCTGCAGATCCATAGTTTTTAAATGACAGAGTGCTATCGATCCTCTGCTCACTTAATATCAGAGACTCGCTGCTGTGCGGCGGCAGCTGGGACGAGCCTGAGATCAAATGACACATGCTGTCTTTAACCGAGCTAAACACCTGTAAACCATTCAGTGATCTGTAAGCTTATCCCTTTGAATTAAAAACCCCTGGAATAAAGAATTGTGTTTTGTGTTTTTTAGCTCATAACTGTTAGTTTGAGGCCATCTAAATGCTAACTTTTGAAGACATTTGAAGTTACAATCATTATTTTATACATCATTAATTTATAATTATTTATATGCTACTATAGTAGTTATTTTGAGCTTATATTTTGTTTTCATCTTGATTTTAGTTTATATTTGAGTCATTTTTTATTATGTGCTCTTGTCAATTTTCTAATTTTATATATTTCTATTTAGCTTTAATTTATTTTTTGTTTCAGTTTTAGTAATCAACCTAAATTTATTTAATTTCAGTTAGTTGCAAAGGCAACATTTCTCATTTGTTTTCCTGTCTTAAAATAACAATTTAAACATAAAATATAAATAATATAATATTTATATTCTAGTTCTATATTGCTTTATGGCAGTTAATGAAAGTTATTCTTACAAGTTTTTAAGTTCATACAGTACTAACAACAGGGACAAACATTAGAATACAGTTTTTCTCTTTCAGAAAAATAAAAATAAATAAAGATTGATGACACATCCTGCACTCATGGTCGTGGCCACATTTGTGTCCAATCAAATTCTATTTAGAATGGAAAAGCCCCACCCCCTAATAAAACATCAACAGCAAGCAGCAAATCGTAGTTAATACAGAAAAGAAAACATCAAACGACAAGTCATTTCATGCCATTTTTAAGTTTAAAGGAACCATGTTTAAGAAATATATTTCAATTGATCATAAAATGGCCCTGACATGTCACTAGACATTAAGAAATCATGTTCATTTCAAATACTTATATCACTGACAACAGTAGTCTGGCCAGGATATTGTCATTTAAAAAGTGAAGTTGCAGCCCTCAACTGACATTGATGTTGTCATGTTTTGTTTTTGGTCTGATGAGCCACCCTCCACCAATCAACCAATGACGAAGTCAGTAGTTTTGCGGCATCCGGGTTGCCAGCTCTGCTGTATTTACCACAGCTGGAGCTACAAACGTGTCGGATATAAAAATTGTCTAGCGGACAAAGTCCGAAATTAAACAAGGATTTGAATAGGAGATGCCTTTGAAAGATGGAGGCGGCTGAAAATGGAGAAGAATCCTGCTGGATCTGGCAACCTCGCGTCAAGGGGGAGGGGACCGCTCTACAGTAAATTTTATCTACAGTAAATCTAAAGGGATTGCAGTACCAGTTTTGGCCACAATCTTACATAAAACACCTTTAAATAGAATTATAGGTAAGTTTAATAGTAAGTAATTTAACACAAATTTTTGTTTGAGCATCACAACCAGTCCAGTACAGCAACACTGACATGATTCTGGGGCGGGACTATCTGTTAGAGCCAGACCGATAAAGCATTTTGAAGGCCGATACCGATACAAATATTTGTTGGTTTTAAAATCCGATAAATCGGCCGATATTATTATTATTATTATTATTATTAGCTCAGAAACGCACAACAAAATATTGACAGATTTCCCTAACATTAGTTATTTGTAGTTATTTATGAGTTTTAACTAAAATAATATGATAATGCATTTTAAAAAGAAACTTGTTTCTATTGTCACAACAGAACAGAGGAACATCAAAATAGATTAAAGTTCTGATAAATAAAACAATAATTAGCCCCTACATTGCCTTATAGTTATAAGCTGCGTGATTCATCCGTTTTTATTTTATTTTTGAAATATTCATTTATCGGCCATTATAACTGCCGATACCGATATTTTAGAAAATGCCTAATATCGGCCGATAATATCGGCCTGCCGATATATCGGTCTGGTTCTACTATCTGTAGATATTTTTTTACGTTTTGTTTTCTAAATCGTGGGCGGTTAATAAATACCCTGTGTGTCGATGAGCATCCGTAACGTTCCCAGGAGCTTGAACTGGACAGGTGGCATCTCGGATTTAAGGAACTTCAGCACTACATCCGACACACCAGCCAAGAGCATCTTAGACTTGTTGACCACTGGAGAAGACAGATTTAGTTTTAAGACACTTATGCAGAGCTTGGTGAATCATTCGATGGTTGAGTGAAATTTCAGACTGACCCGGAATGGCCAGGTTCCTCAGGGCGCTGAGGGCGGCGTGCTGCACCGTGACGTTCCCCTCTTCAACATGTCGGTCTAACAGCTCAAGAAGCTTCTGTACAATACCAGTGTCTACCATGTGGATGCAGTTTCCATCTGTACACACACAAAAACACTTATTCACAGCCTCAACACAGTGACCGCACGCTCCTCCAAGTTCTTGTAGGCCTGAGGTCTCACCATTGCGGGCAAAGTTAGCGATGGCTAGCGCTCCTGCTAGCTGGAGCTGGTGGTTGTTGGAGGGCACCCATGAGAGAACCCTCTGAAACACGCTGCCTTTACCACCCTCAAACAGCTTCTGCATCGACTCATCTACAGGAAAACACATCACACATGACTGCAAACACAACACAAATACAGTAACATGAGAGGGTGAGACAAATTACATTGCCTTTAAGATGGAGACCAACTAGGTTAAACTATTCAATGAACCAGTATTAGGTTCTGATAATACATCACAGATAATCTGTATTTTTTTGAAAGTGCAGTGAACTTATGGCACACTACAAATACATATTAGCATTTTGCTAATATACATATACATATTAGCATTTTGCCAAAATTGAGTTTTGAGTGAAATCATGTTTCTTGAAACTATGGTCTGCCCTGTAACAGACAGTTTGGCTCAACTTTGCTCAGATTTAGAGAAAACGGAGTGTGAAAAGCTGAATTAACAAAGAAAATTCTATCAAAAAACACATTTTTACCTTATTTTTAGGTTTCTTTTTAGTCAATATGGCTAATAAATCTGATGGGACGTGAACAAGAAAACTTGAGAAACGAGAAACGCACTTTACAATCTGGATGATTATCATGTTTATAATGACAGAATACACATCACTATTCATAATTTTGGGGTCAGTAATATTTTTTTTCTTTTATTAATTCAGCAAGGATGCATTACATTGATAAAAACTGACAGTAAAGACTTGTATAGTGTTAAAAAATATTTCTATTTCAACTAAATGCTGTTCTTTTAAACTTTCTATTAATATTCTTGACTCTTGTTGTTTTTTATGATAATATTTTTTGGGGATTTGTTGTTTTTCTTTATAATGAAGTTGTATTAAGTAGATTGTGTTTAACACACAGAAGAGTTATTATCAGTTCAACACAGAGAAATTCTACTTGATAAAAAAAAATTGAATCGTAAATCGAGTTTTATATATATATATATATATATATATATATATATATATAAAATAAAATTAAAAAAAGCAGATTTTTTTTAAGGAAAAAAAAAAAAAAAAAAATCACCCAGCCCTAGTTTTTTCACAAAATATTAACCAGCACAACTGTTTTTAACATTGATAACAACATTTCTAGTTTCCTGAGCATCAAATCAGCATACTAGATTGATTTCTGAAGGATCATGTGACACTGAAGACTGGAGTAATGAGGCTGAAAATTCAGCTTTGATCACAGGAATACATTTATTTTAAAATATTCAAATAGAAAAGAGATTTTAAAATTGTAAAAAAAAAAATTTCACAATTTTATAATAAGAAACATTTAAAGAACTTACCAACCCCAAACTTTTAAGGGGAAGTGTAAATGAGGTTAGAAAAGGTCTCAGAATTCAATGTCTTCAATTCATTCCGTGAAAGTCATTTTAATACCCCACAATTTATTCAGCTAGTGTTAAATATTGATGAAGTGAAAAATGCATCTGCCAGAAAGGCCTCACTGCACACTTTCCTTTACTAAGTAAAAGGACGTGCATCCCTATATAGCCAATAATGAGCTTATATAACTGCAGGGAAACTATATAAAACATTCTAGTTAATAGAAATTTTCATTCATTATAAATACAGTATGAGGCCATAGCTTGACACCATGTCATTAAGTTTCATAATGCCCCGCTTGCTTTATTCAAGCTGAGAAAATGACGTAATTTTTAACATGTACTTCAAACTGTTTATTTAAGGGTTACTCAAGTGCTGCCAAAGTTTTGGTCCTGTACCTCCCAACAGAAGAAGGACCATGAGGTCCGAGGACGTCTTGAGCTGAGCCACGTCCTCCTCCCTGTCGCTGTCCACCGTCTGAGCCACCACCTCCAGAAGACACTCCACCAAACCAGCATCCACCAACTGAAGCTTGATCACATCTGAGAGAGAGAAAGAGACAGATCTTATTATATCGCAACCTTCACAGCACACATTAACACCTTCATGTCTAACAGGGATTTCACAGCCCATATTAAAATCCTATCAGTAGCCTGACGTCATCATACTCGGATTATAGTCAGAATGTGAGTCTGATACTGCTCCATTGGGCTGTGATTATGGGCATTTCAACCGAACCAGGAAAGAAAAGGCCTCTGTACTCAATTGGATCGACAAATGCCTTGAACGCGGTTCCCTGTTCCTCTTTTAAAATAAACACGCTGTCAATATATTCTATAACAGACGCAACGGCTGAATCTTCACATCTAAATTCTCCAGTGGCAGCCATTCTTTGTTGTAAACGAATTAAACCCAAGCGCTCTTTGGTGACGTAGATGATTATGATACGGTTGATAATCTGATAAAACAACAGATCAAGTATCTGCCATCCTCAAATGTTGTGGGCGGGGCTAATTTCGGCTGGCATCCAGGCTAGCACATCAGAGTTAAGAGTCAAGACCAGACAAAAACCAATATCACACACACACTAAGACCCAAACTAAAACTAACCTCAGATTCGGACTAAACCAGAATTCCGAAACCCAGATACCAAACCAAAACCTGTTGGTCCAGGAACCAGTCTGACATAAATGAATGAACTTAAGTAGAAAATGCTGAATTTAAATTAAGCTTACCAAAATTGGCTGATGGCTTCTTGTATTAATTTATAAGACAGATATAAAACAGATGGAAGTTTGTTTCTGCCACAGAATTAAAAAAAAAATTAAAAGATAATCAAGACTTTTTCATCTCACAAATTCTGAGTATGACAAAAAAAAAAGTCGCTAAATTTGACGCCTGGCCCTTTTTGGAAAAAAAAATGTCGCTAAAGGGGTCTGAAATGTCGCTAAATCGAGCGGGGAAAGTCGCTAAGTTGGCAACGCTGGTAGTCTGAATTGCGAGAAATATTTCGGACTTTTTTTATGCAATTGCAAGTTTATTTCTCACAATTTTGAGAAATAATGTCAGAATTTTGAGATATATATGAGAAAAAAAGTTTTCCTGAAATTCTTTTTTCTGAGAATTGTGATTCTCTAATTGTGAAATTCTAAATTGGGAGTTATAAAGTCAAAATTGTGAGATCAAAAGTTGCAATACATATAGACTTGTATATGTATAATGATTTTCCGTTTTTAATTTTTTTTTTTTTGTAGCAGTTTTTTATACAACACAAAACATATCCAAGTCTCACAAAATGTTTACAGATGCATAATGATTTTACATTATGATACAAAATGGGTTTTTTTACTGTTTTTAGCTTTAAATACTTTAAAAATTAAAATATTTCGTTTGATTTTCACACTTTACTCTGCATCTGATCTTATTTGTGGTATAAATCAGCCTTATTTTAGGTTAACAGCAGCCTTTTCTATAAACAATAGAGTCAGTTTTCAATGTTTTTATATTAATCAAATAAAATATTGTTTGATTTTAGGAACTTAGTGTACATCCGATCTTATTTTGAATCATGAAATTATATTAAATAATTATCAGAATTGCAAAGTCTAAAAACAGTCTATGGATAATCTTTGTCAGTTTTTAATGTTTTTATCAAACAAACAAAAATTTGAATAAAGTTGTTTTGTTAGCAACTCTGTGTACAGATGATCTTATTTATTATCATAACATTATATTATTTATACATCATTAAATTGCATCATCTATATATCAGCACTTTATTGGCCAACCATTTGGCTAGAAATTGGCAACAGCCGCTGAAATAAAAAATAAAAAATGCATATCAGTTGACAACTATCTCAGACCATAAACTGAGACCCAGATTCATAAAGACTCTGGTGCATTTTAATGCATCTTTTCCCCTTTTAATACATAGACTAAATTACATAACCCTCTGTCCCATAAATACTAAACCAGACACAGTGATGTAATGAATGTTACACCATGACACAATTTCTAAAATATAAACAAATACAATTCGTTGTGTTTTGCATTCCAAAAAATGCAGAATAACAATCTAATTGACGGAATATTGATGATTCATGCAGTCAGTGAATGACACAACAAGCCAGGGGGGAAATCTTGCAGGGATGGATTTCTGAGGTCAGACTATTTCGCAGACATATGGGCGTCTCACTATGCATTTGGCTTGTTATGAAACGCCTGCAGTGTTCAGGTACAGTGCAGCTCACCCTTTCCCCCTCTATATCTCAATCACACACACACACACACAAACACTGTGGTTCACGTGACTCACAGAGCCTGGCCTGTAGTGCTGTGTAGTGGCTCTAAGTAGGCCGTTGTCTTGGAGACTGCCAGTATGGGATAGCGGCACTGTGCACAGAATGCTAACAACCAAAGCACCGCTTTCACACATGCTCTCAATGCAGTCGGCTTTCCATCTCCCACACCTGCTCTCTCACACCTGCTCTCTCGCTCTCTCTCTCTCATGTGGGCTCATATGTTTTATTCTTTCATGTGAACAGTCATGAACTCTAACAGTTCAGAATATATAACTAAAAATAAGTTATATAACTAACTATATTTTATAACTAAGATTAGAAAATAATATAAAATAACAAAAATATTAAAACAAATAAAATAACATTTTCGTGAGATAAACTCTTTCACTTTCATACAGTAAACTGCAAAAAGGGTTGTTAAATAAATTCTTGCTTGTTTAAGCTAAAAACAAATGAAATAATCTGAAAATGGAATAAAACTTAGTCGGCATCATTTTATTAATATATTGGCATATATTATAAATATTTTATTATCATTTTATTATAATCGGCATAATTGTATTAATATTTTAAAATAAAATTAAAAAAATTAAAAAACAATAAGACTTTTTTGAGGAGAATCAGGATTATTATAGTTGAGTAAATCCATTAATATCTAATATAATAATAATAATATATACATATATATATATATAAAATATTATTTATATATAAAATATTTATATTTATATATTATATAAATTATATATAAATCTATATACAGTATATACATGAAAATATTTCTTAAATATATACAAGCATGTGTGTGTATTTATATATAGAAAATATTTATACACAGTGCACCCACATATATTATGTAAACACAAAATTTTATTTTGTATGTGATTTGACAGCCCTAATATACATATACACACACACACACACATATATATATATATATATATACACACATATATACACATATATACACACACGCATATATATATATATATATATATATATATATATATATACACACATATATATATATATATATACACACACATACATATACACACACACACACACATACATATATATATATATATATATATATATATATACACACACATACTTGCATACATACATATACAGTACATATACTTATATACTGTGTATATATATATAAATATATATATATTAAAATAGCAATGATACTAAAATAAAACAGAAATGTAACACCTAGCGGTTTGTGTTTTAAACAAGAAGAAACTACAATATTTGTGTATGGTGTACAATAATGGTGTATGAAATAAAAAAAAACATGATGTATTCTCTGAAAACAAGGCTGAAATTAGTGTGTAATTCTGTTTCTAAAGTAAATTAATTTTGTTTTCAGGATTTAAGAATTTGTTTTAAGTTGTAGCTCTAAAATAAGACAAAGGCACTCTGTTTTTGCAACACATCAAAAATACACATACAGGACCACTTTTTCACAGGGCCAATAATCTATTTCCCTCCAACACACGCTTCAACAGTTAAGATTCACCATCGAAACACACAGCTTTCTTTCAGATGTCACTTCAAATCCTCAGACGAGCTCACAGACAAAAAGAGCATCTGACTGTGGCGAAATAGCCAAGTCCAGAGCCCAGCTTTAAGCAGACCCCAGAGCCCTATTTTGAGGAAACGATGGATGTGGTGGTGGCAGAGGAGACGAGTGATAACACTTATTATCCAAACAGCGAAGCAGCCGAGAAATCTCACGCATCTGCTTAATTGTAGCTCTCTCTTGCGACTCAACCCAAGGCAATAGCCAGAGTCTTGCAAAATGCATTTTGAATGATTTTCATCGTCAAATTAGCGAGGCTTTGCATTATGAGGCATGTCACTCTCTAAAGCTTGGATGGTTTTAATGTTCCAGCTTACATAAAAAAAGAAAACCAGTCAAATCTGCTGATTTTTAAATGTGAAATTTGAAATCTTGTTGGCTCATGCTCAAGATTTCTGTGCCAACAGCTGCAAACACATGCATTCATTTCATAAAGTGTCCTATTCCCAACCACAACAGGTGGTAGAGTATGACTTTCTATATAAGTAACACAACATGCTCACAGCTGGGAGGAGAAGTCTTTGAGGCTGCTGAAGTCTCTCAGTCACTGGGTCAGTGGGTCTACCGCGGGAAACGTGCCAACATCCATATCCATTTTCAAGCTTGATCAACGACTACAGTCCCTCAACTCATGCTGAAAGCAAACGCTGCATGACTAAAATTTGGAAGCTTAACCTGTGCTGTTTTGTTGCACATATTGAAATTATGGAACAGAAATATATCAACTGTGAAATAATATGCCCCTATTAATATTAGGGTTGGGTATCGGTTTGGTTTTATCCGATACCAGTACCTACTCTGTAATTTTTAAACGGTTCCGGTGTCTAAATGGTTCTTGAAACGGTACTTAAGAAAATGAAACCGCACACACTATGTCAAAAAATAATACCCCTTTATTTACAGGGTCAAACTGGACACAATATTAACTTACAATATAAATACAAGTAACATATGGTAATAATAAGTAAACTAATACTAGTTTAGATTGATAGTGAGTAATAGATTAATAGAGATTACTACCAGAGTAATCTAATATCGACACGGCTACAAGTTCCCGTGTTTTGTCTGCTTGAACTAGTCATGTAAGTTATCTAGTCATTTACTAGTTAAGCTCTTAGCCAGTTTGATATTTCGTTCCCACTGCGTCTTAGCTACGCAGCTTTGAGTAAACATTAGAGCCAGGCCGATATATCGGCAGGCCGATATTATCGGCCGATATTAGGCATTTTCCAAACTATCGGTATCGGCAGTTATAATGGCCGATAAAAGAATATTTCAAAAATAAATTAAAAACGGACGAAACACGCTTCTTGGAGTTGTATAGTTTGTCCACCAGAGGGCACTCTACACCATCACTGTTGGCAACACTCGTTTATAACGCGCCACACATTCTGCAAACTGCTGATCCATCCAGATTCGGGCAGAGAGAACCAGTTATCCGGGAGTGAGATCCTCGGTGAAGTGTGTTCATGGTGAGTTGGTCACGAGACCAACTCAAAAATGCATTAAAATGCATTATCATATTATTTTAGTTAAAACTCATATATAACTACAAATAACTAATGTTAGGGAAATCTGTTAATGTTTTGTTGCACGTTTCTGAAAAAAAAAAAAAATCGGCCGATATACAGGAATATCGGATTTTATAACCAACAAATATTCGTATCGGTATCAGCCTTCAAAATCCTTTATCGGTCGGGCTCTAGTAAACATATGAAGGAGAACGTCTCTGGTTTCTGGTTTAACCCATGCTCTCTGAATAGGGAACGAGACGCTGCGTTCGCTGCCAAACTCCTCGTGCTGCCGACAAGCTTCCTTTTTCGGCAGAGAAATCTGAGGAGCAGATGATGCGCGCGGTAATATAATATAATGACGTGAGCGTCAAGCTACAGAAAATCGTTCTGTTAAATCGTAATCTTACAAGTGAAATGCAGCCGTTATCTTCGGCATCTTCATTAATCCCCTCGCTATCAGACGTTCCGGGAGTCTCCCGCATATTGATAACGGCTCCCTGATGAAATTAGTTCAAATCGAAATCTAGAGCGAGCGAGCAAGTGCGAGACAGAAAAGACAGTGCATTAATAAACCGTTTAGAGAGAGAGAGAGGGAGAGAGCGAGAGACTTTGCGTGTGTGCGCCTCATGCCACTGACTCAGGCACCGAAATCAGGCACCGAAATTTTCATTCTTATTCAGTTTGGTTACTACCGTTTACATCAGAACCGGTTCCCTATTGGCACCGAGTTTCGGTACCCAACCCTAATTAATATGATATTTTAAAGGTTTCTCATTTTGTTTTGGAGTCTCCAACAATGCATCCATTTGCATCCAAGGTCAAAAAACACTTTAATTGTCTCATAATATACTTTTTTCTCACAGAGTCTGAAGCGGTTTGATAAAGAATTAATTCTCTCAAACTCCTCCTTTCCGAGAGCCAACTCTGCTCTGATTGGTCAGATGGCTCAGTCTTTTGTGATTGGTCTACCACTTACAGTACATGTCTGAAACAAAATGCTAATTACCTGAATTACAATTATCTGAATTTCAGCTCTGGATCTTCCTCAGCCCTTGATACACAATGACAAGAACAGTAACGGTGGCGTCGATTTTTCCGTATCAATTCAGCGTGAGTCTTCATTCTTTTAAAGTGGATTTGCTTTTCCAGTGCAGAAAACAGTGTTTTCTCGACATGTCGACAACATAAACCAAACTCTTCCAGTCTCATAAAAAACGCCAGTGTTTGAGGGTCCATAGGCTGAACCAATGAAGACCGTAGACTGGCATTATGCTAATTAGTTACAAACCTCTGTAGATGTTACGGAAGTGAAACTGGAATTGCTGACGACTTGTTTCGGAAGTTTGGATCTTGATTTGTTGTGCACTATGATGATCTTTAAAACTTTGCAGACCTTTCACATCCACAAACAGCCATATTATACACTGCATGAAAGGTAGTATACGAAAAAGCAAAATAGAGGCACTTTAAAAACAACGGTCAGCCTTCAAAACATAAAGATAAAGGGCACTGCTTTACAAATGAGAGTATCCGACAGTATTATTACCATATTCATATATCGTGGTGTTTGCATGGTTGTTCACAATGCTAAAAGGTTCAGTTTTTGGTTCAACTTATCGGCATTGGTTGATGGTTTCTTGCATCATTTTTTAAAAGTCTAACAGTCTTGTATTTGGATACTGGTAATCTTTATCAGTTTTTTATCAAATCAAATAAAATAAAATAAAAAAAAAAATCACAAATAACTCAAGAATAATGTCAATACCATGCTCAAAAATGTTGTGTTTCAATTAAAGACACTATATTGTCTGGTTCATTCGTGTTCATTAGGGGTGTAACGGTACATGTATTCGTATTGAACCGTTTCGGTTCGAGGCTTCCGGTTCGGTACGCATACAAACCGAACGATTGCTTGGAAGTTGGACCATTTTTCCTGCCGGCAAAATTCGTGCTGACGCGGCCAACATAACGTTGCGCAACATCAAATGGCAAGCGTAATGAAAGCAGAACGAAACTGCGCTACTCATTATGTGCTTCACGGATCGTTTATCAGTTCGGACCAGCAACATCTGTGCAGCGCGAGCCGATCTCGACCAAGCGACACTGTTACCACACCGCGCTAAGAGATCCGGTAAAGAAAACATTTGAATTCGCCACTGAGGGAATAACATCGCTGCGAGATCTAGTGAGAAGCATTCACATTTCTCCGTTATTAACCGTAGATCTCTATTAGATCAAACAGCGCTGTCATGGAAACCAGGAGAAACACATTGTGCCGTGAATGAACTAGTAATACTTTACGTCCACAGACCAGCAACATTCACCATTGGTTTAATATAGTAACCGGAACCAGTTTGGCTGGAATGGTGAAATGCTTTCAAGTACTTCACACATCTTTTTCCAACACTTCAAAATTCAAATATTATATATATATTAGGGCTGTGCAAACGTTAATTGCGATTAATCGAATCCAAAATAAAAGTCTGTTTTACATAATATATTTGAGTGTGCTGTATATAATTATTTTGTATATATAAATACCTATGCATGCATGTATATATTTAAGAATTATTTGCGCTTAAATTCTGTATATATATATATATATATAAATACATAATCTATATTATACAAATATAAATATTTTATATAGGAATAACACATTTTCTTAAACATATACATGCATGTGTGTGTATTTATATATACAAAATAATTATATACAGCACACACAAATATACTATGTAAACAGAGACTTTTATTTTGGATGCGATTAATCGCAATTAACTTTTGCACAGCCCTAATATATATATATATATATATATATATATATATTTAAATGTTATTTTTAATGTGATGACCAAAACATTATTTGTTCATCCTTCAAAGATGAGCCCTATTTATAAACCTGAAAGTTTCAAGATCTAGGAAAACTCACACTTATTTAAAAATATTTTTTCTTTAAACAAATAGGAAATTTCTCTGGCATTTCTTTCTTTTTGCTGTATCGAAAACGTACCGAACCGTGACTTTAAAACCGAGGTACGTACCGAACCGTGATTTTTGTGTACCGTTACACCCCTAGTGTTCATCATTATGTAATGTCAATCACTGTGATTCTTACCATTCTCAGCAAGTGGTGCCAACACCTCAAAGATCATCTCCTTCTTCTCATGTTCCACCTGCTTCCGGAAGAGCCGGACCAGCTCCTCGGCAATATTTGTAGAGGCGAACTGCTCCTTACTGGACTCTGTTTGAGGATCGGTCAAAAGAGATGTGTTAACTTTATCCAATACGTCCTATGAAATGAATGAAAGTGTGGATATGTAGTAGTTAGGCAATGTGACTGAATTGAATGGGTAACTCACCAAGCTCTGCCAAGTTGCCAAAGGCAATGAGACACATCTCTGTGAGCGCTGTGTTTTGAGAATGAACACCCAGCAGTCTGACCAATGTTGGGATCACACCCATGCTGATCAACTGGGCCTGCAGCGAGTCTAGAGCGGAGAGAGAACACATGAGATTTACTGTACTCTAGTTCATGCAGATTTGATAATATAAAAGCATTTCTACTGATAGTTAAAGTCCAGTATTCATCATTGTTCTGCTAATTACATTGCAAGAAAATTGATTATCCCCCATCATCATCATCATCATCGTAATGAAAAATCTCTCAACTTGTTTGACTGTCTTTCTTATGACAGTATACAATGGCAGCGATAGAGTATGTTCAGTGAAAATGTCACAGACAATAATGTGATTTTTACAATGAATTAAACCTTGATAACTTGCTATTAGCCAACGCTGTCAAATGTTTTTCTCAGTGTTGTTATTGTTAGTTATAAAGTAAAATTATTGGACTGTTTACGCAACACGGTTTTAACTAAAAACTCAAAACGTTAGCGCTTTGGCCGATCATTTACACAAAAACAATGTTTTGCTAACTTTTGAAAACGGATTTCAAAGTGCAACTTTTTGAAAACGATACTATTATTGAATTTCTGAAACGGTGACGTCTTGCGCAAACATATACCGTACGTCTAAAGGCGCATAGTTTCTTTACAAAGTGACATCGCCAACTACTGGCCTGGCATGAATAATACAGCGTTTTTATTCGTTTTAGCTGATCCATGTGGACGGGAATTATTTCGACTACATCTGTATGCGAAAAACGCAAAGAAAAAACGTTTCTTTTTTTAGTACATCGTTATCCTGTAAATGTACCCTTAAACTAACACTATTAAAAAACGTAATTGATATAAAGTTTAAATAAAATTAAATTAAATAGAAAAAAAAATTGAAATAGAAAAACTAAATTAAATTTAAAAAAAAGTAAAAAAAATTTATTGTACCCAAAACATTTTATTTTGATGTAACTCACCGTTATATTTACGCAAATTTACCAGTAATGTACATTTAAACTATATTTTGAGCAGATTTTCCAATAATTATTATTTTGTTTTTAAAAATCATCTATTTTATATACATGACTTGATTTCTTCAGCAAGCCTTTCAAAAATAAGTTGCTTAAAAATAAATAAAGGCATGAAACATAAAAATTCACAAATATTTTATCACTTGTTATGAGTGATTTTATCACAGTTTACATCCTGCAATTGTGTGTGTGTGTGTGTGTGTGTGTGTGTGTGTGTGAAGTTGTGGATTAAAAGAGCCCATTCACCAGATCAAAGTAATACCGGCAGTATGTAAAACGCAGCCACATTATATAACGCTCTGACATTTCATTTTTGTAGAGTGCTTTACTGAGACTAGCACAGAAAAATATAGTGTCGACCTGAATATGTGAACGATAAATCAAGACCTCAGTGGAACAAAGGACTGCTAAGCCATCACCTTTCATGCACAAGCACAGGTCCTTCTCCCTGTACTCAATCAGACTTGTTCTCCAACAGAAATATCGAAATGTCTTTAGAACAAATAAATCTACCTGCTCAACATTTTATGATCTATTTTAGAGAATACCTTTTTTGTGTGTATTTTGGCAGATATTTAAATTATTTGTAGTGGCCGAGTGATATGCCATCAAGGCAGATATTTTACATCTTAAGATAAGTGTCAGAAGTAGCTTTTAATTTGACAGCAGTTGGACTTTTATTTTGACAACGCCAAGAACGCCAAAGCCTGCAGGTTCGTTTGCACCATTCAGTAATTACCGTAATTATGAGATTCTGACTTGTAAAAGCGTTCACATCCTCCTAGAACTTGTAATTACTATTACAATTTTCTGAGAGCTCCGATTGTACCACATGACCGCTGCGGATTCATTTTGGCATTGACAGTGTTACCATTACATAGAAATACACAATTCTGAATCTCATGATTATGGTAATTAACTTTAAATGCTGTGCTGTATCCATTTTGCTGCTTTCACATACATGTCATATGTAAAATTAGCATTACCTTTTCTTTATTTAAAAAAAATTACTTTCACCAGATTACCGAGTGCCCTGTTGGTTGCAGTATTTATTTCCTGTTTAACGATTTCTTTATTTGTGAAAAATAATTGAATGGATTATAGAATCAAGAAGCTGCTAAAGCATAAATCTGTTTATTATTTTACAGATTTATTTTTGTTAATTTTTTTCATATTGACTGATAATTATTTATAATTTAACAAATATGTAAAAAAAAAAAAAATCAAGCAATTGTTATGCATGTTAATTAAATTAAATTGTGTAATATCATATAGGCTTTATAGAGGCAATCCTGCTCTCTAAAATATCAGTTTTGGCCATCAAAAAATCCATATCAGTCGACCACTACTTATTTGAATCTGAAAGTTCACTAAATGTATCATTTTATGTCTTGTTTACTTTTAATAACGGTCAAATTTTCCATTGCTGTTAAGGGATAGTTCACTTTGAAATTAATTTTTGGTATGTTTTATCTTACCTCAAGGGCATCCAAGATGTAGGTGTCTTAGTTTCCGCAGTAGTTTCAATTTTGATATTTTTAGGTCAAACCGTTGTTGTCTGTCAGTCATATAATGCAGGTCTATGGTCACCACCTCAAAGAGCATGCACAGAGAAGTCCAAATTAAACATGATTTAACGACTCGTAAATCTAAGTACACATTGATGGCCTAAGGCACGAAATGAGAAATCGAACAACACTATTTATATCGTTTTTACCTCTTGTAACCACAGACACAATCCGCCCGCGCCCTCAGATCACTTGGACGTGACTGTGGTAACAAGAGGTAAAAACGATATAAATACTGTTCGTTTTCTCACACAAACCGCTCGTTTCGTGTCTTAGGCCACCAATGTGTACTTACATTTACGAGTCATTAAATCATGGTTAATTTGGACTTCTCTGTGCATGCACTTTGAGGTGGTGACCATAGACCTGCATTATTTGACTGACAGACACGAACAGTTTGACCTAAAAATATCAAAATTGAAACTACTGAGGAAACAAAGACACCTACATCTTGGATGCCCTTGAGGTAAGCTAAAACATACCAAAAAATAATTTCAAAGTGAACTATCCCTTTAAAAGTAAGCCCTCAAGTTGTCGCTACAAAGATGTTTCAGTTTGTCTAGAAATGTCTCTGTGACACACCAAATGTGGGCGGCACCGGCACAGAACTGATGCCATGGATTTGTCAGGAAGCAGATGTTGATCAGTAAGTTCAATGAAGCAAAGAGGAGATGGCAGCTGAGACAGCAGAGCAGTGTTAAGAAGACAGTCCAGGCAGAGGAAAAGATCCGCAGTTGAAAAAGGAGAAAAATATTATGGAGTATGAGTTGGAAAAAGAGTATAAGGCACTTTAAAACATTTATGAAACAGTCATCACATTTAACAAACAGCTGACAGTCCGAAATGCTTCTTCCCTCCTATACAATTTCCAGTTATTCGCTTTATCCACCACAGAAGCTTTGCTGGTCTGAGCAAGAGGAATATTTAAGCAACATCTATTGGGTGAATGTATCAAATGAGAAACACAACATAACAAGCCTTGGCAGTACTGGACGCAAGCCAGAAATCATTGAAGAACTCTTGCCAGGCAGAAATCGAAGCCCAAATCACATCAGAGAAATGTCAACCAGGGACCTACAGAGCTCACGAGTCACGTTTCCTAAAAGAACTATGAAGTGTTTGCATCTCATCTCAAGTGAGATTTAAAAGCTTAACTTTCCAGCGGTACGGAGGGCTATAACACTGAGAGTGTACAAACAGCGAAATTCAGCCATCACAGACTCGATTAAACAGAAAAACTGCATAACTAGTGACTCTGCATATATTCTTTTCAATTTAAACAATACAAAAACGCATGCAATTAAAAGTATGATGCTGATTGGTCAATACATGCTAAAATAGATTATATACAAATTCAACAAATACAAATAGATGTCGTAACTGTTTTAGAAAAGCAAAAAGTGCTTTAACTTCTGAGATTATATCAAAAATATATAGCACAGCCTCCTGGTCCTACATTTCAATAGCTAATATGCCTTGTGAAAAAGAAGTGCTCTTAAAGGGATAGTTCTCCCAAAATTAATTAATTATTCACACTCATGTCGTTCCAAACCCATAAGACTTTTGTTAATTTTTGGAAAACAATCACTTTTTTTTTTTTAATGAAATATGAGATCTTTCGGTCCCTCCATTGACAGCTAAGCAACTACCAATTTGATGCTTCAAACAGTTCGTAAAGAGATCGTAAAACTAATCAATATGAATTGAGTGGTTTAGTCCAAATTTTCTGAAGAGACTCGATCGCTTTATATGAACAACATATTGAATTTAGCCTTTTATTCACATTTAAACATTGATCAGCAATCATAAACAGAAGCTCAAACGTGCTGCGTAACACAAGAATGAACCGACACGACATGTTTGAAAGAACCGAACGACATGAGGGTGAGTAACTAATGACAGAATATTCATTTTTGGATGAACTAATCCCATATTCTTTTAAAGTAAATTATTTGTGTAATAATTCCTCTTTTAAAAGTATGCTAAAGCACACTTCTTTTTCACAAGGGTATAAAAAAAGGGACATTGCAGTTCAGTGAGTATTTTTGGTTACAGCTATGCAAGACAAGTGTAATGTCTGACCAGGCATGTAAAGTCTTTTCCCATGTGGGAAAAAAAAAAGCTTATGTGATCAGATGAGTCATTTATCTTGGTGGCTTAGTAAATATGATGACAGGCTTTAAGTTAGAACAGATAGACTTTGCCAGGAAACGCAATCTGTTACAAGACAACATTTGAGTGAAACAGAGATGAGAGAAAGAAAAAGGCCGTGGTTCAAAACAGCATGAGTGTGATATCAGCGATAATAAACAGCCCGCTGGCTGTTCTCTTCCATTAAAGTCATATCTGACCATTTATTTTCATCAGGACACCGAAAACGAAAATGCCTGAGCTAAATTTGTTGATTTGCACTAGCCTCTGGATGCGAGGTGTAATAGATCGAAAAAAAAGCTTTTACCATTTCAAGCCTTTTGCTGGCAAGCAGGGATGAAGGGAGCGGCGCTTGGCCTGTCCATCAATTATTCAAGGACATCAAGTCACAGAGATGTAAATACACTGCCTGCATTCCCTTAAATATTTCAACAATGCACTGCATTGCTGCAAAACACAAGGCCAGAGCCTTTTGTAACCTCCTGGGCATTTTACAACTGATACAGACACACAAAACTGTACAATGTGTTTACTTGCGTCCCAATAATGCATCCCGCTGAACTTTTCTTCTAAAGGTGAAGCATGTCATTTTTTTCAATGTTAAAATGCAGAGCGAATCAAAACATTGCTTGTTTGTTTAAGCAGTCCAAACTTAGCCATTTCCATTCATATCAATGGCAGTTGATCGGCTGGCGCATTTAGCATTATTAAAGAGAAAACTGCATGCTGCCTTCTCTTATCAAGGGGACTGATTGTTGATGAAACCACAAGAACGTGCCAATGAAATGTTTGAATTTTTATGCATAGAGAATTTCATAATAATTATATTTTTATAATAATTATTTTATTTTTTCTGTTGTTTTTATTATTTTTATTTTTTGTCAGAAAACACAGCTACTTTTAAAAAATAAAGTCATGTTTGTAAATTAAAAATGTATTTCTGAATAAACAATTTTTAAAATAAATAATATTAAATTTCATTTTTACAGTAGTGGCAAAAAGTGAGGCAGAAAAGTGACATCTTCACCCTTTATTCAAATATTATTTAAATTCTTTAAATTTTAACCATATTGTGTAGTTGAGCTTGGAGTCAATCATTTTTGGCCAGGCTGTCATACAAAGAAATTATAAACGCATGTAAAAACAAGAGAGACCCAACAAAATATTAATATCTGATTATTAGAGCCAGACCGATATATCGGCCGGCCGATATTAGGCAATTTCCATAATATCGGTATCAGCAGTTATAATGGCCGATAAATGAATATTTAAAAAATAAAATAAAAACGGACGAAACACGCTTCAATCATCTCTCCTTGGCCTGTTATATTGAAAATGTATGTTTTACAACTTACAGCATGATGTTATCTATTGCTAAATTATGGCTCATCATAGACTAGCTAACCACAAAGCAAGCTAATGCCACTATCATCAGTAGAAGACCGCTAACGTTAACATTAATGAGCTTGGAAACCACAATGAACTTTTTCTGCCTAAATAAAGTAATTATTACTGTATTTATAGCTAGCATATCTCTAGTTACAGTCCCTGCATTGTAAAATGCAAGTTATACTTGCGAGGATTGAACATTTAGACATAGAGAAAAAGTATCAAACGTATCTTGTGCAGAAAAGTTTGCTTTTCTTTTACACGTGTGTGAAATCCAACAATATTTAATAATGATAAAAAAATATCGGCCGATATATCGGAATATTGGATTTTAAAACCCCAAAATATTTGTATCGGCCTTCAAATTCCTTTATCGGTCGGGCTCTACTGATTATGTTGCAGTAAATATTTTCTTTTTCCTGTGAGCTTTATGTTTTTCTATACATTTGTTTTTAATAGTAAAGTTTGGCTTTAATTTGTCGACATTCTGATCATATTTTTTTTCCGAGAACATTTTACTATTTCCAAACTACATCAATCTTAATAACTATTCATTTTGATATCATTTTGGAATTTCAAGTATTGCATTCTTATCATGGGCATTTACTGTAATAATTTGTGACTTTTCAATGCGAGTTAAATCTCGTTTTTGGCCCATTTTACCAGTAAAAGAAAACCTGTTTAATAATTATGCACATCTGAATATAAGGCGTTTTTCACGAATTATATCACTTGTATAAATATATTGTACAAAATTAATCATAGTTATTAAAATTGATGTGGTTCAGAATTGGTAAAATGTGCTTGGAAAACAATATATGATCAGAATATCGACTTGCATCATAATTATGCACACACTGTATTTTTTCCCAAATAAATACCTCCTAAAACAAGTTTATTTAGCTTTTCCTTTATATTTAAAAGTATTTTAAATATTTTCATAATTAAACTGAACTTATAAGGTCACAAACAATATATATATATATATATATACTATATATATATATATACAGTATATATATATATCCCCTCAGAACATCACTTTTAGCCCATACTGTATTTTTGCATTAAGTCTATGTACGGAAAGTGGCAAAATTAGACCATATTTATTAGCGATGGTGAATAAAAAATTTGAGATAGCTACTAAACATTAACACCACCACCAACAGCAGCAAAGGACATCGAAGCTAGTCACCGATCAAAGCAGCGAAATGTAGCCATTTAGCAAACCAATCATGTCAAATCAGTGAAAGACATTAGATTCAGAATAAATAAGAGAAGTGAAACAGGCTTTCTTAGAGTGGTCCCCTACAGATATTACCATTAATGTTCAACCGTGAGGTATAACTAAGTCAAAAAAATCAAATGTGCATGCCTATTTTATAGAGACGTAAAGTTGTCATATCAATGTAGAACTGATTAACATGCGAATCATTAAGTGAACATCTCAGACTATACCAATAAGGGACCATTCAAAAAATATCGCCTTCTTGGTTTGGGGGGGTCGGTCATTTACCATTATCATTGCTATAGTTCATCAGCATGCCACAAAAGACAGTCAAGAGCTTCCCGGTGGCCGGGTCAGTGCTTTGGGCCAGAGACTTAATGTGCTCGGCAACTATCTGAGCACCACCCGCTGCGTCAACTGCACTTCTGCCCTCATCTGCAAAACAAAGAGGTCACATAAAAAAAGAAATAAACAATAAAAAAGGCAACAAATGACATAAAGAAACAGTAACCTGAAACACAATGACAGAGAAGAGGGCGTTAAAGGAATAGTTCATGTCATCCCGAACTATTCAAATGATTCAGAATCACAGAATTTCCCTTTTTGGGTGAACGATTCCTTTAATGGAGAGACAGAATGGGATCCATGGATGCATCCGTATGGAATGGAATATGAGAACTGACAATGTTTCTTGGAGAACACAAGAAAATGACAACTTTGACGTAAAAGAACCGCAAATGAGATCAAAAAGTGTCCGCGGAAATTACACCAGCACAGGATTTGTTTAAAGCTGTGAAGTTGAGTCGCAGACATGACTAAAGGCAAACCAAAGTCCAGAGACCAGAAGTGCAGAAGAAGCACAGCAAAATCCAGACTTCAACACTCTCACTAACAGAGGAAGGTGTTAAAAGATCCACAGAGACACCGAGGTTCAGCGGAGTTGAAAGTAGCCATTATTTTTTTTCCTACTATGGAAGTCAATGGGTGCCATCAACTGTCTGGTTCCTAACATTCTTCAAAATATCTTCTTTTGCGTTCGACAGAAGAAAGAAATTTGTACAGGTTTAGAACAACTTGAGGGTGAGTTGACAAACACTGACAGAATTTTGACTTTACAGGGACTTAAAGTGTATTTGTCTGTCTCCTCTCCCAGTTTTCTGTGTTTCTTGGGATAATCTTTTTCCTGGACAGAATTAAAATTTTTGGGTGAACTATCCCTGTAACACTACAATGACCTACTTTACAACACCATTTGACTACATACAGTAAAAATGATTTATGAATCACAAATCTGCAGTTCAATCCTATATAGAGTATGTTCACCCCATATTTAGTCACACTTTTCACAGAAGCAAAATACTGTCCTATACACCAGTGATTTATATTCATGCAATCATTTATAGCTAGGTTTTCCAGTAAACTCTGTGAACAGATGACCGTATTTGTGTGTCAGATATGTGAGTCAGCTCAGTTGGTATGAACAATATTTCAGGTTTGTTTACACTGGTGCTTGCCCACGCAAAGTCTACGACGACTGCCTAGTATCACACACTTCAGGAAGAGAGATAAAAAAGGGTGAGAAAGTGATTTAAATGCAACAAAACGAAGTAAAAGAACAGAATACGGAAAACAAACCCGTCGAAAGATTTCCAAATGGTGTATAATATTGGTTTTGGGATGCGGTGTGGGGAAAAAGATACTGTGTGGGGTTTGCAAGTCAATGAAGTCCTTGAGTGAAATGCATGACTGTCTGTTGACATGTGTCATCTTTATCAAAGGGTCAGGGTCATCGGGGATCAAGATCAGCTGCTCCGTCAATCATCTTCACCATTAAAACAATCGGTGCCCATTTGCCAAGGGCTCTTAATGCAATCTCATGTTTGTCTTTTTATTAGTAACCATATAAATAATCGGAAAGGTAACCGTTATTATAACTTAATCTTTACTAAATTGCTAGTAATTCATATTAAATCATTTTAATTAGAGAACATTTGCAGTTTAACTAGCTTTATCTCTATAAATGTACAATATCATAGACTAAGCAAGTTTCCCAATCTTTTTGTGTTATTTAACCCCACAGACATCACTTTTATCATCACTTAGGTGGAAATGTTTTATTTTACCTCATATTCTACTAAATTTCATTTAATCATAATAACAACTACACGATTCATCGTTAAAAGACTGCGACCTCCTTCCTATGCCTATAAACATTAGGTATGAAACAGCTTCACAGTCACACACAGTATCATTATTTCTGTCTGACAAATTTTCATATCACAGATGTACTGGGATAAATGTTTATAGTTCAGATTTAAAAACTGATATCTACGAAACCTTCCTCTTCACAAATCACCTTTTGAAAGTAACTTGGAGCATCAAATAACGATTGTATCAATTACATAGACAAGTGACTGTTAAAAAAAAATGTATTTGTTATTGAATCATTCATTCAAGATGTTCATTCAAAAACACTGATTCATCCAGTAATGAAACAAGAAGTATTTACTTGTGAGTCACTGAATCATTCATTCAAGAGGTTCATTCAAAAACACTGATTCATCCAGTAATGAAACAAGTATATATGAGTGAGTCACTGAATCATTCATTCATCAATCGTTCATTCAAAAACACAGATTCATCCAGTAATGAAACAAGAAGTATTTATGAGTGAGTCACTAAATCATTCATTCAAGATGTTCATTCAAAAACACTGATTCATCCAGTAATGAAACAAGAAGTATTTATGAGTGAGTCACTAAATCATTCATTCAAGATGTTCATTCAAAAACACTGATTCATCCAGTAATGAAACAAGAAGTATTTATGAGTGAGTCACTAAATCATTCATTCAAGATGTTCATTCAAAAACACTGATTCATCCAGTAATGAAACAAGAAGTATTTATGAGTGAGTCACTAAATCATTGATTCAAGATGTTCATTCAAAACACTGATTCATCCAGTAATGAAACAAGAAGTATTTATGAGTGAGTCACTAAATCATTCATTCAAGATGTTCATTCAAAAACACTGATTCATCCAGTAATGAAACAAGAAGTATTTATGAGTGAGTCACTAAATAATTCATTCAAGATGTTCATTCAAAAACACTGATTCATCCAGTAATGAAACAAGAAGTATTTATGAATATATTATTCAACATTAGCTATTAAAGTACGCATCGATCTGCATTTCGGATTCTGACCGTAAATATAGATTATCAGTGTATGTTTGAAACACTCATTTTAACATACTACGATTTGGGACGTAGTTCTATTTTTAAATACTATTTAGGATGGATAGTAATGTGAATTAGGACACACCGTATGATTTACTACTTGCTGATTGGTTACAGGTGGTGTTAGGGGAGGGACATTATCATTCTAGAGAGCATTTGATTGGAGTGCAGGATGAGTCAGCAATATTTTCAGACTGTACTGTACTTGAAATGTATTTACCAGCTAAAAGGGAATTTGTCAGTTCAGAGGTACAGTATAGTTCCACAAAGTAAAACTCTTTCATCCAACTGTTTTTTTTTTTATTATTAAGATATGATTTATAGGTTTAAGTGCCTCACGGATGGAAATAACTGGATTTAGTCAATAAATCTGCAGAAAAATGACTGTTTCCTCATGTTTTCATCTGTCAAAATCACCAGACTCAGCTGTGATCCTGAGAGCTGCTCGACAGACACCCTCAAACACACTCTTGGGAACAGTATTCTTCCAGTTTTTCATCCAGACAAAGCTCTTTTGCTTTCCCTAAACTCTTTAAGTCCCAAAGGTGTAGGACTTCTACACATACAGGTCAATAAGGTTCACACTACTGTACTGTTACGATTACAAAGCAAGCAAAAGGAGCAAGGCACATTAAAGCCATAAATCATACTGTCCACTCTCCCTACAACAAAAAGCAAAAGTTGACTTTAAGTTAGCTTTAAAGGGTTAGTTCACCCCAAAATGAAAATTCTGTCAGTAATTACTCACCCTCATGTTGTTCCAACCCCATAAGACTTCATCTTCGGAACAGAAATTAAGATATTTTTGATTAAATCTGAGAGCTGGATCCCTCCTCCATAGGCTCCTTAAGGGATCAAAATTGGCCGGCCCAAAAGTTTTTGAAAGACATTGTTAAAATAGTCCGTGTGACGTACAACACAAAACCGTTGCACAGTTCTACTACGTGAAATCTTGAGGCCATTGTTGAATAAAGTCTTTATTTTTGTTTGTTTTTTGCACACAAAAAGTATTTTCGTCGCTTGATAAACTCAAGATTGAGCCACTGTAGTCACTCGGACTATTTTAACAATGTCTTTCATAACTTTTGTGTCGGACAGTTTCGATCCCTTAAGAAGCCTATGGAAGAGTGATCCAGCTCTCAGATTTAATCAAAAATATCTTAATTTGTTTTCTATCATAATTTTAAAAAGTCAAAATTATGAGATACTAATCCATAATTTTAAAAAGTCAAAATTATGAGATAGTAAGCCATAATTAAAATAAAGTCAGAATTATGAGATACTAAGCCATAACTTAAAAAAGCCACAATTATGAGATACTAAGCCATAATTTAAAAAAGTCAAAATTATGAGATACTAAGCCATAATTAAAAAAAAGTCAAAATTACGAGATACTAAGCCATAATTTAAAAAAAGTCAAGCCTATGGAGAAGTGATCCAGCTCTCAGATTTAATCAAAAATATCTTAATTTGTTTTCCAAAGATGAACGAAAGTCTTACGGGGTTGGAACAACATGAGGATGAGTAATTACTGACAGAATTTTCATTTTGGGCTGAACTGACCCTTTAAGATATAGTTTCAATTATCAACCACTGCTAGTTCATCAATATGGCTCAAGTACAGAACAATTAACAATGGATTGTTACATTAATGATAATTAATTGTTGAAAGTGTGCATGAATTCAAAGGTCTAAAGTCAATTAATCCACTCATACCATATCCACGTATCATCAATGGGACGATACGAATTTAGGAATGGTATAAGCTCTTGCTAACCATGTGCGAAATGAATGTGTGCAAGAAGAGTTTAGCCATGCATCTACAATCCATCTTCCTCATGTCACTCCTTTAGACAAATGCACCAGCAGTTCCCCTTCAAATCATCCAGGAGACAGGAAAATATCTCACTGTGGATGCACCGGGGCTTGGAACGGCTGAGGGAGCGATAATGGGCACTTACGGCTGTCGTAGCAGATGTTGCCGAGGGCCCGTCCCGTCTGGAGCAGAATTTCCTGGTCCTTACAGTTTAGCAGCTGAACCAGTGGAGGAATGAGCCCTGCTTCCACACAACGGCTTCTCATGAACTCTGCAGAGAATTAACGGCAACAATTAAAGCTCAAGGAATCATTATCAGATAAATACTTACCGATTTAAAACCTAGCTCATGTTTTTATACACTTTCTGTTGTGCAATCAATGTCTGCGTCAACCAACCAAGTTCAAAGCCTTTGTGTACCGACACACAAGAATGTACAAGATTGCTAATTAAAATACTAAAATTTTGGGTCCATAAATGGGGACAAAAAAGAATTCTCTAACAATGAATAAAAATCCTACTGGATAAACATTTGAAAAGCTGGGAATTTCATTTGATCCAATAATAATTATGATTAATTTTACTTGATCCTAGTATTCCTTTACAGGATTTAAGACTAGATGTTTATGGACATGTTAGCACGGAGTTAAATGCCTCAGATTTCTTTTAGGTTACCTAAAGTACTGTGTAAAAACCATGGAATATGAATGTGAAATTCATTTAGTACCACTGTATATTAAACAGTACAATGCATATACTATTATAGTATTTATTCATTTTCACAATTAGCTTTTAATTTTTAATTTAAGTTTAGTTAAAAAATGCTAGTAATTTTGTTATGTCTTTTGTCATAGATTATTTATTTTTAGGGGTTTTTTTCAATTTTTGTCATTTTAGTACTTCTAATTAAACTCATTTTATTTTAGTTAGGCAAAGTTTAAGATTGTTGTCTAATATTAACATTTGATTTGATTTCAGATCATTTTTAAAGGAGAACTCCAGTCAATTTTAACATTGAGCAAATTTTTTGTGTACATTTGGAGTGCTGTCAGTACAGACAAAAACGACAAAAATCGGTGTTGCCTACACCGTGTTATCGTCTTTTTAAAATTCGCACCCTGTTGACTTCAATGGGGCATGTTCTAAACCTGCTTTTAGCCTCGTAACATCCTTGATTTGCCATTACAAGTGCACAGCCATGTGAGTGGTGTTATTAAGAGTGACCACGGTCAATCTGACTGCAGCAAATGTGAAAGACACGAATAAAAATTATGTTAATTCAGCCAGCTCACATACCTCTATTTACTCAATAATATCTTTCACATCTACTGCAGTCAGATTGACCGTGGTCACTCTTAATAACATTGCCCCATTGAAGTCAACAGGGTGCGAATTTTAAAAAGATGATAACACGGTGTAGGCAACATTGATTTTTGTCATTTTTCTCTGTACTGACAGCACTCAAATTTTCAAAAAAATTTTGATATTATTAACTAAAGAGATCCACAAAACAACCAGACATAAAAGATTTCATTCTCCGAATGTTTAAATGTTTGTAAGTGGCCAAATTTTCCATCTAACAACTACATTTAATCAACATTTTATTTTATTTTTAATAGTTTTAGTTAACAATAACAACACCGGTCCCATCTGATCAATGTGCAATACTGACACCGCAGTAATTCATACTGTAGCAAATGCATAAAATTTAAGTCCCTAAAATATGTCTTTCCTAATAGAAAGTGCTGGAGACATCAGTGGATGAAACACAGATGTTCCCAGAGGAATTGTGACAGCTGAATGCCAGCAGGAGCTGCCAGAGATCTGGAACGCCAGCAAGCCACTGTCATTAGCTACCTAGCAAACTGCTAAAAGGCCATTCATTATTTTAACCTTTTTATCTCAGGCACTCTCCATACACTCCCAAACCCCAGCTCTATCTGTCTGAAGAAACACTCGTGTAATTAGACTAAGAGCTTTAGGTGAAGAAGAACACGGTCAGGTTGATGTGCTAGAGCTGTAATTACAAAGCTAAAAGCTTCTTTAAAAAAAAAAAAATGTAGGGAAAGATTTAATAATTGCTGGTTTTTCGCCAGGCTTTTTTTTTATTTATTTTTTTATATACCAAATCAGAGCCTGGTAATATTTAATGAAAGTTATTTACAAAAAAAAAATAATAAATAAATAAATTAAGTACTGGCCCTTTAAAACAGTCAACAGAAAGACTAATTAAGCTGATCACAGAACAAATAATAATGGTGCACTGGTGTGCTCCAACAATAAATTTAATTGCAACAATAAATTTGATTTGCTGTTGTGCATAAACAAGGTAACTTATCTGTTGACGACCGACTGGCTCTTTCAAACGGCCGTCCACTGAGAATAATGTTGCTAAAACTTGCAAAGGGTGCAATCATAAAAGCATAACATATATTAAAGATTTTTATAAATAATGTTGTTATGATATTATATAAATAAATAAATAAAAACAACCATCAGATGTGCTTGAGAAGTGCGAAAAAACCTCAGTGGTCAAGTATGGTTGAGCTTTCGTTGACCATATTTGATGAGCTCGATGCATGTGCGTTTATTGATTTTATTTAAGAATGAAATCTGTTCATTAAATAAAATGATTATTTCTCTTTGGTAGACTTGAATTAAACCGCTCGTTTCATAAGGATTACTTTTGCAATGTCTTTATGTACTTTTTGAAGCTTGAATATGTCGTTTACCTAGACTTTCAAAGGATGGACAGAATATTACCATTATCTGGGGGAGTTGTAAAATGAGCCTATTTCCAAAAAAAAAAAATTTAATATCTTAAATATCTTATAAAATATCTTATAAAACATTTAATATCTTATAAAAATATAAGAAAATATAAGATATTTATATCCTTTATTTATACCCTTTAATATCTTATAAAACATTTCACAGACAGAGAAATCAGGACCTCAACAACTGATAAAAAAATCAATTTTATTGTTTTAGTTTGTATTAATGATGTGTTCCCCCGAATAAAATACAGTATATTTTTTTTTATCAGTTTAACTGATGATTTAAAGAAATAATTGATGTATCATTGATGTAAGTTGCGGCCCTAATTGAAATTTGATTAAAAGAATTATCGTACGTCGTACATTTTTAAAGGGACTATGTGTAACTTTGTCATTTTTTATTTAGAATCAATATTTTTATTCAAAAATATTTCTCAATGGTGTACAAATACCTCTACCAATGATCTTACTTATCCTCGTAAATGAAGAATTTATTATCTTTATATACATGAGACGGGTAAGTCCACGGAGGCTTCCATGTAGATCCGCCATCTTGAAAAACTATAATAGCAGAGAGGGACATAAAGTGCTAGGACAACGCGTTTACACAGCGCGCTGTTTGTTTGAAATACGAAGTGCTAATCCTGTCACAGCTTTTTGATACATAATGGTTACCATACAGGCAACGTGCGTTTGAAAAAGTGAGCCGCTGGAGAGCACAATTCGTTTGAATGCAAAATACATTTTCACCGCTAGATGGCAGCAATTACTACACATAGTCCCTTTAAGTGTTTACTGCAGGAAAAGTGATTTATTTTCTCCTTATAGTGATGCATATCTCATAAAAAATTGAAATCTGTTTTGTTTGTCTGTTTTGAGATGGACTGGTTCTGCTGGACTGATCTTATAGCTTACATGTGAGGCTATCATCTCCTTCACACTACCAACAGCAGTAATACTGACAAGCATGAACGGCCACAGACTCGACTGCAGCATCAGTGAAACTGAGGGAGAACGATCAGAACAGCAGAGACAAACAAACAGACCTATGAGGGGGGAAAGCATATTTAAAAATCCTATTAAACAGGTTTCTATTAAGAATGATATTGCAGACTAGTACTAAGGCCAGTGAAAATGAAGGCATGGGCGCCAAAGGGGGCGCCAAGTCCCCGAATTTTTCCATTATAGCAGGTCGTTCATTCATAGTCTATCTGACATAAATATTAGAAGCTATGTGTCTGTCATGGATTTGCACTGAATTGATTCTCAAAAATACGTAACAAAGTGCGTATCAGTCCAATACGGAATAAGACTTTTATGTGTCAAATCCGGAACGATTCCATATTATACAGAATGGTTGGCAACCCTAGGTCCAGGGTCACATATGGGCAATATTAAAATATTAATTGTCCACTTACTTTTAGTGCATTTCTACAATGACATCGTTAAAGCTACACTGTGTGATTTTTACCCCCATCTAGCGGTGAAAAGGCATATGACCATCCAGTGAATATTAGTTTTTGTTCCTCTCAATTCCGATTCGTTTTAACTCCTACGGTGGCCAATGTAGTCCAAGATTAACATGGCTCCCAATTCGACCTCGTCCATGAGTGTTAACTCAAACGTAAATGCGAAAGGCGAAGCTTGAATTAACGGGTATGTCCCTCTTTGGCTAATGTACTTTCAAGATGGAGGGGCAACATGGCGACCGACATTAGAACCCCTTACCCGTTTGTATTTTCAATGGCATATTATACACTCACGAGAATACTTTATTACTTGAATGAAGTAAATATACATTAATGAGCACATATATTTTTGAAAGAACTAAGTGTTTTTAGCTATGAATAAACTAAAAGAGTTACACAGTGTAGATTTAAAGTCCCCGTGAAATCAAGATTGAACCTATTTACTTTGTTAGCGCATATTACTAGTCTTGTGGTGAACAATGAATCCGTGCAAGTAAAAATATATTTAAAAAATGTTTTACCTTGGTAATCTTTAATCAAAATCTGAAAAGTTACTTCCGGTCTGGAACGGTTTCTTTTTCTGATGACGTAGGTTTCACAACTTGGGTGGGGAAACGCTTAACCACTCCCCTCAAACCGTTAGTTTGCTATGAGCGAGAGATGGAGAGGAGGAGCGCTAGAGTAAAACCCTGCCCTCTGTTCAATATTCCGTTTCACTTGGAAATACGTCACAGCACTGGAGAAAAATCGTTTGCAACTTCCGGTTCACGGGGACTTTAAGTGAAACGTTTAGCTTGACGCTGCATCCACACCACTAGGTGTCAGTAATCAAAGAAGAGCAACGACTGATGTAGTAGCACTTACCATTTTTGGCCACCTCTGCAATGATGTTGGCTACTTTTGGCGTACATGAGTTCTGCACAGACAGAAGAGCGGGCATCATGGCAAGAACACCCATCTCCTGGACCTTTTCACTAGTCTCAACATCTGAAAACAGAGTGAGGAACATCAGTGAATAATATGATACTATGATCTGACCAGCAAACACAAAGGTTGAAGATTCAGTCACAAGTAGTGATGCAGGAACCGAAGAATCATTGAGATGTCACGTTGGACGTGTGCTATCTAGTTTAGAAATGGCGACTTCCGTCTGACAGGTTCATATTTCTGCAACAAAAATGCATCTATAGACCCTTTTTTATTTACAGACAGATTTGAAAAACATTGTGAATCTAGTATTAGCAAGAGTCGTGACACTGCAAGGTCCTCCTTATCAACAAAATGGATTTTATTCAAGCCTGTATCCTTGGATAACCTGAAGATAATATATATATAAGCCCTGAACTTAAGTTAAGTTCCCTTTCCTTCGCTTCTCAGTCATTCTTTATCTCGGCTATGAGTTAAGATAAAAATGAACAGCTATATAAAAGATATGCAAACTTACTATTGTGGGCCAAAGCTTTGAGCAGGCAGTCCAAGCAGCCCTCGACGCTGTCTGAAGCGCTGTCTGCCGACGAGAGCTTCAGCGTCTTCAGGGCTTCGCTTAGGTTATCTGCTGATGACAGGGAAATAAACAATAGCTTTATATCGCCAACAGTTTAAACCTGCAGAAAATTATATAAAGACAAATACTTGTGCTTATAAGGCAGTGTTCTCAAGGATCCCAAATCATTTAACTTCACAAGGCTTGTTAAAGAATTAAATAAAAAAAATTAAAGTGCCCCTATTATTATGCTTGTGCGAATATTACTTTTCATGCAGTGTGTAATACGGCTGTTTGTGAATGTAAAAGGTCTGCAAAGTTTTAAAGAAATGAAAGTGCACAACAAATAAAGTTATTGTCTCCTTAACCCTCTGGGGACTAAGCCCTTTTTGCTATGTTTTCTCTATTTTTATTTGGGCTTATAAACTATAGGCTATGTAATGGAGATGGAACACTATGTGTTTGGTATCTATGGATTCAGAAGACCCTAAGCTAACATAAGCATGCATGTAATGTGTTTATAAAGGAATTATGAATGAAAAATGTACAATATACTAGAGAATTTCAAAAAGGGAAATTCGATTTTTTGCCATTTATTTCTGAAAATCACACAACAATAGTGAACAGTTTTTGAACAAAAAATATATTTGTCAAAGCCTTTGCTTGACAGACATGTGTAATTGTTAAATAAAATGTGTAAAGGACAATGAAAAATCTAACTTTATATAAGTCTATCAAATGACGAGAATACTTTTTGTGCGCAAAAAACAACAAAAATAACGACTTTATTTCAACTATTCATGTCCTTCTCTCTGGGCCTCGAGTCAGGTTACTAGTTGTGTAAATGTTTAAATATTCCATGTGACTACAGTGGCTCAACTAAAAGTTTATCAAGCGACGAGAATACTTTTTGTGCGAAAAAACAAACAAAAATAACGACTTTATTCGACTATTCCTTTTCTTCCTTGTTGGCCTGAAACGAGACTTCAATACAATTTCCACGACGCATGCGCGAGAACTGAACTGAAGTAGTTGAAGGAGATCGCAATTCTTGCGCATGCGTCGTGGAAATCGTATTGAAGTCTCGTTTCAGGCCAACAAGGAAGAAAAGGAATAGTTGAAATAAAGTCGTTATTTTTGTTTGTTTTTGTGCACAAAAAATATGCACAAATCATCCAGAGTAGCGGTCAAAGCCGAATCGAAAGACAGCTGGTCGCCAGCAGCAGCCATTCTTTGTTTTCAAGTAACAGTGAACTGTCGCAACTCTGTCGTCATTATGTCAAGCACGCCCGCCGACTCCATACACGATGCGATTGGCCTGACCAGAGTTTGGTTTTTCCAGCTAAAACGTCTATGGAGAGTTGCTAGACTGCAAAATAATTTTTGCTGCTGCTAGGGTGCGTCTAGATTTCTAGGTTACCCTGGCCTTTAGTGTCTTATTATACTGATTGAATTTATTGCCATGTAAGAATTTGACATGAAAAAAGAAGCATTGCATACACTGATTAAACAAAACCAAACCAATCTAATCAGGCTTTGTTGGTACCATCATCAACTTTCTCTGTCAACTCAGGATTTGAAGTTTTTTTAAAAGGTAGAAAAATCTCAACTAATATGTCAAGGCCAGAAAAGAAGTCAAATTTGGCCAATTACAGTGTGAAAGGTGATTCTAGAATACACTCATTCCATAACAGACTAAAACAAATCATGTTGAGAAAGGCCAACAGAGTAAATGAGTCAGATCTAATATCAGATCACCAATGTCTTCGACTACATATTTAGTCTAGCAAAAAAAAAAAAAATCTTAAGAATTTAATTTCAGCAGCAAACAAACTATATCATACTCCTGTATAGAGCATAACAACTACAAAACTGAATAAGTTCCTACTGAATCTTTTCTTTTTTTTTGCAATTTTCAAGAACAGCCTCCTTGTCTTCGGTTGAATATGAAAAATATTAATCTTTATGGGGCGGCAGTGGCTCAGTGGTTCATGTGGGTTGTCCACGAACCGAAAGGTTGGTGGTTCAATCCTCGGTTCCACCTGACCAAGTGTCGAGGTGTCCATGAGCAAGACACCTAACCCCAGCTGCTCCCGACGAGCTGGCTGGCGCCTTGCATGGCTGACACCGCCGTCGGTGTGTGAATGGGTGAATGTGAGGCAAAATGTAAAGCGCTTTGGTGGCCATTAGGTCTATGAAGGCGCTATATAAATGCAGTCCATTTACCATTTACCATTTATGACAAATTGTAGAAAAAGCTCAAATTCTTTCATTTACAATACATACATACAATATTTTTAAACATAAACTCAAAAACTGCAGGTAATTCAGCAAACACAACACACACTTATGCTTTTGGGTTTATATACTTCAATAACTAGTATCACACTGGGCAGAAATAGTGGCATGAAAGCAAAATTAATTAGTCAACCTTAAACTTACTTGGGTAATATTATGCAATATTTTTTTCAGTCAGGTACAAAAGAAATCTGAAGATGGTTGCTGTTGTACGAAATGTTTCAATCTGATTTGCTACTGCTACAAGTTAGAGCACACTGGTTTTCTTTTCTAATCCGTAATGTGCAATATTAATACGGTGGAATGGCCCCAGGATATTCTGAAAAATTCTGAAAGATAACCTGAAACATCCACAGATACTGGTTTGTATTATAGCTTTGTCATTTCTATTAGAACTTGTCAGAAACTGTCTGTAACTGTTGTCTTTTCACAGATTGAACAAAAAAAACCTATTCTGAATGATTCATCCATGCATTTTATACTTTTTTTCTACTTTGAAAATCAGTTAAGAATTTCTTTTTTTTTTCATTATATGATAATAAAGTCAGTAGCAACTTTAATTTCTTATCAACTTTAAAGAGATAGTCCAAACATGTTTAATGTCACGTCTCACGTCTTTTCAAACCTGTCCAACTTCTCCTCTATCAAATAAAAATATATTTTGACAAATGTCTGGTTTTGTAAAAAAGAAGTCAATGGTCACCAAAACCAACATTTTTCAAATATCCTATTTTTTGTTCTGCAGAAGAAATTCTGACTTAGAACGGCAGGAGGGTGAATAATTTACATAATTCTGAGGAAATAAAATAAAATAATGTGTGTAACGTAACGTGTTTAAGTCCAATTTGCGTGGATGACAAACGTACCAGAATGAATATGCTTCTATGTGTCTGTTTTCCACTCATGATGTTTACTCTTCTTTCTATAATAACATGAATGATAATGCTAAATGATTAAGAATAATGTCATATTTGCTGTCTCATAATGGATAATTAAGCCTTACTGATGGGGCTGTCGGAGTACATAAGACAAAAAAGGATGGGAATCACTGTCCCAACACACCGCAGCCCATCCCTTGATCACAATACATTAAGCGTAAGTCTGCTTATATGTGACCACAGCAGACTCACCATCTTGCTATTGCATAATCCAGATTGTTCATATTCATTATAATAACTTAAACATGCACTGAGGAGCGCAGAAAGCTGAGGGCTATTTATCTGGTTCACATATTTTAGTCAAGTATTACATCACAGGCTGTCAATCACACAACAGTGGGCACAGGAGATGTCTAAGAAATATAAAGTTAATGAATGAACATAGATTCCCAGCAGATTTAAACACTCATCTCATAAGCTGTTTTCAAACATTGGTGATCACCTCACCAAACCAGATGAATATAATTGGCCCCAAAATGAAGGATGCAGGATGATGAACGTGTTGTCATGTTGTGAATAATCCATTGAAACGTTACATCACAGACTCCCTTAAGGATGAGTTTCAACACACTGACTCCAAATCACATAATGTTGAACATGGACACACTCTCGAGTCTGTGTGTGGCTCAAACCATCAGATACAGCCTGAGCCACTCATACACACTTACTAGTGTGCATTTATCATGTGTATTGCATTTGTAATTGTTTAATACTGATCAAGAGTTCATATTCTTTACCATATATCTGCAAATCTTCATGTTTCGCCTTACTTACCCATCTGGCTAGTGTGTGTTATAGTCCAAACGGTCTCCGAGTGTAGTCTCTGGAGGACTAACTATGCTGGTTATACTGAGGCGGGTACCGGATCGGTTTTGGTTCGCTTGTCAGACAGATATCCGGGCAAGGCCCACCTTAACCCACGCTGCTCCGGTTAAAACAGCCTCTACAGCTCCAGATGTACCGGGGAGATGAATACACCCGGGCTAAATCCCTCTGTTCTGATGTCGGGAATTACGTAATTTTATCCGAAGAGATGAATGCTCATGTGCATCATAATAAAACCAGTGGCACTTCAGAAGCACTTCCTTCTAGCGAGCAAGCGGTCTGATTCAGCTGCACAGCAGACGAGAGCGGCGACGCCCCGCCTTCCACTCAGCTGATTGGTTTGTGATCTGCACAGAAGGTTCTTGTCTGGCCAGTGATTGGTAGACTAGGTTGTCAATTAAACAAGCCACGTCTCCTTAGGGATTTGTTCGAGTCATGTTGCTTACAACTCAAATATGAAATGTCGTTTACGCGAATCGGCTCTTTCGAACGGTTCGTTTCAAATTAACGCTTACACAAAAAAAATTAATCAGTGATTCGTTTACGTTGTGACGTCATTACGCCATCTCGTGGTCAGTCTGTTTGTTACGTTTTATTTCGCTTAGGTTTATTTGTAAGACCCATTTGAGTTTTTGGTTTAATTATTCCATTCATAAAAACATTTAAAATGTATTCAAATGTCTTGGCTGGAAAAGTTATCCATGTTTTGATAAAATGCTGTTTTAAGTAGCCTACTGTTTTAAGTACCCTACTTCTTAATAGAAGTATCTCCTATTAAGATAAACTCACGTTTAGCCAAGTGAATTTGTGAATTGTAATGTATAATATTATTATTACGTATGTCAAATTCTGTTCCAACCAGAAAACAAGTAAGATGTCTACTAGTTTTGAATAAACTCTAGTCCAAATAATGAAGTTACGCCCTCTACTGGAGGTGCATTTGAAGTAAATTCATAAAGCAATTTGCAGTTCTACATAAAGATAATGCCCGCTTTTCTTAGGCCTAATTCTGTGAGTATAAAATGATGATGACAAAATTACAATGATGCATGGATTTACTATATTATTGTAGACCGAATGTCTGATTTTGACAGTCAACTAGGCCAACTGACAGTCAACTAGGTCAATGACAACTCCATATTTGTTAATGCAAAAAAATAAATAAATCTGAATAACCCTACCTAAATGTTAAAAATGTAATCTTTGTATATAAATATTATATTTTACTGATATAATTAATTTTGCTCTGATTTGCTCCACCAATATATACTTCCAGAATGAAAAGCAATTAGTGTTGTGATATTTAATTTGTTAATATTTTCCCAACTTTTATTTATTTGAATATATTTTGAAAAAAAAGTTGTTATAGGCCTACTACACTGCATCATCAGTTTGTCCACAAGTCAATGCTGAACATGTTGCAATTAAACAATTAAACATTGCTTGCAACTGATATCTTAAAAAAAAAAATCATATAAAGATGGTAAATCCAATTTTACATTACACAATAGACACATTGGAAAGTTAAATGAGAAGCTGCAACATAATGTATTGTAGAGGATTATTGTATCATTTAAATTGTACAATCATTCTCAAAAAAAAAACTAAATTTGAGCTGAAATATGAAATGTAAAAAAATAATATATAACCCTTACAGACCCTTTGAAAAAGAAGCACACTTTATAGCACACATATTACAAAGTATACAAAAACTTTGTTTTTATATGAGCAGAAGTCCTCACACTTTTTAAATAAATCATGTAAATTCTAGGGCTGTGCAAAAGTTAATTGCGATTAATCGCATCCAAAATAAAAGTCTGTGTTTACATAATATATTTGTGTGTGCTGTATATAATTATTTTGTATATATAAATACACACACATGCATGTATATATTTAAGAAAATGTGTTATTCATATATAAAATATTTATATTTATATAATATAGATTATGTATTTATAAATATATACAGAATTTAAGCGCAAATAATTCTTAAATATATACATGCATGCATAGGTATTTATATATACAAAATAATTATATACAGCACACACAAATATATTATGTAAACACAGACTTTTATTTTGGATGCGATTAATCGCAATTAACTTTTGCACAGCCATAGTAAATTCATGTCCCAGTTACACGTCATGTCATCACATTTTCCTCGTTAAATAAACATTACATGTTAATTAAAAGAGAAACCAAAAAACGATTATATTTTGTAATAATTAAAGTATAAATATCATCAATTTAGTGTTTTAAGCATTTTTATTCCCAAATAATAATTAACAGCTGTAACGATTTAATCAATATATTTTATTTGTGAACTGAAGTCTAGCTGTTCAAGTACACAAGTACACACTGATCACAGACACGATGTAGCTACCTTTAATTTCACCAAGCTGATTGCTCACTAAAAACCCCTGCATTCATTATATTTTCAGGCCATTTCAAGTTTGATTTTGATTTGTCTTCCCATTAACGCAATCATTTAGTACATTCAGACTGATTAGCAAACGTTCACTAAAACAAGAGGCGTGATATATAATATCGCACAAACCAATCATAGCGCGCTGGAGGCATTACCTCCTCTCACGTCACGTTCATTCTTAAAGGAGTAGTTCGCTTTAAAATGAAAATTACCCCATGATTTACTCACCCTCAAGCCATCCTAGAGGTGTATATATGACTTTCTTCTTTCAGACAAATACAATCGGAGTTATATTAATAAACACCCCGATGCTTTTAACTGAAAGTGGATTGCAACCATCAGTTTAAAGCTCGAAAAAGTGCATCCATCCATTAAATAAGAACTCCACATTGCTCCGGGCGGTTAATAAAGGCCTTCTGAAGCAAAGCGATGAGTTTGTGTAAGAAAAATATCCATATTTAAAGCTTTATAAAGTAAAATAACTAGCTTACAAACATACGGATTCGACTTAAGTCTAAGCGCAACTAATGTGAGTAATGCGACGTACTGCTGATATTTACGCTACGCCATGACGCACTACAATACTTCTGATGTCATAAGTTTCATAAGTTCCGCTTTAGGCGTAAGTAGACTGCGTATGGCTGCTTGACCCGAAGCTAGAATTTTATTTTGTAATTTATTTTTCTTACACAAACTCATCGCTTTGCCGTGTGAAGTTCCTTTAGTATGGATGGATGCACGTTTTTGAGCATCAAACTGATGGTTGCAATCCACTGTCATTATAAAGCTCGGAAGCATCAGGGTGTTTATTAATATAACTTTGATTGTATTCGTCTGAAAGAAGAAAGTCATTTACACCTGTAGGATGGCTTGAGGGTGACTAAATCATGGGGTAATTTTCATTTGAAAGTGAACTACCCCTTTAATTACCCTCCACTGAACCCACTGCACGCTTCGGAGGGACAAAAGACGCAGTGTTACTAGTGATTCATACACTTTTTTAAATTTTATTTATGTATTATGGGTTATTTTCTCATCCAACTTTTTTAAGGAGGCCCCTGTATATCGTACTTCCGATCCGATAGGCCTACTTCTATTATAGTGCTTGGTGCACACTGCACACTTCAAGCACATTTAAGTAATTAAAATCAATCCAATACAGGGATGTGCAGAGGGTTTCTTAGGGGCAGGGGCTCAAAGGTCTATCTATAAAATAAATAGCCTACTGATCATTGAGATCATCTTGGGACTTCCCTGACTTCTGTCTTCGAAATATAAGGTCCTAACAATATGTATTGTGAAAAGCGCCATACAAATACATTTGAATTGAAATATGCTTTAAGTGTACTGCTGAATGCGCTGGCAAGCTTTATGGTAAAATATACCTTAAAGGGGTAGTTCACTTTGAAATTAATTTTGGCATGTTTTAGCTTACCTCAAGGGCATCCAAGATGTAGGTGTCTTTATTTCCACAGTAGTTTCCATTTTGATATTTTTAGGTCAAACCGTTCTTGTCTGTCAGTCATATAATGCAGGTCTATGGTCACCACCTCAAAGAGCATGCAGAGAAGTCCAAATTAAACATGATTTAATGACTCGTAAATGTACAGTAAGTACACATTGATGGCCTAAGACACAAAACGAGCGGTTTGTGTGTGAAAACTAACAGTATTTATATCGTTTTTACCTCACGTAACCACAGCCACGTCCAAGTGATCTGAGGGCGCGGGCGCTTTGTGGCTGTTACAAGAGGTAAAAACGATATAAATACTGTTCCGTTTTCTCACACAAACCGCTAAATTCCGCCAAAATTCTGAAATCTTTGTAAGATATCACTGAACATTTATATAGCAAAAGTACATTTCTTACTTAAGTTAATTTTTATCTCTATTTTTTGTATTTATTTACAATTAGATAAATCTGATATTATTTTAATCTCCAATCTGTTGTTTATCAGTTGATATAATTCTTTAATGCTTCGCTAACTAGCAGAAGACACTAGCAGGGTTTAAACCCCAGTTGTGCAGTTGGGGCATGTTGTAACACTGCGCTAAAATGTGCCCCTATTAGAAATATGCTATTATATTCTATACTTTTATGAATTCTATTGAGAAAACAAGAGAAACATGTAAATAAAGACAGAGGATCAATGTTCACAAATGATTAATTATTATTTTGTTTTGAACTATGCTGTAGCCTATAGCTGTTTTCCGGTGTGATTGTTGTCAAAATCAAAAATAAGAATATGTTTAATTATTAAAAAATACAATTATTTTATATGAAAACGTTAATAATTGTATTTTATAATGAAAATATTTTAGTTTGACTTTTTCTGATTAGATGAGATAGCATTTTAAGCTGCCATATGCTGATTTTACACTGTAACCCACCTATGGGGCATGTTGTCGCATTACACTTCCAGCCTTTCAAGGTAAATCAAGAAAGAAGTATACACTGTATTAATAAAACAAAACCACATAATTGTACTAGACATGTGGGAAATTAATGCGGGAAAAAATAAATACTCTAAACCCAAGTAGATTTGCACAAACTGAGTCAAAAAGCGTTAGGTTGTGCCCTGCTCTCCCCTATAAACTGTTTCCGGTCCCCATTGACTTTTTCTAAACGAAATATTGCTGCTATACTCTTAATATCTTATTTTTAGTTCAACAGAAGAAAGAAACTCACACAGTTTTGGAACAACATGAGCTTGAGTAAATCATGACATCATTTTCTTTTTTGGATGAAATCCCTATAAGTTGCTTGACTAAATTATTGTCTTTTGTAATGTTTTTAGAGACAAGTTTAGAATTCAAATAGGCTAAATTTGTCATAAATTATTGCCAGAAGGGTATTGAAGAAAGCGAATGTAGGCTAAACGTGTTTTTCTCTTAAACTGAGTGTCAATTGTTAATCTGAACAAAACATTGAAAAGGCAAGACTTAATGTTTAACGAAAAAAATAGACTTTTTTTTTTACACGGTAAAAATTAGACTAACCAATAATATAGATTAACTGTTACGTGGCTTTGCAACATCAGCACTGAGCGTGATGTCATGATATGTTGTGCTTTCTAAATTCCAATAATTTTATACCCCACAGTCTTCGTTTATGAGACAAAATAAAGGAAAATCAGAGGTCAATCTGCAATAAACTAAGCAAAGGTTATCAAGAGAGGCTCAGACAGAGAAGAGTCACATCCATCACCCCTCCCAACAGCAGCTGCAGCTTCACACAAACCTGCCTCACATTATTCCAACGGTCCTTCGTCTGACTAAAACGAGCGCGAGCCTCGCCATATTCATTCGCGTTTCCACATCAGCCCGTGTGCCTGTCCATTATGGATGTGCTGGGAAAGAAAGAGCGGAGAGGTAGAGATGTGAAGGGCTTGCTGAAGAGGAACTGGATTCTAATTGCAACCATCGCCTCGGTGATACTGGGTACGATGAGCGCCTTCGTCTTCCTTTTAGCACGGCCACATTTCTCTGCATTTCTCTTATATATCTCGCTTCATTGTGCTCTATCACACCTCATTCCTTTAATTATGTATCCACCGCTATTGTTTTATTGTTGGCAGCTTACTGTGGTGTTACATAATGGACCGCCGTTATGATATCAGTATAGCTGATTTGACAATAAGAGCAATTAAAGTGTTTATTTGTTGCGTGTATGCACGTACAATATCTGCAGGTGTTTTGATGGTTGATTGTGATAAATGAAGGCATTGATTAGTGTGTGTGTGCAGATATTTTACTACTGCCACAGAGAAACGTGACCAGACTTCCAGTATGACAGTAAAATCTCTCTGTGCTCCGCGTGACGTCACACAAGCAGTGACAAGTATTATTAATTAGTGTAGTTCGGGGCTAGTTGTCACACTTTACTTCAGTGGTTTTGCTGTTTTATGATCAATTTCTATAGACATACCTAAACCAGTTGAACGTGCCTATCGATAGACACTGAAACTCTTGCGATACACAACACTTGCGATATACATTGAAACTTGCATTCAATGCAAAACAAAAAAGACAAATATAGGCTATATTTGCCTGTAAAATAAACATATATTATTCTAGCATTAATTAGTCCACAAACAATATTTATTTTAAAGCCTAAACTTCTTTATTTAAAGCAAAACTAAAACCTGCATTGGGCATTTATCTGTAATAGACCAAGTGTTTTATTTGTTTATATTATTATTAATATGTGCTTTTTAATATTTTTATTTATTAACCTATTTATTTAGCCTGTATCAGAATTTGATCTTTTAATTTTTAATAATGTCTCATTAAGTAAAGTTGATAGTTTTTCACTTTAAAATAGAATGTCCTGCTACTATTTGCTTCAGCGTTTTGAACATAAAAGTATGATTAAGGCTTGATAAGCTACAAATACTTTATATAAAATGTGTATCGCGAGTGTTTCAATGTGTATCGCAAGAGTTTCAATGTGTTTCATCTCATACGGCCTCCCATATCAAAGCTATCTGGTCTTGTTACTTGAATGTTCTCGGAACATTCTGAAACGTTTGGAGAACTCCGGCGAACAATGAACCTTTGGTCTAATAAAACATCGGTGCATAGTCAATCGTTCTCTGAGATTTGTTTTCATGATAATCGAATGTAAAGAGTTTTATTTCTAAAAACTGTTAAGCGTATAATGCTAATGGGGGCATTGACTAAGTAAAAAGAAATCGCTAGTTTATACCACTAACAAGGCTCAAAATAGCCCCACACTAACGCAGTAACATAATGAGGCCCCATACATGCAAAACGAAGCATTGAGAACTTTATAAGTGTACAGACCGTTTAATAAGAAGATACTTTATGAAGACAGTTCACTTCGTGTATACAGACAGGAGCCATCTTAGAAAATAGTCTCGATAACTCAAACCACGAACGTCGTGCTGAGTGATCTGAACTTTATGAAGTTCAGCGAACTTCTGAACTGTATGAACGGCGTTCGGGGATCGACTTATCGAGACTATTTTTTTTAAGATGGCTCCTGTCTGTATACGCGAAGTGAACTGTCTTCATGAAGTATCTTCTTATTAAACGGTCTGTACACTTAAGTTCTCAATGCTTCGTTTTGCATGTATGGAGCCTCATTATGTTACTACGTTAGTGTGGGGCTATTTTGAGCCTTGTTAGTGGTATAAACTAGCGATTTCTTTTTACTTAGTCAATGCCCCCATTAGCATTATACGCTAAACAGTTTTTAGAGATAAAACTCTTTACATTCGATTATCATGAAAACAAATCTCACAGAACGATTGACTAGGTACCGATGTTTTATTAGACCAAAGGTTCATTGTTCGCCGGAGCTCTCCTTTAAAGAGTAACTAAACACTTAACCAACTTTTTTTTAGTTAATTATTTTTTAGTTAAGAATGGATCTTTATTAATACCAGTCATTGATTCGAGTAACTTTTTTGACATTTTTTTTATAAAGTGTTCTATTTCTACAATATATGGTGTAAAAACGTCTTAGTGCTGCCCTCTTCAGGTTGAACGGTGGCTACTGCAGTTGAATTTTCCTATTGGATGTTCCGCAGTCCGCACTTCGTGACGTACGCAGGTTTCAGCTCACCACGCGAGCTACGCCCTTGGCAATATAAAAACCATCTTGTGTCGTCAAAACCATTGTAGGGAGTCAGGAATTGGAATTGTGAGTATTGAAAACGATCAGGATAGAGTGTTTTAGCATCTATTTCGTCCCCTCTATCTCCGCTGGGGGTCTGCCCACTTTTTCAGCATTTTCAAATATTGCCAGTGCGTTGAGTCAGGCTCTGACCAGGGGTTTAGTTACCCTTTAACGTTCACTTAACCGAGACAAAATGTGTTTCAAACATTCAAAAATAGAACATTCGAACAATTAAGTTTTCTGTTTTCAATGGGAATGTTAGCACAACATTCTAAGGACATGTTTTTGATGGCTGGGCTGCCCCTTTTTATAATTCAAAATGCTGAAAAACATGATTAAACCAGGCTCAATATGGGCTACTGGTCTCCCAGTTTAGCCGTGCTGGTTTTAGAGAGGTTTTTTAACTTGGAGAGGCTGGGAAATGAGCTTGAATCAGACCTGCAAACTAGCTTAAGCTTTGAATTTTCATGAAATTAACTATTATGTTTACTACTCAACCTGCAGTGAAAAGTGATACAACATGCGTGTAATTCTAAATTACAACTTAAAAACACTGAGAGAACACCAGGAGAACACAGTTCAACCTTTCTGTTAAAATATATCCTCATCACCTACTGTAGTTGAACATTGTCTTAATGCCTATATCAGTGTGGAACAAAGAATGCTAACTCTCCCCTAGGCTACATTGTGCATTAGCGTACAAAAAAGAAAGGACACTTAACCATTTCATGAGCAATTCTTGAAATTAAAGCATGCTACTTTTAACTGTAAGTAATCAGAAATGAGTAGTTATTTGCTTTGCACACAAGTGGCCAGTTCATGAAGGCTTAGTCATCAAAACATTAATGGTTTAATGCTTTGCAAAATGCATAAAACTAATAGGCTAGCCAATAAAATCTCACTATTGCTCTATTAGGCTTTTCTAAACTGATCGGTGAGGCAATTAAGCAGAGGTCATAGATTATTCACTATATGTTCTGACAAGACAACAAAAAAAGTCTTTATTGCAGTGATGGCATGTACACTTTTATAATATATTTGATATATTTTAATATATTTCTATGTGTATATTAAATTTGATATGTTACAGTATATTTGATACTGAAAGTAAATTATGCTAACGGTATTTCGTTTTATATGTTTGTGTACTGACACAGATTATTATGCAAGCCACGTAAGCTTCACTTACAATAAAACAAAGGCAGGTCAAGCAAATCACTGTTATTTTCTCAATCATAAGCACCATAATCAGTATAATACTAAAATGTACTAAAGATAAGATACAGTACAACAGAAATTATTGTAATTCATGTTGGCTTTGGGTTTATCTGGGTTTGGTTTAGCCTTGTTAAAACCTTCAAGACTTCTCCTTGATGCGTATTTGGAAGTTATCTTGCATTTTAGCCACAAAAAAAAAAAAATAGTTGTGAAGCTAATCATACTGGTCCATGATGCTTTTATGGCATGTTAATTGCAACTAAATGAAAATGCATTATAGTTTATATTTATATATAAACATTTATAATGGTGAAGCACAATTTAAAATATATTACCTTTAAATGTTATATCGACTAACACACTACAGTTAAAATTATAATCAAGTACCTCACATGTGCTTTAGTATGTTAGTCATCACATCAAATAAGTGTACATCTTTAAAGCATGAAAAAGGATTCTCATACTTTAAAGTGAAAAATGTAATTTGACATTATTGCAAAGTTAAAAGTGTGCTGAAGTCTGTTAAGAATACAGTCATGAAAGTGTAAGTAAACTTAAAGGGATAGTTCACTTTGAAATTAATTTTTGGTATGTTTCAGCTTACCTCAAGGGCATCCAAGATGTAGGTGTCTTTGTTTCCGCAGTAGTTTCAATTTTGATATTTTTAGGTCAAACCGTTCGTGTTTATCAGTCATATAATGGAGGTCTATGGTCACCACCTCAAAGAGCATGCACAGAGAAGTCCAAATTAAACATGATTTAATGACTCATAAATGTAAGTACACATAGATGGCCTAAGACACCAAACGAGCGATTTGTGTGAGAAAACGAACAGTATTTATATCGTTTTTACCTCTTGTAACAGCCACAAAGCGCCTGCGCCCTCAGATCACTTGGACGTGGCTGTGGTTACAAGAGGTAAAAACGATATAAATACTGTTCGTTTTCTCACACAAAACGCTCGTTTCGTGTCTTAGGCCATAAATGTGTACTTACATTTACGAGTAAATGTTTTGCTTAATACTGCAAAGAAAATTGTGAATTTTGCTAACATTTCAGAAAGAAATTGGAAGCAGTCACACATAAATACATTTCGCTGCAGTGCAGTCCATATACACTTCATTACGTTTATTGGAAAGCTTTTTAGTTTATTTGGTATATGTCATATCTGACGATATCAAAGTTTATCATTATACAAGGATGGAAACAAGATGATAAAAACTCAAAATGTAAAATGGTACATTTGTCTGAAATATCTTTATCAGTTTAACAGCTGCAGATAATTTAACACATCTTGTGTTATGCATCTGTTGACAACAAATGCAGGTAATTTATTTGTGCCCTGAATGTCACAAAGCATTATTAGCATACTCTCAAAATGTCAGTGAGATGACGCTTCGTTTTTGTGATCATTTTGATACAGAGAAGTTATTATGGAAGCATGTTTCTGCCACAGAATAAAAAAAAATGCAAAAGATACAGTAATTGTGACTTTTAATCTCACAATTTGTTCTTACCTTTTTTTTCAGAATTTGACTTAATTCACCACAAATCAATATGAATTTATACACTCTTAGAAAAAAGTTTCAAATTTATTGAACCCAAAAAGTGTCTACACAAGGAGAAATGTATTGAATGATTGCATAATACTTTCATGATTAATGGGTTACTTAATTTTTTTTCTTGTCATAAAGTATGCTTACGAGCTGCTTAATTCATAAAAATGAATTACAATTAAACAAAATTCATTTATTAAAACTAAATCCATACAATGGTCCCATGATGGGAAGCCCTAAGGGGTTCAGAACCTGACAGAACCCTTTAAGGTTCAGTATCGAAGCTTTTCTTCCCAGAGTGAATCTTGTGTGGTTGAGATATTCTTGGAATATTTAGCTCTGCACATTCAGTCTGGCTTGATGTAGATTAGGCACAACTAAGAGCTTTGCATTTCCAGTTAGTTTGACGGGTTCTCTCTATCACTCTATCCATTGCAGGGATCGGGCTTGGAGTGCTGGTGCGGGACTATACCTCTCTGTCCCAGCTGGAGAAGCAGTACTTTGGCTTCCCAGGAGAAGTCCTGATGAGAATGCTAAAGCTGGTCATCCTGCCGCTCATCGTCTCCAGCATGATAACAGGTATCTCTCTCTCTCTCTATCTCTCTCTCCCTCTTCAGCCCATCACAGTATCTACATTTATGATTCAGACGTGGTAAATGTTGCCTTAAGTTACCAATATTTTACTTTTTACAATAGAGCAGTCACTCACCATTTGCATGGGTGTGTAAGAATGATAAGGAAAATAGCTGTTCATTGAAAATCAGTTTAGCTGCATATCATATGATACAAGGATTATAAAACGGCGTCATTCATCTGAGCTTATATAAGTCAAAATTTACCATCCATTAAAAAAAAGAAGAGAGAAACATTTAGTGTTCAGGAGACTGTTCATGTCCACATATGTACATGTGTGCGTACAAAGGCTCATATATGATTATTACAGGCTTGATAAACTTTATCCTCAGATTAATAATGCTTAGACCAAATTAGTTTCAAAAATAAATACAAAACCTGTTCTAATTGAAAGAAAGCAACTTGACAAAAATATTGAATCCAATATTTGGTGATAATATAGCATAACGAGGTTTAGAAGCTATTTTTTGTAGTCTGGTGAATAGGAAAACCACTTGTTTGACTGTACAAAATAAAAGCATTTCAATGCTTTTATTTTGAAATGCTTTTTCAAACATTTTGCTTAAACATTAAAGCACACTAGTGTAATAAACAGTGACATTTTTCCCCATATTTTTTTGAATATTGACAAATTTATCACAAATAAGGCTTTTTTCCACTCAAAAACTAAAGGGGCACAAGGTCAGATCAATGACAAATACAAATCCAAAGGTGTTACAGGGTTTTCAACACAGCGTAAGAGTTAAGCTTTGTACATACACTCTGGTGGGTTGTTTTAACCCAAATTTGGGTTAAATATGGAAAACCCAAATTTGGGTTAAAAATGTAATTTAAACATTGAACCCAATGTCTGAGTTTATCCCATATTTGACCCACAGATGGGTTAAAACAACCCAGCATTTTTTTAGAGTGTGCATAATTTACTGTGATTAATTGTTAAACTACATCACCTTAAAATAATGTGTTACTGCACTCTAAATAATGCTGGGTTGTTTTAACCCAAATTTGAGTCAAATATGGACAACCCTAAATGTTGGGTTAAAAATGCAATTTGAAATTTCAACTTTCACTTTCAACTGTAAATGTAAAAAATTGCATTTTTAACCCAAGATTTGGGTTTTTGTCCATATTTGACCCAAATTGCATTTTTTTAGTGTAACTGAGCAGTCAGAACACAGTTTAGAAATAATTTGTATGTAGCTAGTAAGTTCTGAATTCATTATTTTAATATTTGTGTACTTTGCTTTGTCTCTTATCAACAAAATCATCTAATAAAGATAAGGATTTATGCTGCTGATTATGTCGAAAACGGCACGCCTAAGTGCCTTTTAAAAATTCTTTTTTAGTATAACCCAGTTGCAATGTAACTTGCATTGTTGTTGTCATGTGTTAATGAATGGCCTTGCTTCCTAAAGGAGTGGCAGCGCTGGACTCAGAGGTGTCCGGCAGGATTGGGCTTCGTGCAGTGGTTTATTATCTCTCCACTACCATCATTGCTGTCGTTCTTGGTGAGTTGCATAAACAAAGCCATAAACTTGAAAGTATGGCTGTGCAAAGATTAATTGCGAATAATCGCATCCAAAATAAAAGTTTGTATTTACATAAAATATGTTTGTGTGTGTGCTGTGTATAATTATTTTGTATATATAAATACATATCCATGCATGTATATATTTAAGAATTATTTGCACGTATAGACTATATATATTTTGCTGCCGTCAAAATAAAAGTCCCGCTTCCAACGCATCGGCCAATCCAAAAAACTTATCGGCCGATGACGATATTTAAAAAATGCCAAATATCGTCTGATTTCTCTGTCACGATGTTGCGTGAGGCAAGTTCAAAAGAGTTCACGAAGGCAAGCAAATCCAAATAACAGCAGTTTATTCCAGAAGACGAAGGGAGCACGCACGCATCAGGGTGATACAAACAATACCAGACACCAGACAAGCAGGAACTGAATACACAGAGATAATTAACAAATGACTAACAGCTGTGATGAAGGTGATTGGTGTCCATCCATGGTGACTGATCAGTGGCGGGAAACACATGTGAGGAGTGAAACTGTGACAATATCGGCCGTGGCAATGTATCAGTCGACCACTAATATGAATAACACATCTTCTTAAATATACACATGCATGTGTGTGTATTTATATATACAAAATAATTATACACAGCACACATACACATATATTATGTAAATACAAACTTTCATTTTGAATGCGATTAATCCCAATTAATCTTTGCACAGCCCTAAAGACATATATTGTGGTTGTTTAACAAAAATGTTGTGCTCAAAAGGAATCGTTCTTGTGACGACTATTAAACCTGGGGTCTCTCAGAGTACTGAAAATATCGAGAGAGCGGGAAGCACACCAAATGTGACCACAGTTGACACCTTGCTGGACCTTATTAGGTAAAACATTTTTAGAAACTATTTTTTAAATCGCACCCCTTGATCTACGTAAGAAAGATAATGACACTTGAGGAATACTTGATGCATAAATAAACTTTTTTAAGTATAGCTTATGTGTCCAAATATAATATAATATGCATTAAGCACTTAAGTTATTTGTTTTTCTCATTTCTTTAAAGGAATATGTTTCCTGAAAATCTTGTGCAAGCCTGTTTTCAGCAGGTAAAATATAAAATGTTTTAACATATTTCTTAGAACAATCCAAATATAATACTTTGTTGAAATAAACTTGATTGTGTTCTAGTATAAGACGCAGCGCAAAGAGATTGAACCATCGAAAACCAACACAAACACAACTACATTTCCACCCTTCACCACCATTATTTCAACAGTTGCACAGGTGAGGCAAAGATGTTGAAGAATGTAGGGTGAAGAAAGATAAATGAAGAAATGTATGCATTTATTTTTGCCTTCTTTATGCTGTAGAATTTGACCCAAGACTACAAGATCGTGGGCTCATATTCAGATGGGATTAATGTTCTTGGTATCATCGTATTCTGTGTGACTTTCGGCCTTGTCATCGGCAAGATGGGAGAGAGGGGACGCATCCTGCTAGAGTTTTTCGATGCTCTGAATGAGGCCACCATGCAGCTTGTTCAGATTATTATGTGGTTAGTTCTGACACATTAAAAGCATGTCTGAGGTGGTAAGAAAACCCTAGAAACCACATACCCACTCTCTAGCATCCACCCAGAACACTGTATAAAACAACATAACTCTCTAGCAATCACACAGAACACCTTAGAAACCTCAAAGCAACTCCCTAGCAACCACTCAGAATACCCTAGAAACCATATTGCAGCTCCCTGGCAACATCCCAGAACACCCTAGAAACCACATAGCAGCTCCCTAGCAGCCTCCCAAAACATCCTATAAACCACATAGTGACTCCCCAGTTTACCCTACAAACCTTATAGCAACTACCTAGCAACACCTTAGAAACCCCATAGCAACTGCCTAGAACTACCTATCAACCACCCAGAATACCCAAGAAACTACAAAGCAACTCCCCTAGCAACCACTCAGAACACCCTAGAAACCAATCCCAAGCAACCACCCAGAACACCCTAGAAACACAAAGCAACTCCCCAGAACACCCTAGAAACCACATAGCAACCACCCAGAACACCATATAAAACAACTTAACTCTCTAATCACACAGAACACCTTAGAAACCTCAAAGCAACTCCCTAGCAACCACTCAGAATACCCTAGAAACCATATCGCAACTCCCTAGCAACTTCCCAGAAGACCCTAGAAACCACACAGCAGCTCCCTAGCAGCCTCCCAAGACACCCTATAAACTGCATAGCGACTCCCCAGATTACCCTACAAAACCTAGAGCAACTACCTAGCAACACCTTAGAAACCACAAAGCAACCGCCTAGAACTCCCTAGCCCAGAATACCCAAGAAACCACAAAGCAACTCACCTAGCAACCACTCAGAACACCCTAGAAACCACATAGAAAATCCCTAGCAACCACCCAGAACACCGTAGAAACACAAAGCAACTCCCCAGAACACCCTAGAAACCTCATAGCAGCTCCCTAGCAACCAACAAGAATACCCTAGAAACAACATAGCAACACCCAAGAATACACTACAAACCCCATAGCAACTATCTAGCAACATCTTAGAAACCAAATAGCAACCACCTAGTACTCCTTAGCTACCACAAAGCCACTCCGTAACAACCACCCAAAATACCCTAGAAACCACATAGAAAATCTTTATCGACCATTCAGAATACCCTAGAAACTGCATAGAAACCATCTATAACAACCACTCAGAATATTCTAGAATATGCATAATAATCACCCAGAATACCGTAGCAACCATTCAGTGTCAGACTACCATAGAAACTACTAGAACAGCCTAGAAAGCATATAGCAACAAACAAGAACACACTAGAAACCACATGGTTACTCCTTAGCAACCATTTAGAATACCCTAGAAACGGCATATTAGCAATCAGCCAGAAAACCTTAGCAACCAGTTAACTACACCAACACATTTTTTTGCACAGATACACCTCTAAATCTAGGTTTTATTACCGTTATTCACTTTATTCAAATATTGTAGGGAGATATATCAGTGACATATTCTCAGGAGTTTGTGTGTCATATTGATTATAGATCAACTGATATTAAACAAATGTTCTCCTGCAGTTACATGCCCATTGGCATCTTGTTCCTGATTGCTGCTAAGATCATTGAGGTGGACGACTGGGAAATCTTCAGGAAGATGGGCCTGTACATGGTGACGGTGCTCAGCGGGTGAAGAAGCTTCTTTAATGTTCCCTTGCTGATTTACTGGCCGTTTACTGCTCCCGTACAGCTTCATATCAGCTCTGTTCACTCACAGATAAGAGCCAAGGACATTCAAAACTGCTCAAGCTGCAGATGTGCTAATAATACATTTCATAAACTCCAAATTTCCACTTAATAAGAGTGATTTAGGCAACCGAACATCAGTCGGTGTTAAACAAATGCCATCTGCACTCGTGTGGAATGGACCGAAAGGACAGTTTAGATTGCACATTGCTGAGTTAAACAGAAAAAAAATAAAATAATTGTAGGATATAAATCCAAGGCCTGGTTTTACAGACAGGGCTTAGATTAAGCCTTAGTTTTATTAGGACATTTAAGTAGCTTTTATAAATGTGCCTTAGAAAAGAACATTCTGGTGTGCATCTTAAAACAATGGCACTGACATAGTTAAAGATTAGTTGCTTTCAGTTAAAGGTACAATATGTAAGTTTTCACCGCATTTTTAAAACGATAACAAAGACGTAGCTTAATGATGCTATAAAGGGGTAGAACGATGGGAGATGTTGTTTTCACCATCCAGAGATGTATGGAATTTATTAATCATGTTCACGGATGATGTAATAAATTAGTTTTTGTATTAACCTGTAAGTATGATCACACTATTTTATGTCATCGTTATGAATTAGCTGCAAGGAACGTGAAATATAATGCTATATTAGCCTGTTAGTGATATACGACTATTTGTAAAAACAATCGTACTAAAAGTAAATTAACAAATCCACAATATTTGCAAGCTAAATATTTCTGTGCAACACATAGTGTATTTAATTTCACTACCATAGACTTGGTCACCAGACTAGATAAAACGTGTTACTGAAGTACAAACAAACTGCAATATAACTGTGTACAATAAATAATATTTGCTTACCTGTCTATTAAAACACATGCGAGAGTGGAGTGTCTGTCCATCTCAAAAACACCACGCCGGTATTGATCCTTGTTTTATTTCTCCGTTTTGTCTCAGTTGATCTACGTTTGAGTTTTTGGATTTTCTGTACTCGCCAATCAATAATCATGAACCATGATGACTGAACGACACAACAGAGGCGTGCGAGATACTGTATCATTGATATAAATATATATATATATATATATATATTAGTGCTGTCAAACGATTAAAATATTTAATTGCGATTAATCACATTAATGTCATAGTTAACTCACGATTAATCGCACATTTTTAATCTGTTCTAAATGTCTCTTGATATCTTTTTGTCCCATTATTTTTTTTATTTTAAAAGTAAAATTTCCATTCAGAATCTTATTGGCATCTCGCACTCGTCATCCACTCGAAATGTAACGTTAACCAACTATTTGGCCGTCTCGCAAGCCTAAGCAAGTGTGTGAGGCGGCGTGATTGTTGTTTTGTTTCCGGTCTAGCTAGATCCGCTTGCGGTTTGGTCGACGAAGCAACAAAATGTCCTCACGCGGCACAAGCCATTGAAATGAATGGGTTTCATAGCGCGCGCAGCGCCGCGTACTGTTGCAAAAGCATGTGAAAAGTTTGCTAGGCCAAAAAGACAAATTGCGCGATAAAAACTCTGACGCTGTTAAAATGGGTTTGCGTTAACGTGTTAATAACGCGTTTAACTGACAGCCCTAATATAGATAGATAGATAGATAGATAGATAGATTCCCCATCAGCAGTTTAAGTATAGCAGCCCATCAAAAGGCCCGCTAATGAGGTATCTATGTATATATATATGGTTTCTACAAGTTACTACTTGTAAATGTGTACCTTGAAATGCTATGTAAGTTGCTTTAAGTAAGTTTTTACAAATCCTTGGGAACTTTTGGGATAATGGAAGTATCCCAAAGGTTTTCGAATATTTCATTACAAAAATCTTACATATTGTGCCTTTAAAACAGCTTAAAGATGCATTTTAGTCTGGGAGTCTAAGCCTTGTCTGTGAAACCGGGGGTATGTGACCTTGGTAAAAAATATACTGGATATCCATTACTTATAATAATCTATAATAGTAATGTTTAATGTTTTAAAATATGTTTTCCATCCACAGACTGGCCATCCATTCCATCATATTCCTCCCCCTGATATACTTTGTGTTTGTGAGGAAGAATCCATTCACCTTCACTCTGGGAATGGCACAGGCCTTGGTAACGGCTCTCATGATTTCCTCAAGGTGAGCCAATGAATATTCTAGCATCTGTATTTTCTGGGCATGTTGATTTTAAAACACTAGCACTGCATCCAAAATCGAATACTTCTCTTCTATATAGTATGCGAAAAACAGTATGCAAACAGAATTATGTTCAAATGCAGAGTATTCATAAAACAGTATGAACTGATTCAGAAGTGCTCATTCGGTCAGTAGCACCTTGCAGTACAGGAGATCCAGGGGGCGGAGTCAGATCCAGATCTAAGGGGTGGAGTTGGGTAGGTTTAGGGGTGGTTTAGGTATTGGGAGTGGAGCTAGGTAGATTTAGGGGTGGGTTTAGGGCTTGGGGGTGGAGCTGGGTAGGTTTAGGGGTGGTTAAGGGATCGGGGGTGGAACTGGGTAGGTTTAGGGGTGGTTAAGGGATCGGGGGTGGAACTGGGTAGGTTTAGGGGTGGGTTTAGGGATCGGAGGTGGAGCTGGGTAGGTTTAGGGATTGGGGGTGGAGCTGGGTAGGTTTAGGGGTGGGTTTAGGAATCGGGGGTGGAGCTGGGTAAGTTTAGGGGTGGTTTAGGTATTGGGAGTGGAGCTAGGTAGATTTAGGGGTGGGTTTAGGGCTTGGGGGTGGAGCTGGGTAGGTTTAGGGGTGGTTAAGGGATCGGGGTGGAACTGGGTAGGTTTAGGGGTGGTTAAGGGATCGGGGGTGGAACTGGGTAGGTTTAGGGGTGGGTTTAGGGATCGGAGGTGGAGCTGGGTAGGTTTAGGGATTGGGGGTGGAGCTGGGTAGGTTTAGGGGTGGGTTTAGGAATCGGGGGTGGAGCTGGGTAAGTTTAGGGGTGGTTTAGGTATTGGGAGTGGAGCTAGGTAGATTTAGGGGTAGGTTTAGGGCTTGGGGGTGGAGCTGGGTAGGTTTAGGGGTGGTTAAGGTATCGGGGGTGGAACTGGGTAGGTTTAGGGTGGTTAAGGGATCGGGGGTGGAACTGGGTAGGTTTAGGGGTGGGTTTAGGGATCGGAGGTGGAGCTGGGTAGGTTTAGGGATCGGGGTGGAGCTGGGTAGGTTTAGGGTGGGTTTAGGAATCGGGGGTGGAGATGGGTAGGTTTAGGGGTGGTTTAGGTATTGGGAGTGGAGCTAGGTAGATTTAGGGGTAGGTTTAGGGCTTGGGGTGGAGCTGGTAGGTTTAGGGGTGGTTAAGGGATCGGGGGTGGAACTGGGTAGGTTTAGGGGTGGTTAAGGGATCGGGGGTGGAACTGGGTAGGTTTAGGGGTGGGTTTAGGGATCGGAGGTGGAGCTGGGTAGGTTTAGGGATCGGCGGTGGAGCTGGGTAGGTTTAGGGTGGGTTTAGGAATCGGGGGTGGAGCTGGGTAGGTTTAGGGGTGGGTTTAGGGATCGGAGGTGGAGCTGGGTAGGTTTAGGGATCGGAGGTGGAGCTGGGTAGGTTTAGGGATCGGGGGTGGAGCTGGGTAGGTTTAGGGGTGGGTTTAGGAATCGGGGGTGGAGCTGGGTAGGTTTAGGGGTGGGTTTAGGGATCAGTGGGTGAAGCTAGAGCTGTGTCTGAAATCGCTCCCTATCCATTATATAGTGCACTATATCGGGTGTCGGCCATTTTGTAGTGGTGTCCGAATTCTGAGTGAACGACATCATTCCCTACATTCATTCACTACTTTTACCCACAATCCTCTCTGAAATTCGAGTGTACATTTGATGTACACTTGCTGAAGCCCTATTTCCCAGAATCCAATGCGGAGAGAACTGAGCGTGCATGAAAGTGCGGCGCGAGCAAGTTTAAACCAGAGATTACATTACATCCAGTGGAGGAATTGAAAAATATCCGTTAATCGTTGTTAGGAAGCGTATTCATTTGAATATAATAACGGTCGCCAGAGGGCGCTCGACGACACGTCATCTGTGAACGTGAGAGTTACAATTTCAGTCGATGAAACTACAAAGTTGGCACGGAGGTATATAATTACAAAATAAAGTCATTATGATTGTTATTGTTGTAATATTATTTTATAAAGTAGGTAATGTAAGATAAAAGGAGTTTTATCAGTACGCACGCGTGACGAAGCCTTTTCTGCGACAGCTCCAACTCTCCGACGCGCACAGTGTAAACGTCAGCGTCCGAATTCACTCACTTCATCTCGTTCACTCCTTGCAGATATAGTGCACTCAAATGCTATACACTATATAGGGATTAGTGAATGAGTGAACGAGTGAGCGGTTTCAGACAGCCTAGGTGAAGCTAGCAAAAAACAAAGGTACAAGACTGTGTACTTAACAGCTATGAAATATAAAACTACTCATTTAAAATGTTTTAATATATACACATATATAGTGTGTATATATATAAATATAAGAATAAAAAATAAGGAAATAATGTGCATGACAAATCACAATTTTTTTTTGAATACAATAAAACTCAAGTGGCACTCAAGTGTCGCAATACTTTTTTGGCCACTGCACAAACAAACGGCAAAAATTCCTTCAAAGCTGTGAATAATTCTTTAAAAGTCTTTAATGTTGCATTTTGATCATTATTTTTGAGCTGTTTATACCAGGACTTCCTGCTTCTGAGGATATGTCTCTCCAGTTTTAGACCTTTTATGTTTTTTTAAACCCACAATAATCAATGAAAACTGCTATTCTGGCAAGTATTATGCTTTTTATAATAACACAAGTCTTTACTAAATCAGCTCAGCCACTCTGCCGGTCACATTCCGATGTGCAGAAGAGAACAACAGGATTGACAAGAGGATCACTCGCTTTGTCCTTCCAGTTGGTGCGACTATCAATATGGATGGCACTGCACTGTATGAAGCTGTTGCTTCTATATTCATAGCTCAGTTGAACAACTATGATCTGGACGTTGGCCAGATTGTTACCATTAGGTAAGTTGTTGGGTATACGCCAGTTGGCGTGATATAATAGAGTTAAGTGGCTTTGTGAGAGACAAAAGCCCGAATAATACTTTTTTGACATGTTCTTTAAATAGTATCACAGCAACAGTCGCCAGCATTGGTGCAGCAGGAGTTCCGAATGCTGGACTGGTAACCATGGTGATAGTCCTCACAGCAGTTGGCCTTCCAGCCAACGATGTCACCCTCATCGTTGCTGTCGATTGGCTGCTGTAAGTATGTCAGGTTTACTTAATGTGAGACAATAGAGTGCTGCAGGATGACGTATTTTTGCAGGCCAACCCAGAAGTTAGCACTACACTGGTGCCCTTGACAGAACCAAAATAGGATTTTTCCATTGGCTTTTGGATTATTGAAGAAAATAAGCTTAACACAACTTGTATGAATTTAAACCTAAATGCAATTTGCAGAAGTAAATAACTAAACGTAGGCTATAAATGAACTTCACCTTTCACCACGGTCATATTACTTTAACATCACCACAATTAAAGGATTGTTCACCCAAAAATAGTGAGCTACAAGGATGTTAATCCATGATATTTGCTTCAATTGAAGCCATTAGCTTTTTTTTTTTAAGAATCATGTTTAACAGTGTAATTCCTGGTGATAACCTGCATTACCCATGATGCTGTATAGAAAATTACACCAGAGAGTTGAAAAAAGCAACACGCTCCAAATTGCTCTATTTTGATCAGCGCCATTGAAAAAGGGGGTGGGCACTGTTGCACTCTATTGCATCTGCAGCAGTCAGGTGGTACAGAGGTCACAATGGAAAATTCCCAGTATACATGTTGAATGAACATTTTAATGCATTATAGGCCCTGTCTACACCTGGTATTAAAATGCATTTGGTTGAACGGATCACAAGTAGGTGTTTCAATCTGTCTCTTTTATCCACTTTCAAACACTTCTGTCCCGATTTCTTCGAGGGGAGGGTCTATGGGCGGGTAAATGTATGGGTTTTTCAGATCTTGCGATCTAATAGAAATAAGCTCACAGAATTTACATATGAACGCACCTGGAGACGATGGAAAAAGACCACGTAAGACTCTGACCAGCCGCAAGATCACGCCGAACACTGCAAGTGTGTGTTAGAAATCAGGAATGGTGAGAGAACATTGTGCTTGGTATGTTTTTCATCCATAAACCAAACTCGGGCTTCCAGCCGACAAAGTTTAAATCTCGTCTGGCTAGTGCACTTCTTCTTTTGTGGCTGTTGACACATGCGACCAGATGACTGTTTACATTACGAAAGCAATCCGGTCGAATGTGTTTTTGTCTACTCCTAGAAGTGGTCAAAAGTGGACAAGCTCAAAACATTTTAGACCTTACACCTGCATTTAGGTCGTCCACTTTCGATCCGATTGACCAAAACCGCATCTTAAAGGATTAGTTCAGATAATTTGCTGATAATTTACTCACCCACATGTCACCCAAGATGTCCATGTCTTTCTTTCGTCAGTCGAAAAAAAAATTAAGGTTTTTGATAAAAACATTCCAGGATTTTTCTCCATATAATGAACTTCATTGGGAACCAACGGTTCAATATACAAAAGACACTTTCAGTACAAACTGCAAACTGTTCAAATGGCTTTAAACGATTCCAGACGATAAATAAGGGTCTTATCAGGCGAAACGATCACTCTTTTTTTTTTAAAAAAAGAAAGTTTAAGTTTTATAAGCTCAAATGCTCGCCTTGCTCTGTTCTTTGATGCACGTTCGTGACTCTACCGTTCGAACTCGTTCAACAAAACGAACAAATCTTTTTCCGAGTCAATTCGTTCGTTTCTTTCGCCGAATGAACCAAATGACTCGGAAAAAGATTTGTTCATTTTGATGGACGAGCTCGAACAGGAGAGTCACAAACGTGCGTTACAGAACAGAGCAAGGCGAGCGTTTGAGCTTATAAAACTTAAACTTTGTTATTTATTTATTAAATGAGCGATCGTTTCGCTTGATAAGACCCTTATTCATCGTCTGGAATCGTTTAAAGCCCTTTGAACAGTTTGCAGTTTGTACTGAAAGTGTCTTTTGGACCTTGAACCGTTTGGTTCCCACTGAAGTTCATTAAATGGAGAAAAATGCTGGAACGTTTTCATCAAAAACCTTAATTTCTTTTCGACTGAAGAAAGAAAGACATGGATATCTTGGATGACATGGGGGTGAGTAAATTATCAGCAAAAGTTTTTTTCAAAAGTGAACTACTCCTTTAATACCAGGTGTAAACAGGGCCCATATATAGGCCAATCCACACTGCACTGATAGACGCCAACCATCGCGGACAATCACCAGATTACAGCACGTCAATTCTCAGACATTGGCCTTATGATTTTTGAAGGTTCATGTGACACTGAACATTGGAGTCATGGCTGCTAAATATTCGAACAGCTGCTATAATGTGAGAGTTAACATTAATTTTCCAATCAAATCAGCGATCGCTTCCGAACCATGATCAACGTGTTGGGAGATGCCTACGGTGCTGGAATAGTCCAGAAGCTGTCTAAGCAAGAACTAGAGAGGATAGACCTGATTTCAGACGTGGATGCGGCCAACCCCTTCGCCCTAGAGACCACGCTGGACGACGACGAGTGCGAGAAGAAATCTTACGTGAACGGCGGATTCACCATTGACAAAAGCGACGCCATTTCCTTCACCGAGACCTCCCAGTTTTAGAGGTAACGTGACATCACTGAAAGGAAGGTTCAGAGAGGTAGGAGCCATTCATAAAAGCTGTGCTATGACTAGGACAGAAAGTCATTAGCAAGGACATGATTGAGCGCAGACATTAGCAATACCTGCCCTTGCGGTTCTCCTTCCTTCATTTTCCATGCTCTTGAACTTACGTGTGCGCTAGACAGAGAGAAAAAAAAATGGCCGTAAGGAAACTATGTGCTTCCACAGCTCATTTACATGTTGCCATGATTTATGCAAAGCGTTTTTTTCTTTAATTAACTGCTGTTGTTTTCTTTGGCTTCGTACTAATGAAAAGCTTTTTAGCAGTAGGTGATTTTTGTATCGTACAACAAAGAGCATGTTGCTAACTAGCCAATGTTATTATACACAAAAAACGCTGAATTTAAGGTCATCGAAATAAATCTGCTTGATTTTTCTTCGCAAATTACGTTCATTTGTTTTAGACTCGGTAAAGTGTGAAATTTTGCCAGTTATGTATTTGCACTTGCTATTGAGAGCCAAATGTGTATGAGCTTTGCGTGTCTTTCATTTCAGATTTGTGCCAAATTGTTGATATGAAGGGGAACATTTTTATACAAACTTCTAAAATGAAATGAAATATTGCATGATAAGGATTTGATATGAAGTACAGGAATGGCCTTGAGAATGAAAATCAGATCCTTTGTACACAATTATTTTGTCATGACACTGAAGGTGGCAAGCCTTAATAGTTTCTTCAGCAAGCCACTCATTTTATGGTTTTACTTTGTTGTTGTTGATGAATCAGAGCTATTTTGACGAATATTTTTTAACAGACTACACCGATGATGTTGTCAGTGCCAAATTTCTGCCATTGAATTCGTTTTTTAAGTTTATTTTTACACTATTTAATTTCTTTATATTTTGTTACATTAGAAATGAGAGAAAACGATCAATGTGAACTGAAGCATTAATGGTCTGTCTTTGAGGTTCTGGAACTGAATTACCACCATAAAGCACACCATTGTACAACTGTATTTATACAGAACAGTAGTCAAATTAGTTATACTGTATGATTCAACAAGTACTGTATGTGTATCCACAAAATAATAAAGACAAATGTCAACACCTGAAAAATTGCCTAAATTGACTTTTTTCATGTAACAAAATATGTTGAGATGTTTAACACGTTTCAGCTTGTGCTGTTTAATTGTAGAGTGAAATGTTTCTAATATTCTTTGATATACACTCACCGGCCACTTTATTAGGTACACACGTTCCTGCCCCTCTACTTCCGGCTCATGGACCTTATTTCGGAAAAATATGTGTGGTAGTCAATCTTTTTATTCCATCTGAACTGTGCCCTGAATTATTTAAAAGATAATTCTGAAAGTCAAAAACGTCGCACTCGCAGTTTGTCATAAAACAGAAGAGTAACGTTTAGTTTTATGTGAAAATCGCTCAATGAACTACATCTGCCGCGGGAAGCAAAACAACGAGCGAGATCCGCTGCTCGTGTGTGTGCAGTCTGGTACAAAACAGTCAGACATGACGGCGTTACGTTACGATTATAATAACGTAAGACTATAGAAACAATGATTGACGTTCGCTTCAGCTAAGTTAGCTTCATTCATTGAGAGAAAATGTGCGCCTTTGGGGTTTGTAGTCTTTGTAATTATGTATTTTCACAGTCTTATACTCAAACGTTTTACATCAAACTGCGACTTTCTTTACCTTAAAATGTCCTATCTTTTAAATTGACAAACATCATGTGTGTAATTCAGGGCGTAATTCAAACGAGATCAAAATAAATATTTGTTGTCTCTCACCATTGACTACCATACAATATTTTTCCGAAATGGTGGTGACCTGAAGGGGAGGGACTTGGGCTCTCTTGCAAATATCTAATCAGCCAATCACATGGCAGCAACGCTATGTTTACACTGAGCATCAGAACAGGGAAGGAAAGGTGACTTTAACGTGGCATGGTTGTTGGTGCAGATGGGCTGGTCTGAGTATTTCAGAAATTGTTGATCTTTCACACAGAACCATCTATAGGATTTACAGAGAATAGTCTAAAAAAGACAAAATATCCAGTCAGTGGCGGTTTTTGTGGGTGAAAATGCCTTGTTGATGCCAGAGATTAGATGAGAATGGCCAGACTGGTTCCAGCTGTTAAAAGACAGCAGTAACTCAAAAGTCCAATCTTGAAGCAGAAGAGCTACTGCAGCAGAAGCAACACTTCACACTGGCTCATCAAAACTGGACAGTAAAAGATAGGAAACTGTTGCCTGGACTGATGAGTCTCGATTTCTGCTGCAACGTTCAGAAAGTAGACTTCTCTGAGGAGTACTGGGCTCAGATTAGAACAAAACTGGACCTCTTCTACAGACAGCACATTCTCACAGAAATTTGCACACACAAACTGATGAAACAATTTCTGATCGCAGAGACTTGCTGTCACAAATGTGTAGGCTTAAAAAGGCACAATGGTTTTGTTCAGATTGTTCTCCATAATCCAAATAAATGTGAATTCATACACAACCTTCCTAGTAATTTGTTAAAATTGTTATTTTAATAATTGAAATATGCTCAATCAATTGCAGGACAACAAATATTCTCATTACCAAACAAATGTTTAATAATTGTATATTATGGTCATTTAATTTAATTATTGTAAATGTAATAATTGTAAAAATGATAATTAAAGACCAAACATAAATCCAATAGAAATCTATATACAATAGATATACAGAATGACGTACACAATCATTCAATAACAAAATAAGAAGGTTTTCAACCACTTGTAAGTGTGAAAATCCTGAAATGTTTTCATCACAAACCTTAATTTCTTTTCGACTGAAGAAAGAATGACATGGATATTTTGGATGACTTGGGGGTGAGTAAATTATCAGCAAATGTTTTTTTTTATAAATGAACTAACTTACTCCGTTAAGGCAGTTCTGAAGGCAAAAGTGGGTCCAACACGGTACTAGCAAGGTGTACCTTATAAAGTGGCATAGACGGATGTTCTTCATTTTACTCGAGGGGGGAATGCGGTAGACAAAACACACCAGAGGCTCCCTGACACAAACAGAATAAGCCGTTTGAACTTCATAATCAACCAAAGAAGGGATTTCATTTTAATTGCTAATAATTGAAAGGCAACATTTGCATGCAAATGCAAATGCAAAAAAAAAAAAGAAGAAAGGATGTCATCAAAGCACTGCTGAATGGAAGATTTTTTCTAGAGTTTTTCTATGTTATTAATGGACCTTTGCCTTATTTAGATTTTTATTAAGGAATCTCATTGTGAAACGGTGCATGTCAAACACTTTTATGACGATGTGCAATGCTACTGCATCACAACTTTTTTGTTATGAGGGTTATATTACACATGTACCATTTTAGCATCACAAATGTCTATTTTGGTCTCCATTGTCACAAGTTTATGAGCTGAATCAGGTGTGTACTTTTTGGGGGCCTCCAGGAACAGGATTGAGAACCAGTGTGCTTTAAAAACACATGGAATATACTATTTCACTTCAATACTGCAATACATACACAACTACAAACAAACACACTCATAATTGAATGAAAAATGATGCAATGCCACAAGACATCACAGGGTCCTCTGCTTCATCTGTAGATAAAGAGAAGGACGCTCTTTAAATAAATACCCACTGAAGCTGTACAACCCTTGAGAAAAAAGAAGTTTGCTTAATTGGCTTAATTATATATATATATATATATATATATATATGAAGAGTTCAGATGCAAAAGCCTCTAAATGCCATTTGAAATTTTCTTCTAAAATGACAATTTTTATCACCATGTTGTATATACTGTAATTGCATAAAGTCACAATATTAAAATACAATATTAATGAGATAAAAGGCCACTTAAGTGTGTACTTAAAAAGAGTAGACTTTAACGACTGTTTTTTAAGTTTTATGTATTTTGTATCATGTATTTTTAAGTTTTACTTTAAAATACATTTTAAATCATGTTTTAATAATCATCATTGATGTGTTGACTAACATACTAAAGCACATGTGAAGTACTTGATTATAATGTTAACTGTAGTGTGTTTTTTATATTACATTTGATATTTAAATATTTAATGTATTATGTGAAATGCAAAAAAAATTCAACTTTTATCCTTACAAATGTATAACAAATATATTTAACATGACATAAAAGTTTAAATAGAAATGACATTAAAGTATTTAATTCACTAAAAAGGCTTGTCAGTAAATTCAGCTGACATTTCAAAGACGAAGTAATTATGAAATTTCATAGACTTAATTAAGTCCTACTTTAGTGGGTAAAAAAAGCAATTCTAAATACTTGTTATTTTTTATTTAATATCAGTTTAAACTATAATACACATACTAAACTAAAATAAACATTAAATTGCAATTAACATGCAATTGACTGAAAATATTACATTCAGTTCACACTTAAGTATGCTTTTTAAGATTATGGCCAAGACTCTTATTATTATTGCAATAATTATAATTTAAGCATATACATACCACTTTCTTATAACACACTGGTGTTTAAAATGGGCATGAGTGGGCCAAAACACATCTCCGTATCAGTACCTCGTCTATCTCAGAGTCCGTGGCACCCTGACATCAAAAACAGAGGCAGAGGAGGTTAAATGATCCATCCCACAATCAGCATAACATTCCACAACAATTATTTCTGAAATGGACTGTGTGTGTGTGTGTGTGCACACACACATTTGAGTGGTACTCACACTTGCTAGTCTATGAACTGCTTTAGGAGATGTTAAAAGGCTCTGAACCCGTTCCTGAACCTCCTCCCAAAGGTCAGAAGAGCTGCAGAAAATAACACAGTATTTACTTTTTTTTTTAAAGAAGGCATCACTATCACAGTTGCTTATACTTAAAGGAGTAGTTCACTTTTAAAAAAAAACTTTTGCTGATAGTTTACTCACCCCCATGTCATCCAAGATGTCTTCAGTCGAAAAGAAATTAAGGTTTTTGATGAAAACATTCCAGGATTTTTCTCCATATATTGGACTTTACTGGGAACCAAACGGTTCAAGGTCCAGAAGACACTTTCAGTGCAAACTGTTCAAAGGGCTTTAAACGATTCCAGGCGATGATGAATAAGGGTCTTATAGTGAAACGATCGCTCATTTAATAAATAATTAACAAAGTTTAAGTTTTATAAACTCAAATGCTCGCCTTGCTCTGTTCTGTGACTCTCCAGTTCGAACTCGTTCATCAAAATGAACAAATATTTTTTCGATTCATTTGGTTCATTCAACGAACGAATTGACTCGGAAAAAGATTCGTTCATTTTGATGAACGAGTTCGAACTGGAGAGTCACAGAACAGAGCAAGGCGAGCATTTGAGTTTATAAAACGTAAACTTTGTTGTTTATTTTTTAAAAGATCGATCGTTTTGCTTGATAAGACCCTTATTCATCACCTGGAATCATTTAAAGCCCTTTGAACAGTTTGCAGTTTGCACTGGAACTGTCTTTTGGACCTTGAACCGCTTGGTTCCCATTGAAGTCTATTATATGGAGAAAAATCCTGGAATGTTTTCATCAAAAACCTTAATTTCTTTTCGACTGAAGAAAGAAACACATGGACATCTTGGATGATGAGTTTTTTAAAAAGTGAACTACTCCTTTAAGATCAGTGAACAAACACCTCAAACCAATGTATTAAAACTCTGGCAGGTAAACTGTACAGCTTCAGAAATGAACGATACTTCATATTGTCTGATGTGGAAAACCGATGTGGATTCATGCAAATCTACCATGGGAACACACACACAAACACACCCATTGTGCCTCTGGCGTTCCTTGCTGGAGTAATTTGGGCTGGGAGATCCCTCATATCCCATCAGGGAATGATGACGGCCCACTTCCTCAGCGTAGTCGAGGAGATCATCTGTGTCTGAAGAGTCTTCATCAGCCATCTGAGGAATATACAGTATCGCATAATGGCAGCTCATGTCTGGATTTTCATTAAAGAAATACCCTTGTGAAAAAGTGTGCTTAATTATATTGAATCTGCATGTGGCAAGCAGGGCAGGGCCGAGAGCCTTGGGAATGGAGCGATGGAGGAGCTCCATAAGGATAAAAGGAAGAATGACGACTGTGCAAGACTCTTTTTTAACTGTATTTGCAGATAATTTAACATTAAAGTGCCCCAATTATGCTACTTTAAAGCTTCCTAATGTTATTTTCGAGTCTCCTACAACAGGTTTACATGGATCAAAGGTCAAAAAACAATATTTTATTTCCAATACACATTTGCACATCACCACATTTTTCAGTGACTCTCAAAAGACTCGTCAGATGAATCAATCTCTCTAAATCCCTCCTTTCCGCGAGCTACTCTGCTCTGATTGGCCAGACAACTCAGTCTGTGGTGATTGGTCTATCGTGTACAGTGCAGGATAGACACAGTTTTATGTAATAGTGGCCCTCAAGTGATTAGCAGAAGTGAGACAGTAATAACGCGATTAAGCCAGTTAGCAGGAGACCTACACAATATCAAACTCTGAGAACACTGGCTGAAAATATATACATCAATAATTGTTCATATTTACAGGTTGTGATATTGAGGAACAAGTTAGTCCAAAATAACTGGTACTACTATTGTTTTTGGCGGCCTGTTTTAATTTTAGTTTTAGTCTAGTTCAATACTCTTTTTAGTCTAGTCTAGTTTTAGTCGACGAAAACGGATGACATTTTAGTCTAGTTTTAGTCGACGAAAACTGATGACATTTTAGTCTAGTTTTAGTCGACGAAAACGGATGACATTTTAGTCTAGTTTTAGTCGACGAAAACGGATGACATTTTAGTCTAGTTTTAGTCGACAAAAACTGATGACATTTTAGTCTAGTTTTAGTCGACGAAAACGGATGACGTTTTAGTCTACGAAAACGGATGACATTTTAGTCTAGTTTTAGTCAACGAAAACTGATGACATTTTAGTCCAGTTTTAGTCGACGAAAACTAATGACATTTTAGTCTAGTTTTAGTCGACGAAAACGGATGACATTTTAGTCCAGTTTAAGTCGACGAAAACTGATGACATTTTAGTCTAGTTTTAGTCGACGAAAATGGATGACATTTTAGTCTAGTTTTAGTCAACGAAAACTGATGACATTTTAGTCCAGTTTTAGTCGACGAAAGACATAGTCTAGTTTTAGTCAATGAAAATTGTGTTTTAGTCTCTTTTTAGTAGGCAATTCTATTTAACCCAGTAGTAGGCTAGCCTATAGACGAAAACGAATCTTATCTTCTTATAGTTATCTTCTTATATTATTGTTACCTTATAGACTCAAGAATACATCCATTCCAGACACGGAAGACGCTCTGAATTGAATTTACAACATATTTATTTTACCAACCAAACATGTTAGTAGCCTACACACATGATGAAATGAAAGTTTTTCCAAATGTAATTTCTTCTTTTTTTCCCAAAGACGAATCCCTTTCTCTGTGTCAGACTTAACTTTTTGTGTTTAATAGAGTACAGACAGAGAATGACAAACAATATTTACAACTAACCCAATGTCTGGAATAGCCTCTTCTCAGGTCTCCTGAAGAAAAACAAGCAGTACATAGAATAAGTATGGTTTACCCATTAACATTCAGTTGGTTAAAGTCAAACGTCACTAAACTTAAAGCAGTCATCGGATGCCCATTTTCCACAAGTTGGTATGATTCTTTAGGGTCTTTATGTAAAGTTTGTAGCATACTTTGGTTAAAATTCCTCAATGGTTGTGTAAAACAACACCCTTTTTACCTCCTCAAAAACAGCTCTGTTCATAGCGACCCGTTGCGGTGCATGTCTCTTTAAATGATAATGAGCAACCCTTTGCCTTGACAGACAGTATACAATTGGCTGAGGGCACAAATATGCTAATACGGGACAGTCCGTCAGTGATCGTGGGCAGAGCATGACAGCTTGAAAATCCAAACAGCTTGATTATTGAAAGTGTTTAGGCTTTTGAAGATTAAAAAAAAAGGGGTGAATACATTTTTTTTTCATTGTAAGGTGGTCTACACAATGAAAAGACACATTTATATTAGGGCTGTGCAAAAATTAATTGCGATTAATCGCATCCAAAATAAAAGTCTGTGTTTACATAATATATTTGTGTGTGCTGTATATAATTATTTTGTATATATAAATACATACACACACATGCATGTATATATTTAAGAAAATGTGTTATTCATATATAAAATATTTATATTTATATAATATAGATTATGTAATTATACAAAGTATATATATATAGAATTTAAGCACAAATAATTCTTAAATATATACATGCATGCATATTTATTTATATATATACAAAATAATTATATACAGCACACACAAATATATTATGTAAACACAGACTTTTATTTTGGATGCGATTAATCGCAATTAATTTTTGCACAGCCCTAATTTATATGCAAACACCATATAAAAGTGAATTTTGCATCCAATGACCCCTTTAATAAAGAGAGTTGAAAAAAGCTTAAACAAATGAAGCATGAACAAATATGATAAGTAGATTAATGGTTGGTGTTATAGCATTCATACCTGCTTCTCTTGATGGTTTAGAGTGATGTGGTGAAAGACTCCTTAATCTGGAGTTTCTGTCAGAGACGGGTGAACAATGGGAAGAGGACCGTCCACCTGATCTCTGAACCTGCCGTGGGCAAGCATAAACACACAGATGTTCAGGAACTGATGGGCGACTTAGCCACCATGGTAAGACTGTCTTAAGAACTAGTTTGTCGCCCTGTAGTCAATAAGATTATTCCTTAAAACTCATATTTGATCAACAAAAATGACATATTTAAACATTTTTTTTCCTTGAAAAGAAATGTGTCATGCTTAAAATGCCTGAATGTAACTCATACACCCTTGCCTCATTTAGTATACGTTGTTCTGTGAATATGGAAATTAGCCCCGCCTCAACTCACTCACACCTGTCTGCAAAATTCAGCTTCTGTCAACCCACCAAATGCGCCATTCATTTATTCTCAAACCCAAAGTATGCGCACATAAAGCTGTCTCTCAGTACTAAATTGAGCTCTTTTCGCTGGTTATTGTGCTTAAACAGTCAAATACACAAAAAATAATGTCAAAATACCAGTCTTGGTGTATTAACGTCAGTAATGTTTTAAGTGAGTGTAAACAGTTGGGAAAGAAAACGCAGTATAATGAATCGTGTGTCAGGTCTTAAAGTGACAGCAGCCTAATTTATCTGCTGCCAAATTATGAGATAATATTTAAAATAAATATAAGGCAGTTTTTACCCCATGGTATCAATGTCAAAATTGTGGCAATGCTGAGTGGCTAGTAATTTTGCAAAATCACTATAACCTATAATATTAAAAGGAATGTATCAACTGGGGTTGCCCATAGTATACAGAATTAGTTGAGACATCTGATACCTGATCTCTGTTGCGGTGTTCTCTCTGACTCCATGAAGCAGACGGGAAATGTCTTTGGGATGAGGTGATATGCTGTTTCCGTGACTTTTTAGAGGTTTTCCTTATTGCCCTCTAAAGCAAATAAAAACATCTTTCAAGTTCTTGCAATCAATCTTATAAAGCAATACAGCTAAAGTCGTTCTTTCATTTCAAAATCTGTATTTTTACCACAGGAAGACTCTGGAAGCCATTGTTACTGAAGATGTCACTGATTGTGGTCTTTGTGGAGAACTCTAATCTTGGAGAGATACCCTGAGATGAATCAATGGATATAAAGACAGATTTCCCATTTTAATAATGCACAATAATCCATTATTGGTGTTGGTAAGCAAAGAAATTAAATCAGTATGGTAAATAAATAAGCACTTACAGGAAAATTGGGATGCCGTGTCATTAATACCTCTCTCTCTACTCCAGAGAAAGATGGGACCAGCTTTGGCTCTGGGAAAAGAAAACTTCTGGCGTCTTCTTCAAAACTGGCCAATATTTCTCCAGCTGTAAAAGAGCAATAAAAAGCAAATAGAGATTTAACTGTGGTCAGCAATCTGCAGAATGATTCATGTAGTAATATTTGAGAAATAATAGCGGGTGTACCTGGAGGAATCAACTGAATGAGTTCTATTTTCACTGGTTCACCTGGGAAAGATATAAAGTCATATACAACTAAGACTTGAGGGTGAGTACCGGTAAATTGTGGGATCATTTTTGGGTGAACTATCCCTTTAAAGGGATCCTCCATTGTGTGTGTGTGTGTGTATGTATGTTAAAGGGATACTCCACCCAAAAATGAATATTCTGTCATCATTTACTCACCCTCAAGTTGTTGCAAGCAAACCTGTATAAGTTTCTTTCTTCTGATTGGAACCAAACAGTTGTTTGGCACCACTGACTTCCATAGTAGAAAAAAAATACTATGGAAGTCAATGGTGCCAAAGTTCCAATCGTTCTTTAAAATATCTTCCTTTGTGTTCATCAGAAGAAAGAAACTCACACAGGTTTGCTTGCAACAACTTGAGGGCGAGTAAATGATGGCAGATATTTCATTTTTGGGTGGAGTCCTACTTAAAGGAGTCGTTCAATTTAAAAAAAACTTTTGGTGATAATTTACTCACCCCCATGCCACCCAAGATGTCCACGTCTTTCTTTCTTCAGTCGAAAAGAAATTAAGGTTTTTGATGAAAACATTCAAGGATTTTACCATATAATGGACTTCAATAGGAACCAAACGGTTCAAGGTCCAAATGAGAGTTTCAGTGCTGCTTCCAAGGGCTTTAAACGACACCAGACGATGACCCTTTGAGTCATGACTCGAAAAAAGATTTGTTCATTTTGATAAACGAGTTTGAACAGAAGAGTCACGAATGCTCATCACAGAACAGATCAAGGCAAGCATTTGTGCTTATAAAACTTAAACTTTGTTATTTATTTTTGAAATGACCAATCGTTTCGCTAGATAAGACCCTTATTCATCGTCTGGTGTCGTTTAAAGCCCTTTGAAGCGGCACTAAATCTCTCATTTGGACCTTGAACCTTTGGTTCCCATTGAAGTCCATTATATGGAGAAAACCCTGAAATGTTTTCATCAAAAACCTTAATTTCTTTTCGACTGAAGAAAGAAAGACATGGACTTCTTGGATGGCATGGGGGTGAGTAAATTATCAGGAAAAGTTTTTTTTAAAAGTGAACTACTCCTTCAAGTGGGTCAAAAGAAGCAGTCTAAAGTTTTAACTGAACTAAATTTAAACTATAATGTACATTATGACATGCTATTATAAAGTGTGAGAAAATGTTACATTTAGTTCGCACTTGAGCATTTTATTTCTGTTATGAGTACTCCTTTTAAAACTATGTTTAAGTGTACTTCTTTTTCACAAGAAAAGGCAGAGGAGAATTACCAAGATGAAGGAGAAAAGGAGGAGGGAGGAGAGAGAATAAACGCAGCAGCTCACTCACACTGCAGGAGTTCTGCTATTGCTGCAGGATCGGTGGAGACATTCAGGATCTACAAGAAAAAAAAGAAGGGAGTTTACAATAAAGTTAGATGGCTTTTTAAATCTTTATTTAAAATAGATAGAATGGGAAATCACACCACCTTTTCAAACCTTATTTTCTCCCGAACCAATAATGGAAACACTGCAGGAAGACATTCTGACTTCCGGTATTGATTCATAAGACTCACACTGAGGTAAACATCATCTTTGGCTGGTAGATGCACACCTGGACAGGTTATCTAAAATACAAGTATGATAAAACAGGAAACAGAAAGGCACACAACAGTTTGCACTGGCCATTCACTTAGGGATAGTTCACCCAAAATGTTGTCATCATTTACTCACCCCTTGTTCTAAACCTGTATTAGTTTCTTTCTTCTGTTAAACACTGACAAAGATATTTAAAGAATGTTGGTAATCAAACAGTTAATGACCTCCATAATAGGAAAAAAATACTGTGAAAGTCAAAGTGTACCGTCAACTGTCAGTCTGGTTACCAATTATTATTTCGTGTTCAACTGAAGAAAGAAACTCATACAGGGTTGGAACTACTTGAGGGTGAGTAACGTTGTCGTTAAATAATGACAGAATTTTTATTTTTTGGGTGAACTATACCTTTAAGTACGCAACAGTTATCTTACTAAGACAATTATCGAAAGATCCTCACCGCCCTCAAATGAAGTTCAATGATCACTTTAACTGCTTTGTGGGACATTCTGAGCTTTGCTGTTACCGCTAGCGAACTGTTATTTTCCAGAGATCATTTATGGTCAATCCAGGAGAGCGTCGCGTTTCCATGGCATCATGTGCACAGGGAAATCCAGCCCATTTCCGCGATTCAATTTATTCGAACAGTTCATTTCAATGAACCGGTTCAGGTTCAAACACCACCCAGTGATTCTTTTGTGTAATTTAATGCGTCTCAAACAAATTGTTGCCATTTTTTGCTCATAAAAACATACTTTTGTTAAACAGAAATATAATTCAAACTCATCCAAAATATTACTAAAATTCATTTTAAATGTATTTGTATGCATAAGGCTTTTTTAAGATTATCTTTCATTTTAAAGATCATATTAACAACGTTTTCTTCGTGACATTTCTGCTATTCGGTCATAAACAAGGATTTGACTAACAATGGTCATTCTTCAAGACTAATTCATTGTTATTCGCGAAACGGTGCAAGTAACGCTTTGCTTACGAATAGGACTTTTATTTTGAAGCAGAAACTAACCGGAAATCAGAACATACAAAATAAAAGTCGTATGTGGTCGTAGTTTTTTTTTTTTTTTTTTTTTTTTTTTTTTTGTCATATCTCATTTGCTACATACACATACACCTTACTCTATCATTTATCAGAAAACCTGTCTGGATTTAATTTTAAAAAAGAAAAAATATAAATTTACTAATATATATGTATAATATTTATATATAACCAGGGATGGGCAGTATTACTATTTTGTATTTTGTTATACTATTTTGTATTTTAAAGCCTTTGGAAAAAATCTAATGTAATTTGTATTTAAATACATTTAAGATGAGTATTTTAGTATTTTATAATAAGGTTGGAATAAGTTGAGGATGTCATGATTAATTCCAGTCTTTCAAGATAACATGAAAGAACAAAAGAGCACAGACAAGTGAGAAAATAGTGTTAGCCAATCAGTCTTGATTGTTTGTTGATTTTGATCAACTACTAGGTTGTCAGTTGTGTTTAATAAAGCATTACTGCATGTTAGGGCTGGGTGATATGACACTACATATAGCATTGATATAAAGTGTGAATCGATTGAACTTTTTTCTAAATCGTTTACATAGAAAATCTTCAGCTTTTAGTTTTATTAATAAAACAATAAACTTTGAGTAAATAGCTTCAAATTAATCTAAATAAATTCTAATTTAAAAATTTTAGATACATTTTCTACTTTTAATAAACTTATAGAAACAAATAAATTAAAAAAGCATTGGACTACCTGGAAAAAAACAAAAAAAAAACAAAAAAAAAAAAAAACAGAGTTTGAAATTCAGTTTTTGCTGTGGTTTCAAAACTTATGTTGAGAATTGTGAAACCATGATATGTTTTGTTACTGTGAAGTAAAATTAAGATTTTGATCATACCGCCCATTCATATTCCCACAGTTTTACGTATGAATTACGTATTATACAGTATGAATTTTAAGAGTTCACCACAAGTAATAGACTACATTGTTACCTGGTCATAAATAAGCATATAAATAGTAATTGTCAGCAATAAATAAATAGATAAATAAAAAAGAAAGAAAGAATGACAGAGAGCAGAGATAATGTTAGGAATTTAACCCATGTAGTTTCTTCATTCACTGTGTGCTTGTGACAGTGCCATGCTAAAGTTTTATTTATTTAAAATATATATTATTTAATTATTTAAAACATATTATTTCGTGTTCAACAGAATACCTGTACTGGATGGCCAATTTCACATGTATTTTGTATATTATTTTCAAAACAATGTATTTGTATTTAAATACATTTTCCACACATTATTTTAAATATATTTTCATGTATTTATGCCCATCTCTGTACATACCTTCCTCAATCACCTGTCCTCTGACAACCAGGAAATCTGAATTTACTATTAACTGAATATATATATATAGGAAACAAGCAAGATCCTCTATTATAATTGTGGACAGGTATAGTTATTATTTGCAATATTTAATTGGTGCACAGCTGTTTCCCTCTGAGCCTCCATATTAAGCATAACCCTTTGTTTACTTTACCAGATGGTGAGATAAAATGACGACAGACAAATTTCACGTGCGTTTGGTTTATATGGTCAACGTCAAGGGTACCAGAAATACAGCTGAATACCAAGATAAGAAAAAACAAAAACTGCAAATAAAACTTGCACTTTAGATTTACAACTTAAAATAAATCTAACCAGCTACTTTTTAGGTACAATAATAAAAGTAAATCCAAGTAATACACTTGTGCGAATTCTCAACTGACCGACCAGCGAGTGCTGGACTGCACATGCTAGTTAGAAACCATCTAGAAAGAGCAAACATTCGTTTACGGTCAAAAACATTAAAAATGAGCATGACTAGGAAACAAAACCTGAACGGTATCAGTGACATTTTCATTGTATTAGAGCTAGTGCCTGACAGTTTTGTAAGACACCAATGGAAAAACTACTTCTTGGTAAATTCTAATAAACATCAGAAATAAAAGGATAAAACATGAAAGGATATATGATCGAATTAAAGCAAAAGTGCATCGGTTACTTCAGTTCTGAGAGCACAAGGCCACCAGAATGACGTCTATATACTGTTTTAAAAGGAAGAAAGAGAGGAGGGTGAGGTTCATTTCCCATTTGGCTCTATTCTCCATACACACTCTCGTCACTGTAGGCGATGTAAAGGAAGAAATCTTCTTCATGATGTTCCTGTGTGCGAGAACATGACATTACCAAAGGAACAAAATCAAACGACTTGGATATCGATGAGGAAATAGTGAAATACCTGGTACAACTGGCCCATGGTGGCAGAGGTAGGGGGAATGACATTGTTTACGAAGAAGAAGAGAGCATCCTCTGCTCTCAGGTGGATTCGTTTTCGGATGAGAAAGTAAAACTGGCCCACTTTTAAAAACAAAACAAAAAAAATCCATAATATAAAACAATACAGATAGAAAAACATACTTTAGAGTTGACAGTGCCCCTATCATGCTTTATCAGACATTACCTTTCATGTAGTGTGTTATATGGCTGTTTGTGAATGTAAAAGACAAAGTTTTAAAGATTAAAGTGCACGATAAATGGAGTGATTGTCTCCTTAAGGAATTAACTCATTCTGAACTGCCTCAAATGTGCGTCAGCATTTCCAGTCTTACTTTCTGCACGAACCTACGTAGGATTTAACACGTGTGCATACCACCAGCCTATGGTCTTCATTGGCTGCCCACGAACGACACATACTTTGCCCCGGTCCTTAAACACTAGCTGATTCTGGAAGGGTTTAGTTGAGGGCTGCAACAAACGATTATTTTGGAATTAATCGATTAATCTAACGATTATTAGAACGGTTAATCGACTAATCATTGATTATTGGAGAGCGTTTTCCAAACGATACGTTTTTGTTGACTTAAAACGCCGTCTCAGTGTGGACGGAAGGCCAAAACGGAGAGAAAAATATACGTTTTCAAACTAAAACGTATTAGTGTGGACACGGCCTTAGAGACGGAATCCTTTATCGAACTGTTTCAGAGACTGTGAGTAAAGAGGCGATGCTGCAGTGTATATTATGAGACAATTACTGTTTTTTGACCTTGGATGCGTGTAAACCTATCGTATGTAGGAGACTCCAAAACAAAATTAGGAACCTTTAAAATAGCATAATAGGGGCACTTTAAAGAGTACTTTTAGAAAAGCTCAACAAAAATGTTGAAGCAATCACTGACAGTGTAAATGAACAACTTTTAAAAATAAAATTTGACATAAAATGACTTACCCGTCAGGTCGGAGGGGACCAGGTATTTCTTCTTGTCTAGGTCACCTATTCTGGCTTTAGGAGCTTTTTCCACAATTACCTAGTACAGAAGCAAATATACACTTTTTTAGTAATGGTAGAGTTAACTAAGCATTATATGAAACAGAATGATGATTTACTTTCGATTGATTTTCACACCGTACTTATTTCAAGCCTACCATGGGTGATTTTTAACTTGGTGCAAAGAGGATCTGATAAAAGCTGTGCTATTTTTGATAATTAGGTTGAAGATGAGGAACAAGATAACTATACAAAACACTTTTGGACCCAAGATTACCCAAGACTACTTAAGTCCAGTGTAGCTGCATTTTTTGTTTTGTTTTATAAAAATGGTTTCCTCAAAATGAGTGTCCCCTCAAAAGTTATTTTTAAGAGTTTCTAAGCTATGCAATTTAATTCGATGAGTTTAAGTGGTCAAAAAAAGTCACAAATTGGCTGTTCACCCATAGGAAATGAAAGAAACACAGAGCAAATTTTTTTTTTTACATATGTTGAATAAAATCTATATATCAGCCACGATGTTGAACAAGCACAAAAAAATAAGTAGTGAAACTATACAAAAGATTCAAATGACGAACAGACAATGTGTGAACTTAAAAAAAAAAGCTTAACCATTAAAATGGAAAAATCTAATTTTATCGAGACATTACAGAGTTGTAAAACGTAGGCACGTGTTATATCCTGTACAATACTACAACTCATTTTAATATGTTGATTTTAGAATTATCAGTCATATTTGGACACCTAAAACAATGATTAATTTGAACCAGATAAAAAAATTAGTCACACACTTTGTATATGCTACAAAACACCACCTAATTTTGGTTGCAAGTGATTTAAACAAAAGGAATATAATGAAATCAATATTAAAATTTTCAAAATTTAATCTTTAGAGTATTGCTTGTTTGGATGGCTTGGTTATAAGGTAAACAAAGTCAACCTTCTGAATGTAAACATGTTGACTATAGGACACCGAGACTATTTTAAGATTCACCACTTTAACGTGGTCCTGAATGTATTATTTTACCCATAACCAAAATTTAAACATGTATTTTTTGTTAAATACACACATATACAATTTAAATACACCGCATTATACTTAAGTTCAAGCTTTTCACAAAGCCTTGCAGATTAAAGCAGATGAGACCATGAAAACAAAACGATGTGAATGAATATTGAATTGTTCACCTTTCAAAGATTTGAAAAAAGTGATTTTGATTTATATAACCGTTCAAATACGCCATTAACAAGCATAACATGGGAAGACTGTTCATTTTAATAATAATAATAATAAAGAATTTCAGATTATACATCAACGTGGCCTTCAGCAGTTTCGCCCTTCACGTGCTACTGAAGCTAAAGCTGTTTTTGTTCGTGTATGCTTAAAAAGAACGAATGAACACAAGATTTGTTTGGCCACGTTCAAATAATGTATATCAATAACGCCGTTCACGTTTTTACTGGTTTGTTGTGGTTCCCTATTATAACGCGAGCTTCTGTTTACACATTTCAAACGATACAAACCGACTTACAGGAACCCTGTCTGGATATTTCTTCCTGATTTTCTCTCCCTCTGATCGCCTCTTCTCAAAAGGATGCTCTTCTTTGTATTGAAACTTCATGGTTGCTAAAGGAAGAGTAAATTTGTCTCAGAAACACACAGAAGTGCCAGAAATGTAACGAACGCTTCTCTCATACACAGCTGCAAGTGCTTTTCCTTCAGCGCATTAATACGGGCACAGTATATTTACATTATTTTTGTCAACTCAGACTCCACCACACATCCTAAAAACTATTACTATTATTTAAAGTATTTGACACAAGACGTATCGAAGGTCCTCGATTGTTACTAAAGTGTTTTCTGACGTTTCGTTGTTATTTGTAAGGTAGGGACTACTTTCTCGGTTGTACACACTGTAGAATTGTCAAGCGGTGCTCCGGTCAGTCATATGACTATCTCCCCTCACTTCCGGTATTCGGTGACGCAGGGGTGTTGTGCAAACGGTCATTTGTTTATGACTGAATAAATAATTAACAATTTATATTAATCGCTCTTAACGTCACCAACCTGTTCTCTTTTGTAAACGTAACATTAAAAAATGTTACAGCATTATTACAAGATTTATAATCGGCTTTTGTCGTGTCCAGTAAAAATACTTGTACGGTCAAACAATTTTATCAAGTTTATGCCTAAAACAAGAAAAAAAAATTGGCAAAGCACAGTGACTTTGTACAGAATCATATCATCCTGACCCATGATTATTTGTAATTAAAATGGTAGACACTAAATAACTCAAAATGTTTTGCTTTGCCCATTTTTTTTTTGATTTTGCCAAGGAGAGAGAGTGTGTACACACATACATATATACATATGCCTAAGCTTTTTTTGTGCAGCAAGAGGAAAGAAGACCTTTGTTGCCTACTTGAAAAGTAGAGTATACCATTAATAAGACAGTAAAAGGAAACTGAACCCAAAGTACAAGACAGTGACACGTTTTTATTAATAACGTGCACAGGTCTATGGACTCCTTGTGTCCCAGGAAGCTGCCTTGAGACTTAACAAGTGTTTGATTGATGAGAACAGAATTGACATTATCTGACAGGTGCACAGAGAAACCAACAAGGCCTTGAGTAAAAAAAAAAAAAGGTGTCTGTTGCTCAGTCAGCTCTTCAATACAATGAAGTACAAGTTTCAGAAATTCAAGTCTTGTCATTATTACATTTTCAGGAAAGAAAAAAAAAATTGTAAAAAGGCGCCCAAGTGGTAGGATTTCATAACCAACCACATACATTCTTGTAGAGAAGAATTAGAGCAGAAAGGCTTAAAATCTGTCGATAAGCTTCTTCAAAGCACATATTCTATTACATCCTCCCTGATAATCATGATAAATTCATTTACAGGATAACAATTGACCAGATTAAAAAAGAATTTGCTGCAGAATATGGATAATAGCATCTTCCACATTCTGAATTTGGACAGGTCTACCATACAGATGTCGTTAAAACCCATGTTTCCCAAGACAGTACCTCAATAATAGCATACACAACTCTACAACAATAACCCCCAACTGGTCTGTGTCATCAATAGTTTTCCAGTGAACTCTATTAGATGTGTGTGGCCAGTCTGTTTAGTAGATCTCCGTTTGCGCCACCTTTAGAAGTGAGGTATGACGTCCCAAACTGGAATTGAAGACGCAAGTCATGAAAAGGTCTGTTTTTATCTCGTTTCAGTCTCCAGTCACTCCATATCTTCAAATAATTAAAAAGAAAAACAGCAGATGTCCTCATACACACATTGCACAAACATAACTCGCACACGATCAGCATAGGTAGAACTGTAAGGCAGAGACTCCATTGTGAAGAAGGGAAAAAAACCTAGGCAAAAAAGCTCCCTGAAACATCCTAAAGTTTGCCTTTTCCATCCCCTTTGAGTTCAGAATTGACTCTCGTCCTGATAGACCTCATGAAAGGCCGTTTTTGAAAGGCGATGAGTCAAGAGTCGAGGGAGAATGATCAGGCGGATGTCAAATAGGGAAGCAGTTCGACAAAAACAAAACAAATAAAAGAACGGACTTGAAGAAAGCCCTCGGTCGGATGATCACCAGAGTCGATGCTGGTGGAGATTTCTGCTCAGGACGGACCGTACGTCTGCGGTGAACCTGAAGAGGGAACACATAATGAAGTGGTGCTATAAGATTTCAAGTGAACAGCATACAAATTGTTCCATGTTTTAGTTACTTTTAAGATCCTTACCTTAGTGCATCCAGCATGGGCAGCAGGTTGAGAAGTGCTGTGTCACTGGGGTCACTAAACCATGACTTTATAGGTATTGCATTATCTATGGGTCAGAAAAGAAGTGAAAACAATTACACATTCAAACCAAACACGTTCTCCACTTTTTCCTCAGTAGACCTTTTATAATAAATGGGTAATTCAATAAAAAAATGGGCTTTCAAGAAAACTTGGATGTCTATACGGTAGAAAGGTGAAATCATTTCCGAAGGCTGTTATCTTCCCTTTTGCCAAAACTTAAATTTAACTGGTAGGGAACAGGTAATAACAAGTAGGAAAACACCCATAATGCACTGGGCATGTTGTTGTCCAAGGCCACTCCACGTCTGTTTTGGATAGGCTTGACCAGTCAAAAACCGCTTTGATTGAGTAGGAAACACTCTTAGCAAACTTTTAGACACAACAGTGCTGACTTGTAATGTTCCTGGGTGCAAAAATGCAAAGAATAAACATTTAGCGGGAGCAAGATATTTTCGGTTTCCAGTGAAGGATCCAGAGTGTTGTAGGCAAAGGCTGCAAAGAATAGGAAATATGAAGACGACGGGACACTGCGACGGAAAATGTGAAAAATCTGTGTTTGTAGTCTACATTTTAAACTGAATGACTATGAACAGTGTTTTAGATGAAACAGAGCGGGAAAAAAACTAAAGAAACCGCCATTTCATCCGTTCACTTAGAAGAAGACGAACGGGGAGAGCACCTTCTGCCAAACCAACCGAAATGTAGGCTGCCGCCATAGTATTTTTACGATAATACTGTTTAAAGAGTAGATGAAGTAGGTACTATACATTTTTCAGTGATAAACCTACCCTTACAATAACAGATCTGTTAATAACCCTGTAAGGCTTTGCAAAATTACAAAATTGAATTGAGAATGACTCCTGAATTCCAATTCAAAAACAGGATCTAGAATTACAATTCGAATTTGAATTAAAGGAAGCAGAATAGCAATTCAATAAAAATTCATATACATATTTTAAGTGCCGTGTTTAGCAATGAAGCTTCACAGTATATCTCAGATATTGCATTACATATTCATAACTACTTACATAACAGGAAATGTTTTCCTCCAGCAATTAATGTTAAAAGTTCTAGTCACAACAAATAATTAAGTTTGATTTATTGTAATTGTAATTTTGTGGAACATGATGGAACATGACTCAATTTCTCAAAATTACTTATTTAAAAAAAAAAAAAAAAAATTATATTTTTTATTAATATTACTTAATATTTGAAAAAAAAAACTATTTGAGGGGGACATTTGTTTTTATATATACAGTATATATTTTAGAACAAAATGTATGCAGGGTTGAGGATGTATGCAAGGTTGAGGATGTGTAATTAAATTATGTTATTAAATTACAAAATGAATGTAATTGTATTTAGTTGTATTACTGAGGTAAAATGTGTAATTCAATTAGTTACTAATCAAATCAAAAGGAAATAAAGTAATCCAAATAAAATAATCCAAACCACATTTATAATGGGTGACTTATAACAGTGTGCAATTACATTACCATACTGTGTGGAATTTCTTTGAATTGCCATGATTTTAATTCCACTTCCTGTCATTCCTATTCCAATTCAAATTCAATTCAAATTCGAATTCATGAATTGAATGGAGGCCAATTCTGAAATTCAGAATTTTGCACAAGCCTGAACCGTGTCGATCCGACTCTCAGTGGGCGGGGACACAAAAATGTGCAAGTAAAATCTATATTTTGTCAAATGGACTTGCTGAAGAAATAAACTGGAATTTCTCAGTCCAGCTAACACACAGAAATAGAAAAACACTGTTCATTTATATACTATCGTCATTGTACCAATACAAAGTGAGTTGAAAATCAGTAAACATACATTACATTTGTGACTAAATATGCGGTTACATTCATCATTGTTGATCACATGGATTCGCTGACCAACAGAAATCTGCTTAGTTTGAAGGCGACTTCATACATCGCTACACTATTTTGACCTTTTTTGTCAGTGAAATTTCTCTCGTGACAACAAAAGAACATCACAGAGCAGTAAAATGTGTTTTATTCAAGACCAGGATCAGTTCTTTCTAAAGTGATGTTTAAATTGGTATTGATTGCTGTTTTTCTATTTAGTCATTTACTTTCCATCCTAGAGTTCAGATGTTCATTATATATACGTGTATGATCAATTTCAACTTCAAAAGTCAACTTTATAATTTACTTCCATAATGTAATGCATTTCAGAGTAAAATTAATACAAAAAATAGGGGAATTCATCAGGAATTGTTTGGATTCTAAAAGTTTTCTGTACAGGACTATATAATATGATATATAAATCCTATATATGATATTAAATCCTGTTTTTGCATATGGCATACATCACTGTGATGCTAAAAATGCTAAATGGCCTACAGTACACATCATGCAGTGAGACCAGCTGGGCAACTCTTCGCACACCAGTTAATCCTGCAAAGGAAGCAGTGCAAACTACAGCGCGTGGTTGAAATCACGTTATAGTCTTACCTGGATGACTGCGATATGCCCCTGGCGAGTTGTCAAGAATGACTACACTTGATAAGTCATCATGTACAACGGACAGGTCTTTAATATAACTACCTGAATCCAGTGTACAGTGCTGCACAAGATAAAGAAACGGAGAGTATTGTTGAAATATATCCTTGACTAATTTCTGCCTTTTCCATATTTCTCATAGGAAAGGTTTAAGAACAATGAAAGGTAAAGAGTTTCAGTGGTTACCTGTCTGTAGTATCTTCTTTTTAGGATTCCCTTGTTGTTATCCAGCTTATCAGCTACTGCAGAGCCATAGATCTCCATACTAGCAGTGAAAACTACTAACTCATACCACTGACTGACCACCTCTAAGAAGAAGTCGACATGCGGCCTTTTATGTACAAAGAATCTGACTGGGTGTTTGTCTATTACCACCTGAAAAAAAAAGACAGTTATTCATGATTAATCGAGAA